GGTCCATGCAGGTACCCAAAGTACTATAAGTCCCCATGGTCTCTAGTGTAGTGATCTACCTTCAGTTGCTGGTGATCTATAGCCCGTATTGAATTTTCTTGCATTATAGTATAAGTTTTAAGTTACACGCTAGTTTTATATCTCTATCTGTGATACACTAGTAGTTTTACTGTTCTTCGTAAACAGTTTTATTGCTTCTAATATTATTGATCTTTTCTGATAATTAACTGTTCTCGTCACGATATGGCTGAAATATTGCCGATGTGACGATAAATATTAACTCACTCACTCACTCACTCACTCAAATGTGACAAAACAGGTCTAAGCCGAGCCTAAGTCCCGGTTCATTTATGTCGCCTCTACGGAAACAACCGTACACTCGTTCTGGGTGATTATGATTTGTAATTGCTTCAAGGTATATGGTAATTTGCTCTGTAAGGAGGAACCCAAGAATTGGGAAGAACAACACATTTCTGTAAAGCAAGACCTCCAGCTTGACCAAAGAGCCTCAAATGAATAAGTTTTTCTTTTAAATAGAACTACGGTCAAATAATGTTTTCACCAGCATCATTTTTCTCTCAAATGCCTACCTGACCCCGCTGGCTGTGTCAGATGCACCATGATGAAGTATCTGGCCACGCCATGTTTTCGCCTGCACTTCGCCTGCTTGTGGATTGCCACAAATCCTGATGGGGTGTGTGGCGTCCGCCATACCAGGGAGGTGGTATTGGACGTGTTCAGCCTGACAGTAAAGGACATGTTGGCCTCCTTCAGGAGGATGTTGATCTCATACAGGGAAGGCTTTGGCGATCCTCGCTTGATGGTCGCTTGCACATATATGTCTGCAATGAAAGCGTTACATCAGTTGGAGATAGTAAAAGTGAAATGGGGATTTATAATCTGTACCAGTTTGTCTTGTGTATACGTCGCTCTCAGCATTATTCCAGCTACATGGTGGCGCTCTGTAAATAATCGAGTCTGGACCAGACAATCCAGTGATCAACAGCGTAGATTGATGCTCATGATATTGATCACTGTATTGTCTTGTCGAATCTCGATTATTTTCAGACCGCCGCCATGTAGCTGTAATATGTTTCAGTCCGACGTTAAACAACTAGCAAACAAACAAACAAAACGACAATAACTGATGAAATAAATACATAATAGACATAACAGACACTTGAGAAAAGAATCGGAGATTGATAGATACAAACGCATATGTGTACATTGTCACTTAATTTGATGTCATTACATAGGCGGATCCAGGAATTGTTGGGGGGGCGGGGGTTTCAGGGGTTCCACCAATGCAAAACATTAACTTCAATGTGGTCTTCAGTCATTTTCAAAAGGGGGGAGGGGTCGAATCCCTTGGCTCCACCTTCAATGCGCTACGACCACTTTGCAGAACGTGACTCTGGTTCCTTGGTCATGAGACATCCTAAGCAGTTAAATATTTACTTACGCATTACCATTCACACTTGGTATTCCTTGTGTTCTTATGTTTCCCACATGTTTACTCCTTTAGGCCCAGTCCATTAAATCGACAGGCACTTTACATGCTGTTACAGTGGAATTCTAATATGCATCTGAGCATGTGCTGCTCCTGGCGAGCCCATATAGCATAAGTTCCCAACAGTGATGTATAGCCAATATTAATCTATTTCTTAAGCAATTTTGAGAACAATCTCTTAGCATGTATTATCAAGAATGGCATTCCTGTCTAGACAATAGTTCAAGATACCAGTTGTACAGATCACATAAGAGCTTAATTCAACCAGAACTATATCTATCTGTATTGACATCTAGAAATATCAGACGCACACTTGTCAATTTTCGATTGGGCTTGTTAGACTTATCAGTAAATAAGGGCAGACGATTTTCAATAGAGAGACGTTTAAGGATATGTCCATTATGTAACTCGGCTATAGAAGATGAAATTCACTTCGCTTTTGTATGCCCACATTATGCTGATTTAAGAAAAAAATATATCCCAAATAATTACCTCTTAAAACATCCTTCATCTGCCTTTGCTTCCATTCTATCTTCCAAAAATGAACATGTAATACGTAATCTTGCGCTTTATGTAAAGCATGCTGTTTTCCTTAGAAGCAATATCTTATCTGAACTGTAATTTCTTTGTGAAATGTCTGTAACATGTGCTGTATATATACTTGTATTACCTTGTATATGGGCCGGAGGCCTTAAGTACAATAAATATCTTTGACTTGGTAAACAAACGTGATGTAGCACTCGTGTGTGTTAGCAGTAGAATTCATGTAAATGTGATGCCTAGTGGGTAAAGCGTTCGCTCGTCACGCTAAAGACCCGGGTTTGATTCCCCACCCCACTCCCACCCCCAGTGATATTGCTGGAATATTGCTAAAAGCGGCGTAAAACTAAACTCACTCACTCACTCATCAGTAACTGAATCCAAGTGCGCCATCTGAAATGGCAATATTCCAGAAAAACACAAAATTTCCATTCCGATGGACTTTTGAATTTGAATTTTGATGCGAATTTGTGTGCAAGTAACTCCATGAGAGAAATAGGTTACGCCACCTGTCGTTTTGTTGGTTTTGGGGGTTTTTGCTGTGTAGATCTGTGGCCGTGTTTTTATTCGTAACTGTATTGTTCGTTTGTGTGTGTGCTCTACCTACTAGATTCAGTGGCATTTATGGATGGAGCTGGGTAGATCTGGAATGTTCCTGGTTGAACTCGGACTGCTCTTGAGCACATCTGTTTGTCTGTAGTCGTCCCAAAACCGTCCAGGTGCATTTTCACTGTAAACAGCAAATCAAAATAACCAAACTTCATTAGGTAGGCTCTAACACTAGGGATGTGTACATTCAGAGACATTGATGTGAGGTATACACGTTGAGCGATTTAGCTATTAAATGTACACATCAGGCAAGGAAAAAATATTAGATAAACACTTCCATTCGGTGTGAGATATACATGCTGAGCAGGCAAGGTGTGGGATTTTTCCACATTGAGCAGACAAGGTGTAAGATACACATGTTGAGGAGGCAAAGTGTGAGACATACATGTTGAGCAGGCAAGGTGTGAGATATACATGTTGATCAGACAAGATGTGAGGTACACCTGTTGAGGAGGCAAGGTGTCAGATACACATGTTAAAGAGGCAAGGTGTCAGATGCACATGTTGAGAAGGCAAGATGTGAGATACACATGTTGAGCAGGCAAGGTGTGAGGTACAACTGTTGAGGAGGCAAGGTGTCAGATACACATGTTGAGCAGGCAAGGTGTCAGATACACATGTTGAGCAGGCAAGGTGTCAGATACACATGTTGAGCAGGCAAGGTGTCAGATACACATGTTGAGCAGGCAAGGTGTCAGATACACATGTTGAGCAGGCAAGGTGTCAGATACACATGTTGAGCAGGCAGGTGTCAGATAAGGTGTCAGGCAATGTGAGATACATGTTGAGCAGGCAAGGTGTCAGGATACACATGTTGAGCAGGCAAGGTGTCAGATACACATGTTGAGCAGGCAAGGTGTCAGATACACATGTTGAGCAGGCAAGGTGTCAGATACACATGTTGAGCAGGCAAGGTGTCAGATACACATGTTGAGGCAAGGTGTCAGATACACATGTTAAGCAGGCAAGGTGTCAGATACACATGTTGAGCAGGCAAGGTGTCAGATACATGTTGAGCAGGCAAGGTCAGATACACATGTTAAGCAGGCAGGTGTCAGATACACATGTTGAGCAGGCAAGGTGTCAGATACACATGTTGAGGAGGCAAGGTGTCAGGATACACATGTTGAGGCAGGCAAGATACACATGTGTGTGAGATACACATGTTGAGCAGGCAAGGTGTCAGATACACACATGTTGATAGGCAAGGTGTCAGATACACATGTTGAGCAGGCAAGGTGTCAGATACACATGTTGAGCAGGCAAGGTGTCAGATACACATGTTGAGGCAGGCAAGGTGTCAGATACACATGTTGAGCAGGCAAGGTGTCAGATACACATGTTGAGCAGGCAAGGTGTCAGATACACATGTTGAGCAGGCAAGGTGTCAGATACACATGTTGAGCAGGCAAGGTGTCAGGTTGAGCAGGCAAGGTGTCAGATACACATGTTGAGGAGGCAAGGTGTCAGATACACATGTTAAGCAGGCAAGGTGAGATACACATGTTGAGGAGGCAAGGTGTCAGATACACATGTTGAGCAGGCAAGGTGTCAGATACACATGTTGAGCAGGCAAGGTGAGCAGGTTGTTGAGGAGGCAAGGTGAGAGACATACATGTTGAGGGAGGCAATGTGAGCAGGCAAGGTGTCAGATACACATGTTGAGCAGGCAAGGTGTCAGATACACATGTTGAGGAGGCAAGGTGTCAGATACACATGTTGAGGAGGCAAGGGTCAGATACTACGTTAAGCAGGCAGATACACATGTTAAGCAGGCAAGGTGTCAGATACACACGTTGTTGAGGCAAGGCAAGGACACATGTTGAGCATAGGTGTCAGATACACATGTTTAGCAGGCAAGGTGTCAGATACACACGTGTTGAGCAGGCAAGGTGTCAGATACACATGTTGAGCAGGCAAGGTGTCAGATACACATGTGTTAAGCAGGCAAGGTGTCAGATACACATGTTAAAGAGGCAAGGTGTCAGATACACATGTTGAGCAGGCAAGGTGTCAGATACACATGTTGAGCAGGCAAGGTGTGAGATACACATGTTGAGCAGGCAAGGTGTCAGATACACATGTTGAGCAGGCAAGGTGTCAGATACACATGTTGAGCAGGCAAGGTGTGAGATACACATACTAAGCAGGCGAGGTGTCAGATACACATGTTGAGCAGGCAAGGTGTCAGATACACATGTTGAGCAGGCGAGGTGTCAGATACACATGTTGAGCAGGCAGTATGTTAAATATACATATTGAGCAGGCAAGGTGTGAAATATGCATGCTGGGAATTGAAATTGAAACATTGAAAATACCAAGTTTGCATCTCATGTTTTTCTTGTGTGGCTTTCTTCGCGGCTTCTTTCGCTTGCCCTTGCCAGTCTTCCGGCCAGTCATACGAACAGTCGTCGGAGCAGTCGTCGGGGCAGTCGCCGAAGAAGTTGCCCAGTCATTCGTCGAGGCAGTTGTCGAAGAAGTCGCCAAGTCAGTCGTCGAGGCAGTCGTTGAGGCAAACACTGGTGCAAACGTCAGTGCAAACGTCGGTGCAAAGTCGGTGTAAACGTCGGTGGCTCCCCAAGTCTGAGGTCGGTATTGACATAGGAATACCGCCATACTTAGTTCGAGGTCGTGATTTGGACCTGCGTCCTGAAGTACCCCCTGAAACATGGTTAAGATTAATAATGGTGATAATTATCAGGCTCACGAAGCACTTACACGTTCTTTACAATTAGGACAAGGTTTTTCCGAACCAGTCTGGGTTGGGTTTTGTGTGCGTGCGTGCGTGTGTGTGCGTGCGTGCGTGCGTGCGTGCGTGTGTGTGTTGTTGTTTGTTCATTTATTGTTTGTTTTGTCTCTTTTTGTGTGTGTCTTTGTTTTGGTGTGTCCATGTGTGTGTCGGCGTTTTTTCGGGGTAAACTCTGTACGTGTGTGTGTTGTGTGTGGTGTGGGGTGTGTGTGTGTTTTTGGGTTTGTACTAATGGATCATATGGGATTATATGCGGTCAAGGCCAGTTTCGATCAGAAATCTAACTACGACTTTCTAGGTTTGGGTGTTATTTAGTGGGCTTATGAGTGTCTGCAGTTTAAGCTGTGTGTTAGTGAATCGGGAGCACAATTCTGTACTGCGTGTAGTGTGTGCAGTGTATTGGTAGCGTTTGGGTGTTTCTGTTACCTTGTGGCGTGTGCATTTGCACATTTTCTTATGTTTTATTGTATGTAGGTGGGAATTTAACTTTTGTCAACTGTTTTTAATTTGAACATGGTCATGTCAATATTTTTTAGATTTATAGTAGATTTTTCGGTTGGATTTTTGGTGTGTTTTTAAGTTGGCTTTTTTTCAGTTTTGTTGTTTTTCAGAATGTTAGTTTTTTACTAGACTTTTGATTTTAGACAATGATGTGTGTAAGTTAACTTCGGGGAGTTTAGGTGCCGGTTTGGCTGCTTGGTTGGCAAGTTCGTTGTCCAAACACACCGACATGGGCAGGGTAGCATATGAATTCTACCTTTTTAACTGAGGCTGTCTACATTTTAGTATTTCGCAGATTAGTTTAGGTTGGTTCTGGTGTCTTTCTTATTGTTTGGAGCCTACTGATGGAGGTTGTTAGAATTAACAATTATTTCCTGTGATTGAACATCGTTTGTACATAGTAATATGTGTGTTTGGGACATTTTACATCAGAGGAGCAGGATCCGCTCATCCTTTGCCGAAAACCTAATGTCATCACTACAGTTGGTAGTGATTCATAAACACATGTCTATAACATATATTCTCACGTTAATTCAATCCTAAATGGAACATAGGATTAACATGAAATATAATAATATTTCAGAATAGAATTATTATTCTTATGGGAAATATGATGTTCTGCAATAACAGTTTTGACATTTACACATATGAACAACCTTTCATAGTGTTGGCACATCTGTTGAAAGAAGTATCATTACAGAATTCGAATAAAACACATAATCCAGTATTTTTCTTTGAAACAACACACACCATGCATACACACGAATAATGGGTTTTCATTTCTTGCCAAAGGTTTCTTATGATTCAAAAAAAATGTTTTCTTGCTTTCATTTAATCTTAAAACAAACATATGTTTAACACAATTTTGAATAATATTTCAAAACTGAATTAATATTCTTTAGGGAAATCTGAATGTATGCAATAATGGCCTCAACATTTGCATTTACGACCGCCCTCTCCACAGTGTTGACCCATCTGTTTGTTGAAAGAAGTATCATTACAGAATTTGCAAAAAACACATGATTATTCTTTTGTCCATAATCTTTGAAACAATACACAACATGTATATACATACGCCGGACTTTACTCTTTTGATTTCAAGTAAACATTTGTTTGCAAGGTAATGTTTAGATAATTACAGTCAACTTACTTATTCTACTTGGGCGGGAACGTTTTGGTGTCATAAAAGCTGAAAGCAAAATAATTATGTATTGAAGAGATTTTATAGAGATTGTTTTTTCCAAAAGTAATCACGCTTCTGTACACATCAGAGCATCAATTCCATATTGCGAAACATTACATTAGAAGCAGACCATTCACCGCCATTATTTTTTTTTTTACGTATCAGTGTCCAAAATAATGTCATAAGTTGTATGCTTATCTCGTGGGTAATACGGTCTGATGTACGCCTCTCTGTAGCAGTGTCACCCGAGCCGGTGGCCGAGGGATAACACTGCTACAAAGAGGCGTACATCGGACCGTATTACCCGAGGGAGAAACGTATTTATCTTACCGCCATGTTAAATGTACAAAATATCATTTTATTTTATTCGGAAGATCGCTACCGACTATATGACATATATACCGACTATATGACATGTAAACAAAATGGCGTCTGCCTTTCGACTGGAGAGAAAATCAGTTAAACATATTCTGACATGCTTAAAACTGTTATAAAAAGGGTTAATTATGTTTAAGCTGAGTGTGCATTATTCAATGTATAAAATAGTTTAAATAAAGCAGTGAAGGTCGGTGAAATAAATCTGTACATAGTGAACTCAAAAACAGCTAATCGAACGGCACTGTAGGCGTCATATTAGGACGTCATACAATTGCTAGCGATACAGCTTCACGGCGAAGAGTTTGGCGGTTACCGCGGCAACGGGTAATATTCTTCTCCAGTTGTTACCATCCTGGGAGGGGTGACACGGAAACTTGTTAAAGCGTCATTAACCAATGCAATGAAAGTATTTTACATGAAGGTAAGATAATATTTCCTATATCGATCTAAACCATCATTTGTTCATATCAATATGACAAGGCTCTGCATGTGTTTGTGACAGTTTCCATCAGAGGGGCAGGATCCGTTCATCCTTTGCCGGGGGCGGTGGGGTAGCTTAGTGGTTAAAGCGTTTCGTCACGCCGAAGAGGGTTCGATTCCCCACATGGGCACAATGTGTTAAGCCCATTTCTGGTGTCCCCCGCCGTGATATTGCTGGAATATTGCTAAAAGCGGCGTAAAACTAAACTCTGTCAGTCATCCTTTGCCGAACACCTGGTACCATAACTATAGTTCATAGTGATTGGTAAACACATGATTATTAGAAAGTCGTAATCGAATAATGGGTTTTCATTTCTTGCCAAGGTTTCTTATGATTCTAGAAAGTGTTTTCTTGCTTTCATTTTATTTTAAAAGGAACATATGTTTAATACAATTTTTAATATTATTTCAGAATAGGATTATTATGCTTTTGTGAAATCTGGAGTTGTGCAATAATGGTCTGAACTTTTGCACTTATGACCGATGATACATCTGGGTTTTTTTAATGAAGTATCATTAAAGAATTCGAAAAACACATACTTTTTCTTTTGTCCATAATCTTTGAAACAATACACAACATGTATACACATAAACAGGAATTCACACATTTGATTTAACGCGAATATTTGTTTGCAAGGTAATGTTCTGATACTTATAGTCAGCTCACCTCCACCTGAGGATCTTTGTCTGGCTTGTATCCCTTGAAATGAAACCAAAAAGATTATGAACGGAAGAGATTTCAAAGAGTTTTTGTTCTCATCGCGTTTCTGAACACATCACTTCCATATTGCGATACATAACATTAATACGTTACCAAGTTAGAGTTGTTTCCAATTATAGAAGCAGGCCTTTCAGGAGGACGTTTCTAAATTTGTGAGACAAAATCAGTGACCAAAATGATGCCTGATGCTATTTACCGTTTTGACCTGAAATATCGTTTGTTCTTATGAACATTACTTGTCTCTACATGTGTGAACAACATTTTTTGTTAAGAAGTGTCTTGAGATTAGTTTATAATTGCTGACCCGTGAAGATCCGGGGTAGAATAAGTCTTCTGCAACCCATGCTTGCTACAAAAGGCGACTATGCTTGTGGTAAGAGGCGACTAACGGGATCGGGTGGTCAGACTCGCTGACTTGGTTGACACATGTCATCGGTTCCCAATTGCGCAGATCGATGTTCATGCTATTGATCACTGGTTTGTCTGGTCCAGACTCGATTATTTACAGACCGCCGCCATATAGTTGTAAATATATTGCTGAGTGCGGCGTAAAACTAAACTCACTCACTCACTTATAATTGCTTGCTTTAATACAATCATATTTAATAGCTAATTACTACCAAGTCCCAATTTCTTCACACCTTTGATACAGCTTTCTTAATTATTGACTGTTTTCATTAAATTCTAAGCAAAAAGAAAGTGACATGGACTTCTACATCGAAGTGTATCCGTTACAAAAAGTGGAATTTGTCCTGTCGTGAAGACACACTTGTTCACAATTGATGGGGTGTTGTACAGTGACGTATTGGTATTATATTGTTTCTGTAAAAGTAAATCTGTAAAGAGAGAATTGGCGTGCTTGTCGCTATATATATATGATTAGGAGTCAAAAATAATCTGGAAGCTTCCAGAATGCCCTAAATATTAATAGAGACGTTTATGGAAGCTATTTCATATATTCCAAGGGTCGGGCAACGATCCTTTGTCATCTCACATTACATTAAGAGTGAGTGAGTGGATATAGTTTTACGCCGCTTTTAGCAATATTCCAGCAATATCACGGGACACCAGAAATGGGCTTTACACATTGCGAGCGAACGCTTTAACCACTAGGCTAACTCCCCGCCCCATATTACATTAAGACCGACAGTTGTGTGAAGATCGTTATTTTGAACCCAGCCTTTCTCTGTTTTGAAAGCTTGAGCACTGTGGAATGTTATCTCACTGGGGTTAATTCTATTACCACTCCTGTTATACGAAGATACTGTCATTGAGTTTCATACTGCCAAAATGTGTGTACTGCCATTACCTTACAGTAGCTTTTCCTGATTTTAAACTTAGTTCATTATATATTACAATGTCAACTGTATAACATTTATTTGCTGTTTGTTGGTTTCACACTGAATTCTGTTTCATATAGATTACTGATTAAATGTATTGTTTTATATTGGAAAGGCACACTTCACAACGCCAGCCATAACGGAATGCCCTTGGTTTCATACGATCAATGATCAACGATTATTTCAAAAAAATGTTTAGATGATTATGATCAACTTACCTACATGATACAATGCCGCGTCATCTGAAAAAGAGAACTTCTTAAACTCTTGTTCAACTAATGATGCATAAGAAATGGCTATCACAATAACACGTTACAATTTTCACCATGGTCTCTAGTATGGTGATCTACATTCAGTTGTTGGCGATTACTAGCCCATTGTTACATTGCATTATCCAAAAATATTTTTCTACTTTTAAAGATATATGCAGCTAGTTTTAACTCATTTTGTGATAATCTAGTGGTTTTACTGTCCTTCACTGACAGGGTTGTATATATTATCTGTATGTATTATGAATTTAGAACTAGTCACGATATGGCTGAAATATTGCCGATGTGACTTTAAATTCTAACTCACTCACTCACCTTACAATTTTCACTTATTCTGCATTTGAAATGTAAAATCCTCATTATTTACAAAGGATATTGAAAGTTCTAACAGGAATTGAACATATTTTACACTCGTGGATGCAGTCCATTTGGAATTTTTGAAATAATGAGTACATTTACATGTTGATAATCTAATGGTAAATAAGGTGGCTTCTAATTGTTTTAATTCATGTTGTGTCCTATGTGTGTCACGACGTCAATGAAAAGTAGGCATAACGTACTACGGGAAGTGTCACATATCTGATGATCCTTGAATTCAGACAGAACATAACGATTGCAAATTAATATAGGAATACGTTACATGGAAAGAGTATCGCAACACCCGATTCTTTCATAGTATCAGTAAGTTACCATTTACCATAGCAAGGGAACTTATCTAAACCAAATTATTTAGATAAATTGACCCTCAAGGACTATTAACCTAAGCACAAAAAGTACGACAAACTGTACTTAAATCAGTACGCATGACGTAAAGGGTAAGGTAGGTAGACCAAGTTGCTTCCGCCTCTTGCCGTAAGAAATAACTAATGGCCTTGTGTTCACAGGATGGTGATCAAAATGTGGTACAATAACCCTGTCTACTCAGTAATGTACCGTTGTCCATTGAGATTTTGTCTGATCGTCACAAGGTCAAGTCAGCGCTTGTGTGGTGTAGTGGTTAGAGCGTCCGTCCGGAGAGCGGAAGGTCGCGGGTTCGATCCCCGACCGCGTCATACCAAAAGACGTTAAAATATGGTACTTGATCGTCCCTGCCTGGCGCTCGGCATTAATAGGTACAACAAGGACTGGTCGGCTCGGAGTCAGTATAATGTGTCTGAGTGGGGTATTAATGCTTCACTGCGGCATGGTATCCCAGTGGGCTAGCACTATAAAACCAGCTTCAGTCTGGGCTAGTACAAGCAGCCGCACCTACACATACACACGCATGCACGTGGTCATATGAGCGAAATATTCTCAAGCACGACGTTAAAACCAATTTCACCTCACCTCACCTCACAAGGTCAAGTTCACAGACACACGTGAAGCACCCCCCACACCATCAAAAACTCCCGAAGAAGAGCACTTGCTCCAAGATATTCCGTTGTGCATATACAGTGTTTATGCGGCGCCAAACACAACCTTGGCAATCAATTATGACCGAAAGAAATCGACTTCCGTCAGCCCAGTTGACCCTTCCCCATGACGTTAAATCCCAGCGACGTTGTGTTTGACACCACGCTAGTCGCTCTGCTGTGTGCCCTGAGGTTGACAACGGTCAACGATTTAATATATATAATAGGTCGCCTGACACTATTCGGCCGATTTCAAGCGCTTTTGGACCTGATGTCGTATGATGTCTTTCAGTGGCATTCAGAAGTTGTACATTGATGTCCAAGATATTTTTATGGATTAAACTTCTTTTTAATTTCTCTCACGAGTTCACCTGATGAAGGGACCTAGAATGGTCTCGAAACGTCGTGAGAGAAATTAAAAAGAAGTTTTAATCCATAAAAAATATCTTGGATTTCGGACCGTTCTGATGGATAAAACACGACGTGGAAGTTTTTGTCTGACTTCTGAACATGAACGAATAAAATGTGATTCTGGGAAGGTTAGTATACTCCCTAAGTGTTGACGTGAACACTCACGTGCCCTCACATTTCCTTAGTTTGCTGATGTTTTCGGCCAATAGGCTGATAGCCGATGGACCCCCAGTTGTCCTCAATGCCATGCCAGCATTCCGCATACCACTCTTTGAGCAGTTGGGACTCGAAGAGGCCCAACATTTGCTTATTGACAGTGAAATCAATTGATTTTCCAAGTGCGTGAGTAAGTGAGTTTTGTTTTACGACGCACTTAGCAATATTCCAGCTATATGGCGGCGGTCTGTAAATAATCGAGTCTGGACCAGGCAATCCAGTGATCATGAGCATCGATCTGCGCAATTGGGAACCGATGACATGTGTCAACCAAGTCAGGGAGCCTGACCACCCGATCCCGTTAGTCGCCTCTTACGACAAGCATAGTCGCTTTTTGTAACAAGCATGGGTTGCTGAAGACCTATTCTACCCCGGATCATCACGGGTCATTTTACAAGAAACTAAACGGTTTACTGAAACTTGGTATTAGCGTAATGATGGGTACACGTAATGCACGTGATACTCGTCTTTGATCGTAGCACATGCTTATCTACAATCATGTGACTATATATAGCTATAAATCATACGTGTTGCCATACTTTTTTCCATGTGTAATTATAGCTGATACTTTCTGGTTGGTTGGTTGGTTTGTTGTTTAAAGCCGCACTCAGCAATATTCCAGCTATATGGCAGCGGTCTAAAATAATCGAGTGTGAACCAGACAATCCAGTGATCAACATCATGAGCATCGATCTACACAATTGGTATACGATCCCATGTGTCAACCAAGTCAGCGAGCCTGACCACCCGATCCTCTGGAATAATTATCTACAATAATTGGTCAAACGCATTCATTTATGTACTGTGTGTTAACATCTGAATCAAAATAAGAATCATCACTGATTTTGTTTAAAAAATTGCTTCATTGTGCCTATTTTTTTTAACAATGCTCATGTTTATGAGCATGTCATACTAAACCATGATAAACGGATTTGATTTACAGCGATATATAGGATCAACGCAATGTTTGGATAATGATAGTCAACTTACCAAAGAGTTGCGGTTGAGACTGCACTCCATGAGCTGCAAAATGCAAATCATTTTACTCCCAACGCCAATAGTGAGTGAATGAGTGAGTGAGTTGGGTTTAAGTCCAGCAATAGCACGGCGGGGGAAACCAGAAATGGGCTTCACTCATTGTACCCAAGTGGGGAATCGAACCCGAGTCTTCGGCATGACGAGCGAACGCTTTAACCACTAGGCTACGATGTGTGAAGCCCATTTCTGGTGTCCCCCGCTGTGATATTGCTGGAATATTGCTAAAAGCGTCGTAAAACTTTACTCGCTTACTCACTATTTTGCAATTCATCGTTTTCATTTGGAGACAAACAGATTGTCCCAGCATGTGTTACTGGGATCTATTCTAGCAGGGAAACGGACTGTGTTTCAAAAGTGACATACAGAAATAAGCTTCATGCCAATTTTATAACCATGTTTTACGAAAACCTGAACGCTAAGTTAGACCTTTAACCTAATTTGCCATCAGCGATATCGATTTACATACATGTGTTTAAATTGACAAAGATTACGACTTAATTGATTACAACTTCTTGTTTATTGCATACACCTTTAGCTTGATAATGGGGTAGGATTCTATACAATACGTGAGAAGTTGTTATCCATAAAGATAACCTTGTTATCGACTCACAAGGTTCTAGAATGCCTATCAAACAATAAGAGCTATAACTCACCAACAGGGTTGAAGGTCTTCCGACTCACCATGGAGTTATAGCGAGGTACACTTTGTCGGTGGTAGTGTGCATTTTCTGCAGGATTAGAATATATTCTTAGATTAGATTTTATTTGCATTTCTTAATCAATACCTATATTCGTAACATATATATAAATAATCTTGTCAGTGTCGTTAAGGAAGACATAAAATCTGTTTAACATAACTGTGAAGAAAACCATGAGTTTTTAGAGTTGCCTCCCTTGTACCTAAATTGTTTCAAGCCTGCTCTATAGATTTAATATATATGATTAAGAAGTCAAAGAGGACAATTGCTCGTAAATCTGATATAACGCTATCATTAAATAAACAGACAAGAAACTGATGTAATGTGAAAGCTTGCGCTTACGATTTCGATTCCTACTGGGATTCGTCTGTTGGTATTCGTCACCGCGGATGTTCGTCTTTGTTGCCTCTTGCTCTGGTTTCGTTGCCACCATTGACGTCAAAGGAGTGACAAAATTGTACTGAAAGTCAAACGAACGTCGTTTTTTAGAAAACAATTAGACATATCAAAACACGAACTTTTAAAAGCCTTACTGTCAATTATGAAATCTCAGAGTATAGTTTGAATTTCATCGCCTTAAATACAGACCTGTTATTCCCTTATCATATACCGTATTTCCTCCAATAAGCGCCGACCTCCAGTAAGCGCCGGGGGTAAAGCAACTGTTCAATAAATAAGTGCCGGGTTTCCAGTAAGCGAAGGGTGTGCCACACGTCTACAGTGGATCTTTCAAATAAATTACCAATAGAGAATCTACATAAGCGCCGGCCCCTATTAAGCGCATGGTCTGAGAGTTTGCTGATTTAATAAGCGTCTGAAATACGGTAGCTCTACTTCCACTGGATGCGACCACTCTGAGTGAACATGAACAGAAATATATGGCCCATGTCAGTGTTATCAGGTCAACCAAATGCCCCTATAGAACAACCCAGCTGTGTTGTCTTCACCACAACGACTCAGTTGTTCGATCTTATTGGAAGAAACGTCAACAAAATATTTCTTTTTTATATATTTCCCTACCGGCTGAAGCTGCAATGACGCCCAGAAATGACACTGTCTATAAATCATGGACAATAATTTAATAGCGCAGGTATACCATTCGTAATTTTATGTTCTTTAAATAAAAACTGACAGCTGGTATGCTTCTTAGTTTGGATGCTTCACTCGCGTGTATCAAGAATGTAAGTATTTGATTTGAATGAAATTAATGTTTGGATTCCCTAGAGTATCAAAATATATGTGAAGTTCAACTATATAACCGTATATATCCATTTCATAAGGACAATTTTTAATAAAAATGGAGCATATATCTTTGAAATATCTACACATAACCCAGATGCTTGTTATCTGCATAGATAAAAAAACTCTTAATGTTTGAGGCATTGTGTTTTATATGACCTCCTGGGACTGCATTCATACGAGTTGATGCATCACGATATACACTGATATGATTCTGGTTTCCCGTTTCTTACATCACCATGTCCATTCGTGGACTCTGATGTCAAAGCCTATACATCACTAAGCATTGATGTAGCTCTGGTCAAAAGACCATGTGTCATAAAGCACTGTTGTAGCTCTGGTCAAAAGACCATGTGACAAAAAGCATTGCTGTAGCTCTGGTCTCAAAGACCATGTGGCATGAAGCGCTGATGTAGCTCTAATCTCAAAGACTATGTGACATAAAGCACTGATGTAGCTCTGGTCTCAGTGAACATGTCTTAAAGCATTGATGTAGCTCTAATCTCAAAGACCATGTGCCATAAAGCACTGATGTAGCTCTGGTCTTAAAGACCATGTGGCATGAAGCATTGATGTAGCTCTTGTGTCAAAGACCATGTCATAAAGCATTGATGTAGCTCTGGTTTCAAAGACCATGTGGCATAAAGCACTGGTGTAGCTCTAATCTCAAGGACCATGTGACATAAAGCATTGATGTAGCTCTAATCTCAAAGACCATGTGCCATAAAGCACTGATGAAGCTCTGGTCTTAAAGACCATGTGGCATGAAGCATTGATGTAGCTCTTGTGTCAAAGACCATGTCATAAAGCATTGATGTAGCTCTGGTTTCAAAGACCATGTGGCATAAAGCACTGGTGTAGCTCTAATCTCAAGGACCATGTGACATAAAGCATTGATGTAGCTCTAATCTCAAAGATCATGTGACAAAGCACTGATGTAGCCCTGGTCTCAAAAACCATGTGGCATAACGCACTGATGTAGGTCTGGTCTCAAAAACCATGTGGCATAAAGCACTGATGTAGCTCTGGTTCCAAAGACCATGTGACAAAAAGCACTGATGTAGCTCTGGTCTCAAAGACCATGTGGCATAAAGCACTGATGTAGCTCTGGTCTCAAAGACCATGTGACATAAAGCATTGATGTAGCTCTGGTCTCAAAGACCATGTGACATAAAGCATTGATGTAGCTCTAATCTCAAAGACCATGTGCCATAAACACTGATGTAGCTCTGGTCTCAAAGACCATGTGACATAAAGCATTGATGTAGCTCTGGTCTTAAAGACCATGTGGCATGAAGCATTGATGTAGCTCTAATCTCAAAGACTATGTGACATAAAGCACTGATGTAGCTCTGGTCTCAGTGAACATGTCTTAAAGCATTGATGTAGCTCTAATCTCAAAGACCATGTGCCATAAAGCACTGATGTAGCTCTGATCTTAAAGACCATGTGGCATGAAGCATTGATGTAGCTCTTGTGTCAAAGACCATGTCATAAAGCATTGATGTAGCTCTGGTCTCAAAGACCATTTGGCATAAAGCACTGGTGTAGCTCTAATCTCAAGGACCATGTGACATAAAGCATTGATGTAGCTCTAATCTCAAAGATCATGTGACAAAGCACTGATGTAGCTCTGGTCTCAAAGACCATGTGGCATAACGCACTGATGTAGCTCTGGTCTCAAAACCCATGTGGCATAAAGCACTGATGTAGCGCTGGTTCCAAAGACCATGTGACAAAAAGCACTGATGTAGCTCTGGTCTCAAAGACCATGTGGCATAAAGCACTGATGTAGCTCTGGTCTCAAAGACCATGTGACATAAAGCATTGATGTAGCTCTGGTCTCAAAGACCATGTGACATAAAGCATTGATGTAGCTCTAATCTCAAAGACCATGTGATATAAAGCATTGATGTAGCTCTAATCTCAAAGACCATGTGACATAAAGCACTGATGTAGCTCTAATCTCAAAGACCATGTGATATAAAGCATTGATGTAGCTCTAATCTCAAGGACCATGTGACATAAAGCATTGATGTAGCTCTAATCTCAAAGATCATGTGACAAAGCACTGATGTAGCTCTGGTCTCAAAGACCATGTGCCATAACGCACTGATGTAGCCCTGGTCTCAAAACCCATGTGGCATAAAGCACTGATGTAGCGCTGGTTCCAAAGACCATGTGACAAAAAGCACTGATGTAGCTCTGGTCTCAAAGACCATGTGGCATAAAGCACTGATGTAGCTCTAATCTCAAAGACCATGTGACATAAAGCACTGATGTAGCTCTGGTCTCAAAGATCATGTGACATAAAGCACTGATCTGTTCTCATAGCCCTTGCATCACCACCCAGCATCATACACTCTTGGTAATGACCCCTACAGCTTCTGACAATTTGTTTGCATGAAAAGATACCTAGACGGCTTGGGGCATCCTCATAATCAGTTTGCCTTGTCTGAGATGAGATCATGCTTGTATTACGGGATGTCTTTATGGTTCGAGTGTCTAGGTTTGATAACATGTTGATACCGATGGAATGGGATGCTGTGGACAATACAATCTGACAAACCATTAAAATGCACTTCGTTGTCTTATATCTGGTATTTAGCGGGCCACAAAACAAGAAAGAAATGAAACCTGTACGTACTTTGAGTGCTAACTCCGTTATCTTCTGATCAAGGTCAGTCTTCTCTTTCTTGTACTCGTCCTTTCGCTTCTGCAGCAGAAGGCTCTTTATCCTCAGGTAGGCCCAGCTCCTCTCAATCACTGACGTCAAATCCATGGGAAGAGAAAAATAGGTGTTGTCTGCCAATGGCACAGGGTTCATTATGCTATTGTTATCCAGAACAATATTCAACTTTTTCCCGCCAGTTTCTGCTGTCAATATACCACCGATAATTGTGTTGATAGTGTCAGTCATCCTACCGGCCACGACCACGTCGTTGCCGCGGTAAACGTTCGTGAAGGTCGTCGTCGTCAGTGAGTCGGGATCGACTGTGCCGTTGATGTATTTGACTTTCAAGTTCCGAAACACAGTTGTGGAAATTTCATCATAGAATCCCTCTACCTGATCAGCTGCGTCAGCACCTTCATATATTCTCCTAGCAAAGCCACAGTTCTGGGCGGAGACTACCTTCAGCATGCCATAATCAGCTCCATCACCAAACGCCAGCCCGAACAGAGACACAACATCCTCATTGAGGCGTTCGACATTCCTAGCAATGGATGAGGGATCTTTTACGCCAACAGTTGGCTGACCATCTGTGAGGAAGAACATCAGAGACGTGTGCTCTTTGTTTCTTTCCTCCACCATGAAGGAAACGCCCTTAGTCAAGGCCATGTTGAGGTCAGTTGCTGAAAGTAAAGACAGTATAGCTATAGTTTGTCTCTCTCTGTCCCTTTATGTCTCTCTCTCTCTCTCTCTCTCTCTCTCTCTCTCTCTCTCTCTCTCTCTCTCTCTCTCTCTCTCTCTCTCTCTCTCCTCTCTCTCTCTCTCTATCTCTATCTTACAGTCCCTCAGAACACCACAAATCTATCTAACAGTCCCTCGGAACACCACATGTCTATCTTACAGTCCCTCGGAACATCACATGTCTATCTTACAGTCCCTCGGAACACCACATGTCTATCTTACAGTCCCTCGGAACACCACATGTCTATCTTACAGTCCCTCGGAACACCAAGTGTCTATCATACAGTCCCACATTCACTACACGCCTGTCCCAATTCCACACGCATAGTATGTCTTACTTACAGTCCTCCGCTCGAAGCCGACTGACATAATCAAGCGCTTCACTGATGGTCCTTGACTCAACGGGGACAAGCGACGACCGCCACTTCCTAAGTGTATCATCAAACAGAAAAATGTTGAATCTGTCGTTTTTGCTCAGCTCTTTAAGAATGGAGGTCATTGCTTCCTTCAGTTGGTCAATCTTGGTTCCTGACATTGATCCGCTGATATCAAGGACAAACAGTATGTCCTTGGGGACCGTGGTGATGTGGTCTCCGGCGTTCTCGGGGGCAAAGAAATGAATGAAGTACCCGTCAACTACCTGAAATGTATTCATAGTACAGAGACTCGTTCCAAAAAACGACCACTGGGCTACGGATCTCGTTTGTCCACGTTCAACAATGGACGTCTCATCAGTCGTAGCTCTCAGGTCGCCTTGTGGAAGGGAAACTAAACTGTCACATATTTTAAATGTTAGTAATGAAATGAAATCTCAACCATGTTATATGTTAGTTAAACTTAACAATCAAATGTAACAATGCCTGGTATGGATTTACAATATATTTAATGTTAAACATTAAAGAGGTTCTAAATCCATACCATACGTTGTCATGTTACCTTTCAACTGTTGCCGATCAAGCATCTCAACAATCAAATAAGCAAATCTAAGCAAATCATTTGTTAATCTGGACATTTGTTCGCCCGGACGATATCAGTGGGAATGCTTCAGTCCTTTGAACATTGTGTTATCTAAGTTATACTAAGCCGAATGATCATCACTACGCAAACACGTATATTAGTGCTAAGAACGCTATTGCCTCTATTCTAATCCCATGGAGGGGCGGTCGGGTAGCCTCGTGGTTAAAGCGTTCGCTCGTCACGCCGAAGATCCGGGTTCGATTCCTCACATGGGTACAACGTGTGAAGCCCATTCCTGGTGTTCCCCGTCGTGATATTGCTGGGATATTGTTAATGGCGGCGTAAAACCATACTCTCACTTACTAATTCCATGGATGAAAATAGATAAACGGGGATGAAACATCCACTCACCAAAACTTCCCCAGCAGAGTGATCTCTGTCCACGTCATACTTGATCAGCATTTTCCTGTTGATCCCCTTTTCGCCGAGACGTTTCTGCTGGTCAAATGACGGGTTGAAAACGATGTATCGGCTGTTTGGACTTGGGGACGTCTGTGACACAGTTATCTCCCCTGAAGAAGACAAGGCAATGCATGAGACGTGATATGTGTGCTTTCTCGTCTCGCGTTATCGCTTTCTCGTCTCGTGCTATTGCTTTCTCGTCTCGTGTTATCGCTTTCTCGTCTCGTGTTATCGCTTTCTTGTCTCGTGATATAGCTTTCTCGCCTCCGAATTTTAAGGCGGGAAAGCGATGGCCCTAATCAGTCACCATAGTTTTCTCCCGTATTGTAAGTTATACAATACCTATATGACCACACCTCCAAGGAAATCGTACATGGAGGCTTATTAAAATGACACATGATATACCCACACCTGCACCTGGTCTGAGATGGTGTGCTGAACCCCTCACGGCGCCCTAAGCGCGAACATCACGTTCTCAACACCCACATAAAGTACCAAGATCCTATAGATGTACTCAACACCAGCATGCCGAACAAAAGTTCCTATAGATGCACTCAACGCCTGCATGACGTACCAAGATCTTATAGATGCACTCAACACCTGCATGACGTACCAAGATCCTATAGATGTACTCACCACCAGCATGCCGTACAAAAGATTCTATAGATGCACTCAACGCCTGCATGACGTACCAAGATCTTATAGATGCACTCAACACCTGCATGACGTACCAAGATCCTATAGATGTACTCACCACCTGCATGACGTACCAAGATTCTATAGATGCACTCAACACCTGCATGACGTACCAAGATCCTATAGATGTATTCAACACCTGCATGACGTACCAAGATCCTATAGATGTACTCAACACCTGCATCACGTACAAAGATTCCATAGATGTACTCAACCCCTACATGATATACCAGGATCCTATAGATGCACTCAACATCTGCATGACGTACCAAGATCCTATAGATGTACTCAACACCTGCATCACGTACAAAGATTCTATAGATGTACTTAACACCTGCATGGCGTATTAAGTACCTATATATGTACTCAACACCTTCATGACGTACCAAGGTTCTATACATGTACTCAACACATGCATGACTTATCAAGGTTCAATATAGATGTACTCAACACCTGCATGACGTACCAAGATCCTATAGATGTACTCAACACCTGCATGACATACCAACATCCCATAGATGTACTAAAAACACCTTCATGACGTACAAAGGTTCTATACATGTACTCAACATCTGCATGACGTACCAAGGTTTTATAGATGTACTCAACACCTGCATGACGTACCAAGATCCTATAGATGTACTCAACACCTGTATTACGCATCAATCTCTTACATGACGTAACCAACCCAGCGTGCCGCATCGAGCACGCCCTAGCGTATCACGTGCAAGACGTACCCATCAAACTACTGTTTTCTTCAGCTGGAAACTCCGCTTTGGCAGTCGTGATGACGCGGCTATCTTCGATGAAGACCTCAACTTTTACCTCACGCACCACCTGACCCGGGTTTAGGTGTATTCTTTGTTCATACATCCCCTGCTGACGCGGCAACAGCTGTTGATAGGTCAGATTGAAGGTCACACTACTTCCAGGCTTTAAGTTTACGGACACGTCAAACTTGTTGGATTGTCTTGCACTACAATAAAACAATATTGGGTCATGTTACATTCGCATATTGTTCAGGACACGTGGCATTTCCAACTGAGCAAATTTTCAAATGAGCTAGTCTTAAAGTGAAATCTTACCTTACTCAGATCGATAGATCTATCTTGCTACAAACGTGCGATACTTAACATCTGGCTCCGCATTGATTCGTTAACTGCAATACTACTAACAGCTCACGATTATTATCATTGTGTTTGTTTAATAACTCGGGGAGCAATCTGATTATGTTATGGTCCTAAATATGCTGTATACAACTTGGTACAAGTCATTGCATGCGTTAGTCATATTGGTCACCCTGGCCTACAGCTTCCTGAAGCACTGTGTGTTGCTACACAATGTTCGGAAGAATGTTTGTTATGTTTAGAGGTCGAGCATTAAAGTTGATATTCTGTTTGAGGCGATGATAAACACAACGCATCCAAAGTAAATATGAATAACATGCTAAGAGGTCGGTTTGGTTCTCATGGCCATTTGGGATATTCTTAATATACTTATCCGATCACCTATTGACCAGTTGACGTAAGGTTTTACATACAGAAAGTATGCTGGTCACTGTTTGTCACTTTCTTCAGGGAATTATAGCATGCTCTAAAACGCTGTAAAATATTGCCTAAAACAATGTGTTTGTTTGTTTGTTGTTTTCCAGGTATATGACGGACGGGTCTGGATCAGATGATCCAGTGATCAACAGCTAGTCTGTCTCACAGTCCCTGAACCACATTATTTTCCCTACTGCTAAGCCCTCTCTGCAGTGCCAAAGCCCTAAATAAAGCAAGTCTAGATTTCCTCAGGTTCAGGATCTCTGGTCTCCCTGGGGCTACTTTTCAATTTAAATGGGCTTGTTTGTTACTTTTCAAAATTATATATATCCAGAGACTAAGCATTAGTCTAATCAACAGCATGAACATTGATCTACGCAATTGGGAACTGATGACATGTGTCAACCAAGTCAGCGAGCCTGACCACCCGATCCCGTTAGTCGCCTCTTACAACAAGTATGGGTTACTGAAGACCAAGTCTACCGGATCTCACAGGTATAGTCTAAAACAATATATGTCACTGCAGGATTACTGAAGGTGTGCTGAAGAGGGCGTCAAAAGACCAACAAACTAATGAATGAATATTGGCTACACTAACGTCTTGATATAGCCTGCACTCTCCCCGCGGCTCTTAGCCTGTTGGTAGGATTTCAAGGCTTTTTCTTTCTCCTCCACGCGACCCACATACACCTCTCCATCCACAGTCCTGGAAGGAAAATGTTCACAAGGTATTTATAGAAGGTAGTCCACCGTCAGTACATCAGAGTTCTGTGAACACAGTGTCTCCTTCGTCAACATGGACCTCTACACAGTGAGTGAGTGAGTGAGTTGGGTTTTTACGCCGCTTTTAGCAATATTCGAGCAATATCACGGCGGGGGACACCAGAAATGGGATCAACACAATTGCCCATGTGGGGAATCGAACCCGGGCCTTCAGCGTGACGAGCGACCGCTTTAACCCAATAGGCTACCCCACCGCCCTCTACACAGTGAGTTGCGGAACCTTAGACAAACAGAACACACATAATTATTTCCGTACATACAAGTTTAGATTTGAGAACAACATTTACGGTCTGAAGGAAATGACCTTGGCGTACCACATTATCCACAAGTACTACTCACATTGTGATAGGAGTAATGTTAAATGTCACTCTACTTTAAATATATCCTAGACATGTTATGAAAATTGGTTTTGGGTATCATGGAGGGATAAATTTAAGAACTACATTTACGCACACTCAGGTCTAACTGTAATCGCCCTTGAGTAACATATTATCAACACGTGCTACTCAAATTGCGATAGGGGTAATTAGAAATGTCACTCTACTTTAATATACACCTGACATTGTATGCACATCGGTTTGGGGTATCATGGAGTGAGTGAGTGAGTTGGTTTACGCCGCTTTTAGCAATATTCCAGCAATATCACGGCGGGGAACACCAGAAATGGGCTTCACACAATGTACACATGTGGGGAATCGAACCCGGGTCTTCAGCGTGACGAGCGAACGCTTTAACCACTAGGCTACCCCACTGCCCCGGGTATCATGGAGGGATAAAATAAATAACACTATCCAAAGGTGGAGAAGTGTTTTAGTTTCTGTGTGAATATTTTCAAATTATAACAAATATATATAGGCGTCATTTGGCGGACCTACATGGAGAAGTTAGAGATGAACGCTTCTTCCGGTAATAGGACTTCAAACATAGCCTCACGGCTCGCTGTTGCATCGTCGTTGATGACGGTGCTTGCGACTTCAGTGGTGGAAAACCGGTAACGGATGTGAGAGCGAACCAGAAAGGATTTCACGGTCAGCTGAAACACAAGGAGAGAATGGCCGTGAACGTACACTCATGTGCAAATAGTAAAACATTGTTATGTACGTGTATAACATTATATAAAGGGATGATGCCATTGTCAGCTGAAACACATAGAGAGAATGGCCGTGAACTTACACTCATGTGCAAATAGTAAAACATTGTTATGTACGTGTATAACATTATATAAAGGGTGATGCCATTGTCAGCTGAAACACATGGAGAGAATGGCCGTGAACTTACACTCATGTACAAATAGTAAAACATTGTTATGTACGTGTTTAACATTATATAAAGGGTGATGCCATTGTCAGATGAAACACAAGGAGAAAATGGCCGTGAACTTACACACATACATTGTTATGTATGTTTCACACGCATGTGTGTGTGCGTGTGCAATAACTACGGTGAGGATTAATGACTAGTGTTAAAGTAAACTTGAGTAATCAAAATACATGCGCTGAGTATATTCGGTAAACTGAGCAAAGTGCCTCGCGAAATTTTACCCCGCAAAGACCAAGGCATTCGTATCTGTATTTTTAGCAAAAATATCTCAACATAATAATTTCGATAAATACGGTAAGTGGTATTAGAGAGCGATAAAGGTATGTAACTACAGGATAGAAAGATATAGCTAAGTTTTATTTTAGTAATACTTTGTTTCATCATGGATGTTTTGGTGATTATGGCAAATGTCTCCTACGGCGGGATTTCTATTGGCAAAGTGCAATTCCGATTTATCCCCCAATACTGGTTTAAGTAAACTCAAAAGAAAGTGAACACTTTTATTCTGAATGTTTGGCAAAGTTGTCAAAGTTAGTAAAATCCTTTGTTCTACAGTGGTAGAAGAAGACCACGGCCCCCAGCCAACCGACAAGAACTTGAAGACGCTCTCGGGAACGAATGGAATAGGATTCCTAATGACGTCATTCGGCGGCTGACGTCATCGATGAGACGACGAGTCGGGACGTGTATTGCTGCTAGAGGTGGTCATACTCGTTACTAAGGATGTGTATGCGTGACCAGAGACTTGACATGACGGAGACATTCCATGATTGACTCTTGTTGTATCTGTGAACTGTGCTATTCCTACCCCTCTGTCCATTACATGACACGTGATCTTTACCTGTGAGGAGTTTATCATAGACACTGTGGTTGCATTGTCCCAAATGCTGGCTTCCTTAAATGTACTATAACTTAAAAACAGTGTATGTTTTGCTTTGATTTTATCGATCATTAATGATGGTGTTCACTTTCTTTTGCCCACTAGTGTAGATATCGCTTAGGTGGACCATATGCGGATCTAACCAAAACATCGAATGGAAACGATATGGCAATTCTATACATGAACAAGACAGCTTGGAAGGTACATTTTCGTGAACTATAATAGAAGACGATAACGTATTCAAATGACTACTGTAATGCAATTGTATGTATAAGCTGTTCTGTACCGTATACAACAACAGAAAGAACGGAAAGTAGAATTGTATGCTAATACTTATTCATGTTTATAAAAATCAGTTCCATTAGGCTACACCGCCGTTCCAAAACATGGGTATACAGAATGTCAAGTCACAAGAATAAAATGCGAAATTTCTCAGTTCAATATCGTGTATGGCCGCCCCGCGCATTCACCACTGCCAAACACCGTCTCCTCATCGATTGCCTGATGCTTGTGAACACGTGGTTGGGGATTCTTCGCCATTGCTCTTGCAAGGCAGCGCCAAGTTCCTGCAAATTCTGAAGTTGGTTCTAAGACCACCGGCCTTCTCCCAAGTGCATCCCAAACGTGCTCTATTGGATTAAGGTCAGGGGACCTCGATGGCCAGTCCATGACGTTGATTCCAGCGTTTTGAAGGAAATTTCGTGTCAACATCGCTGGTATGCGGCCGAGCATTATCATGCTGGAACTGTAGACCTGGGCCATGAGCCGCCATGAAAGGAACGAGTTCAGGGGTGAGCACCTGGTCGCGGTAAGCAGCAGCTGTGAGGTTTCCACGGATGACCAGAAGTCAGGGGAACGGTTGTTCCCACAGAAAGCACCCCCACCATGCAACTTCCGCCCCAGATCTGTCGACTTCCTGTTCACAACATTGGGCATACCGTTCACGACGTCGTCTCCAGACTCTATGCCTGCCGTCTGCGAATCTGAGGGTAAACCTGGATTCATCGCTAAAGACGACTCGATTCCAGTCTCTCTGGGTCCATCAGAGGTGACGTTGGGCCCACAGCAGACGTTGACGTTGATGAAACGGCGTCAATATTGGCCCACGATATGGACGTCGAGAATGGAGATTGGCAGCCCGCAACCGATTTCGAATGGTCTGTGAGGACAGTCGACTTCTAAACATCTCAGCCCTGGTTCGTGTAGCCGGCAGAAATCTGTCACGTAGGTGACGTAGGACGATTTGACGGTCTTCTGCTCGTGACGTCACACGAATAAAAATGCGAAATTTCTCAGTTCAATATCGTGTATGGCCGCCCCGCGCATTCACCACTGCCAAACACCGTCTCCTCATCGATTGCCTGATGCTTGTGAACACGTGGTTGGGGATTCTTCGCCATTGCTCTTGCAAGACTTCTAAACATCTCAGCCCTGGTTCGTGTAGCCGGCAGAAATCTGTCACGTAGGTGACGTAGGACGATTTGACGGTCTTCTGCTCGTGACGTCACACGTGGACGACCCGACCTTGGGCGATCAGAAGTGGTGCCAGTTTGTTGAAGACGACCTCGCAAGTCATACACAGTACGACGGCTGCATCCCATTGCTCTTGCGACGTCAGTAACTGATCTTCCCGCTTGCAACATGCCAACGGCGCTTTCACGTTGCACATTTGACAATCGTGGCATTTCAAGTACCGTTAGAACTGTGGTTTAAAAGTGTTTTTTCAATTCTTGAGGCCAATGCAAACACGTGCATATGAAGAAAACATCGATGCGAAGATCACGTGATCGACTGCACGTGCAAAACCTGATTTGGCACTAACGTCATTTGCACGACGAATGGATGGGTTTGAGTGGGTTTTGCTAACGTTTTTCTAGAGTCGAAAGATAGGGATCCCATTTCGGATACATAGATGTATCATCAGAGAAAAATTATTCATTATTTTTCAAATTACATTTTGTGAAGTTTCTTTTTTGACTCAGTAAAACATCAAACTTCAGAGTGCGTCGTTGTTTTGACCTATTATATGTGCGCGTATCTGAGGTAAATCTGTTAAAATATTTGGCGGACTATCTGAAAATATGGAATAACTGACGCACATATAAATTGCTGGATTTGTCAATATGCAGAACTCCTTTTTGACTAAGCTACTGGAAGGCTACACTACTGAAAAGATAGTATAAACCGATCTCACACATTGAAGGAATGTATTTGACAAAGACATGACTGTTGAGACACATAATTACAAGAGTTAGACATCAAATAAAAATAGGGTTTAAATGTTTCATTCCTTGAGACAAGTAAGAAGGGAGATGTGAGTCCTTAGATTTATTAGGTTTGGTTGTCGTTTAACGCCGCTCCCGGCAATATTCCAGCTGTAAATAATCGGGTCTGGACCAGACAATCCAGTGATCAGCATCATGAGCATCTACAATCACAGGAGCCGGATAGTACACTATTGAAATATCCGTTAATACATGCAATGACCGGATTTACGAATGTTTCAAGATATTTCCTAACTTCGGGCATATATTTCATACAGAGCTATACCTTTGAAATATATGCTCAAGGTATATTTTCCTATTCACGTATGCTATGACCCGATTGTCAGGTATTTCCAAACATGAACTGAAAAACAGATACCCCAGTTAATACATGATCATAGAGTATTTTCAATGCATTTCTTTGAATTGCAATAGGTGTTGAAATTTCCCACTCCGCTCTAAGATTACTATGGTTGGAAATATAGATATTTCCTCGGGCGAGGAAACATATGTAAATGTTAAAATTTACAAACGTTTACACGCCTTAGGTATTTGTGCATCATACCTGATTTCAGGGGTAAATGAAGCATGAAGCATCTCAAATTCCCCTGGTTCAGGATCTGTTAAAATCAGCAGGTAAACACAGGGTTCGAGTTACAGAGAAAACATACCAAACTCCAATGGATGGCAAGACCACAGGACTGGTGTCTTTGCGATGATTAAGGATTTTAAACATATTGTTTTTGATATGTCCCCGACTCAAAATGCTTCACAATACAATGCGAGTATATGATGCATTGAACTTTGAAGCATTTTGAGTCGGGGGTCATCTCAAATTTTTATATCGAACCCGGGTCTTCGGCGTGACGAGCGGACGCTTTAACCACTAGGATACCCCACTGCCCCCAAATGACAATAAATGATATCTGTGTTCATTTGCTCTGTAGATGACTAACACATGATAATATTCTATTTTCCTTTCGCTCCCAAAGAAAGTTTGGAGAGAAATTTCTTTTATTGCGGATTTTGCACATAACAGTATGTGGGTTTACGCAAGGAGGAGTTAGTGAACACCAAAAAAGATATGAAAGTGTTGTGGCATTTGTTTTGATGGAATAGAATTGGCATAAGATGTTGTAATGCGTTTAATATATATGAAGCTATTCACACACTATACTAAGTAAATGGATCACTGGATACCATGTAAATATTACACTATTTCATGATCACATGTCTCCTACATATGGAGTAAATATAAGGTGAGTGAGTTTTGTTTTAAGCCGCACTCAGCAATATCCCAGCTCTATGGCGGCGGTCTGTAAATAATTGAGTTGGGACCAGACAATCCAGGGATCAACAGCATGAGCACCGATTTATGCAACTGGGATGCGATGACATGTGTCAACCAAGCCAGCAACCCTGACCACCCGATCCGTTTAGCCGCCTCGTACGACTAACATGGGTTACTGAAGGTTAATTCTAACAAAATAAGGTTAACAGGGCACTAAAGTAGGTGGCCGTGTTACACAGCATACACGCCAGGTAAAACACTTGGGTTTTTGTGGAATGTACTTAATAACCATTTTCCATAGATATATACCAAATACGTCAACAATATCTACTCGATCTTCAACTTGATTAACGCAACTGTTTCGCTATCTAAGCTTATGAACTAATTGCAGTCACTAGACTTTTCTTGTTTAAACCCTAGACATTTAATCAAAATAGGTGTACAGGTTTTATAAGTAATACAACAACTCGAAATTAGTACAAACATTTAAGCAATGTACTTTACACGTTTGAACTTTATCTTGGTTATTTTATAAACTCTCATAGTGTACTCAATGTTCCTCATCTTTGACCATCAATTTATGTTTTCATGACTGACTGACTGAGTTTGGTTTTGCGCGGCTTTTAGCAATATTCCAGCAACATCACGGCGGGGAACACCAGAAATGGGCTTCACACATTGTACCCTTGTGGGGATTCGAACCCGGGTCTTTGGCGGGACGAGCCAACACTTTAACCACTAGGCTACCCCAACGCCCCTGTTTTCAAGAGGTAACCAAGTGAGTTAGTTTCGGTCTCCTAACATACATATTCTTTGTATTCTCACAAAATACGCACAGACATGCACTCGCAGAGAGAGAGTGAGAGAGAGATAGAGATTGTGTGTGTGTGTGTGTGTGTGTGTGTGTGAATTTGTGTGTATGTGTACGTATCTGTGTAAGTGCGTATGTTTGTGTGTGTGTATGTGTCTGTCTGTCTCTCTGTCTGTCTGTCTCTCTGTCTGTCTCTCTGTCTGTCTGTCTCTCTCTCTGTCTGTCTCTCTCTCTGTCTGTCTCTCTGTGTTATCTGTTATATTATGATAAACGTGCTGTTTGGTTGTAACCCTAACCAGATACAGATGTTTCAGATGGGTCAACGAGCTCACAGAATTTCATTAGCATAGCATATCGTTGCAGGTCTCTGCAGCAATTACACACGTCAGTAACATGAGTGCCTGCCGTCACCCCGCCAGGCCAGGATATACATACGATAACCATAAGGACCTCACATGTCCCTCAAGGGCGTATTTCCTCAATGTGTGCAACAGTCAAGTATTGCTGAGCGTAGACGGCGGGAGGCCGTATGGACAATGCCATGGAAGAGAGCCGTGGGCACATTGACGTTGCTAAAGATGGTGGTCTGGACTGGAATTGCTGAAGATAGCAGTGCGATGTGTTATTTAAGTTATACTAAGCCGACTGATCATCACTATTGCCTCTATTTTAATCCCATGGACTGACTGATTGAGTTTGGTTTTACGCCGCTTTTAGCAATATTCCAGCAACATCACGGCGGGGAACACCAGAAATGGGCTTCACACATTGTACCCATGTAGGGATTCGAACCCGGGTCTTCGGCGTGACGAGCCAACACTTTAACCACTAAGCTACCCCACCGCCCCTAATCCCATGGAGGCGGCGGTGGGGTAGCCTATAACGGTTAAAGCGTTCGCTCGTCAGGCCGAAGACCCAGGTTCGACTGCCCCCATGGGTGCAATGTTTGAAGTCCATTTCTGGCATCATCTGCCGTGACATTGCTGCAATATTGCTAAAAGCGGCGTAAAACCATTCTCACTCACTCACTCACCCACTCGTAACCTGGGTATGCTTGATGCCAGGGGCAGTTATATGGACCGGTGGTCAAACTAAGTGACTTGGCTAAACGCATGTCATCCTAACCTGACGGCCGCCGCCATATAGCTGGAATATTGCTCAGTGCGACGTAAAACTAAACTCACTAACCTGACGGCGTTAGACGGAGCTCATTTTATCAACCACTGTTTTCAAAGGCAATATGACTTAACGGTCTCCCGGATATAACTACAGATTTACTGATTGCTATTTGGAAACATGGACTTGGATTATTGTCCAAGAATATATTTTCATTGTCGTATCGCAGATACCTCTTCTTGGCGGTTACATGTGATTCAAACAAAATACGATTGAAAGTTCTACAAACACGCAATCAAGCGCATACGGAAAATGTAGAGTTGACCAATAAAATACGTCATAAACAAAGGGTTGTGTTACCTGATTAATTGGATACAGTTCAATTCAATTCATTCATTCGGTATTTTGGCCATTCGCCAAAAGTATTTTTGACGGCCATGTGGCCTTCATGATAAGGAAAACACATGTTTAGAAAACTGCGACAGAAGTTATGGTTTGGATATTTTTTGATTGTGACGACATAGCCGTAACACGTGACAGGAACAACATATATAGCATTCTCGACTCTTTATGGAAACGGGTCTGGGACGAATTATACACTATTCGCAGTATCTAAAATCCATCGAGAATAGCAATAAACAAAACCACTCGCATGTGAGTGTTAAAAACATTACCTGACTTGTAGAGGCTGGTCCAATGTAAAGCACCGTGCCCAGCAATAGAAGGGTCACGTGACCCAACATTGGCAGCATCTTCGACTGAGACAGGCTCCAGCGGCTGACTGTGTCACACTGACTCCACTCTCACTACGTCAACATTTATTGTCGGGGATCCTCAAGGCCGACGACTTAAATTTCAGGATATGATATAAACAATGAACAACGGTCGGTGGGATTGGATAGAATTGTCCAATGGGAAGCTGATCGAATGGAGGTCAGCTGTCGTGTGCAGCATCTCGTTCTAGTGCGCCGTCATATTTGGAGGCTAATGAAAAAAACAGTAAACAGTTCTTTGTCTCAACAACACGGCCGAGTTTCGCAATCTTTATCGTCTTGAAGATCTGAATTCATTTTAACACTCAGGCGGGTTTTCGATTCCGACGCTGCCGACTATTATAGTCGGCAGCTATAATCTATTAGTCATTGGCGGATCCAGAAGGGGGTGGGGGTTGTTGTTGTTGTTTCAGGGGTTCCACAACCCCCACCCCAACCCCTCAACCCTTTGAAAATGACTTAAGACCACATTGAAGATTTTTGGCGTTGGCCAATGGGAAATTCAGGGGTTCCCAGTCTCAGGGATCCTTTTCATTATATGTATTTTTTTACTATTAGCTTTTTTTCTGTAAAATATTGTCATTTCAGAGACTAGTTGTTAGTCTAATACTTCATGTTTGTCTGTCTTAAAGTCTCTCTCTCTCTCTCTCTCTCTCTCTCTCTCTCTCTCTCTCTCTCTCTCTCTCTCTCTCTCTCTCTCTCTCTCTCTCTCTCTCTCTCTCTCTCTCTCTCTCTCTCTCTCTCTGCGTTTTGCCTGTTTCTATTCTCTGTCCCCCATCTCACTCCCCATCTCTTATCTGACCCAGTTAATTGATAGTAACCATAACAAGTTATTTATATCCTTAAAGAGAAACAGGAACGTGTGAACTGGCTCGGAATTGTCTTTCAGTGCCACGGGGTGCCATCCCCCGTGTCCTTTAGACAATAATACACGGCGTTGTTCTCCATACTTAGCTAAAGTGTGTGTCTGAGAGAGTGTCGGTTGGAACAGTAGGATATCATGGCGCGACTACGTAGTCGCACAGTTACCCTCACGGTACCATTTTCTGGGACGAAATACCATTGATCTTCCGCTCTCCCGGACAGACGCCGTATTCGCCAGATCACGTAGACAATACCGTTTGCAACACTTTAGAGACAAATTCCAATGCAAATTTCAGGGTATTCCCGTCACGGGTATAGTGCCGATAACCTCAGAATCACGACTGGAGAATTGGGCGCTGGCCATTCACGTTTATCCGGTGTGTAAAGACATCGCCTTTCCGATTGATAAACAGCATCGCACATTCCCTATCGAATATCTTTTTCTTAGCCAGGTTTGAATGACAATTTGACCTTAAATGTAGAATGGGCTTGAAGTAGAAGAATCATAAATATTCATCAGTGGGCGGAGCTTATGTGCTACGTCACATACTATTCTACACTTAAGCTCATTCTACATTTAAGGTCACAACACCCGCACGAACGCACGCAGGCAAACACACACTGAATGTGTGGTTACTGAATGGAATTATCATAAAAGAAACGAAATCACTATCTTTATAAGAGCAGGACAGTTTTCATTTATATTCCGGAAAAAATGGAATGATAAGCAAACGTATCATCAGACGTTTACTGAGAACATGTAAAGTGATGGGCTTCCTCAGAGAAAACTTCGGTGTGAAAGTTGAAGATAGGACTTTAGACAAGGCATAGTCATTGTTATCTTACTGATCTGTGTATATAAAGCATACAAATCGAATCTCGGTTTGAATTGGCAAAATCAGAACTGGAGAATTTGGCCAAGAAGATATCAATCTGATGTTGTTCATTATTAGCCAAAGAATTAGTTCCCTTCCACCGGAAGGAGCAATATATGAGACCAGTGAGACCACCTCACCTGTGTAATAGTTTGAGTCACAAACAAATTGTGTTTTCCGTTGTTTTAAGATCGATTAATGGTTGGGTTGGGTGGAATATTTGGGATGGGGAAGGAAGATTATGAAGGTGTGCGATCGCTATCCCGACGGCGTCAGATCCCCATCCATCCATTACCTGTAGCTGAATTTATAGACTTTGGTTAAAATGCAACTGGATGTGATTATTTTATTCTATTTAATTCATGTTTCTTCTTCGAATTTGGCAAGTTCTGATTGGTCAGAGGTGCCACAATCACAATAATCACAGCTGATTTGACGATGGTGCTACCGCGGAAGATGCACGGCCTTCTTCGTTGGTCGGTGGACAATATAAATGACATAGATAATTATATATATATATGTTCAATGAACGACCACAGAGAGCGACGCACACACGCGCAAGACACAGACAGACACATTAACAAACACAAGACACACGCCGATAGACACACATACACACACAAAACACAAACTTACAGACAAACATACACACACAAGACATAAACGTACAGACACATACACATGCAAGACACAAACGCACAGACACAATCAGATACACACAGACACATGTACTCACACGACACAAACGCACAGACACAATCACATACACGTAGAGACACATACACACACGAAACAAACGAACAGACACACAATCACATACACACAGACACGTACACACTTAATCGAAAACTTGCTTGAGTCTTAAATATATCATATGCATTCAAGACGACACAAACAGCGAAACTAGACTGTGCAATTGAAATAAAGAAACTATACTGCCGTACACTGGGGGCGGGGGGTCCATAGACCTCGATCTGGAGACCTCCGATTACCTCCATTCGATCAGCTTCCCATTGGACAATTTTTATCCAATCCCATTGGGTGTTTTTCATATCCTGAACTTTCATGTGTTTCATTGCTCAGGGTACTGAGTGATGCCTCATTCCTTTCTCTCGATCCGTGAAGATCCGGGTTTAGAATTGATCATCAGCAACCAATACTTATCACAAGAGGTGACTAACGGGATCGGTTGTTAGGCTCGCTGACTTGGTTGACACATGTCATCGTATCCCGATTGCGTAGATCGATGCTCATGCTGTTGATCGCTGGATTGACATTTTGACATGTACCCAATGTTTCCTCAATTTTCTAAGCTGAACAAATATGGCGAAGAACATGCTCTTATCTTTGTGACACACCTGGCATATTTGCTAAATGATATGGATACAATTTGTGAAGCCCATTTCTGTGTTCCCCGCGGTGATATTGCTGGAATATTGCTAAATGTTAATCACTGGATTGTCTGGGCCAGACTTGATATACAGACGGCCGCCATATAAATGGAATATTGCTGAGTGCTGCGTAAAACTAAACTCACTAACTCACTCACTCACTCACTCACTCACTCTTTCTGGACAACGTGCTCTGTTACCAACTGTTGGAGTTTCTTATGTCCTAGAAAAGTAGCAAACTTGTGTGTGCGGAAAGATCGTTTGAGACGTCACAACATTAAAGAGTAGTCATAACTGGTTTAATATGTCTCACAGTCCCTGAACCTCATTATTTTCCCTGTGTGTGTGTGTGCGTGCGTGCGTGCGTGCGTGTGTGCGTGTGCGTCGTGCGTGCGTGCGTGAATATTATAGTTATAGTTTGGCATGAAATGCATGTGGACCCGGTTTTTTGTAAATATATCTTCAGCCAATTACCCAATCGATCTCAAACTGTGCAAGTGGATGTTTTGTCAGACAATTAATCACATTGTAAATCACCGATGTTATGCATTTGTATTAAAGAATCTGTCTATGTAACTGTCAACAAAATCAACAGCAGAACGCAGACTGCTTGCAGAGGGAGGGAGCCAATGACCTGTAACAGCGAAAAGTGTTGGGTCATAAAGGTCAACGTTCGGCAATGTAGGTCAGCTATGCACGTGACAGGTATGAAGAGGTGTCACAGGTCGTGAATAGGGTAAGGTGGGTGCCAACTGTTAACCATCATACGGAGTTTGTTTCTCTGAGTTGTTCAACATTAACCACAAAACCCATTAGTGAGAATTATTCTGTAGGTTAAAATCTTTAAATTTGTAATGTTAATGCCATATTTTGTTTATGCAGTACCTAAGTGGAAATGTATTTTAAGAACACAGAAAGTATATTTACACTAAATCATTAATCGGACCACCTATGGTTAGAACTCAACAACTGTTAAAGCCCTGTTCCCTCGGACACAAGCACACACAATCATGCACACCCATTGAAGAAAAGATAGAATGAAGACAAAAGTGTTATGTTTTGATGTTCACATTCCAAATTAAGCAATGCAGTTCTAATAGCTTTAAGCATATTGATAGTTAATATTTATATTTTCATGATAATTTTATGTGAAATGAGTGTTTCATGTTACACTATAAGTCGTTGGAATTAGTCAGTGCTGTCATTGTTAAAAGAAGTTATATTTCTTTGAGCATATCTGGCTGGATACTTTTATTATCTGTAAATACCATAACAGAATTAAACTTCATCAAGTTCACTCCATTCTTCCACAGAGGAGTCATCAGTGTCCAGACGAATGACAACTGGATTAACTGTTTGCTCCTTCAAGCCATCTTTGAGCCAGTACTCTTTCTCCACCTTCTTGACATGTTCAACACATGCATGCCAGCGTGCAATGTCAATGTCACATATAGCAGTGTTGATTAATGTGCTTGACATCATTCAACTTGAATGATTGATTTTTCCGGGCCACTGTACTTTTAAGGTCTCCCCAGATAAGTTCGATTGGGTTGAGATCACAGTGGTATGGTGGTAATCTCAAGACCTTATGGCTGTGTTGGCGTAGCATGTTGTCAATGTTATATGTCGGTGGAGGTTTGTTAGGTTTAATCAAAGAGTACAACTGTGGTTTAGTGGCCTTAATTGAAAATTGTATATTGTTATTTGTTAGCCATTGCTGTATATCTGACTTCTTTGCATTGGAAGTTGGGCACCTATTGTTTGGATCTCGCACACTGTGATAGGGAGCATTGTCCATGACAACAAGACTTTTGTAAGGCAGAGCTGGCAACAATTGTTCCTCAACATACTGTGTGAAAACCGTTGAGTTCATTTCTGTATGATAGTCCCTACCATTTGTGCTCTTTGACCGAAATACCAGATCACACCCAGGTAGGAATCCACGGTGGGAACCAGCATGAAGAACGATTAAACGTTCACCTTTGCCTGTTGGTATTTTCCTACCACCACTGGGATCAGTGGGTAGCCACTGTCTGGCAACAGTATGGTTTGCATTGACCCAGGTCTCATCCAGATATATAGGTTCGAACCCATCCTCTCTTGCCTGCTTAATTTCTCTCAGATAGTTACACCTTATTTTCACAATATCAGATCTCTCACACATTACAAGTTTCTGGATTGCTATCTTCTTGTACTTGTATCCAAATTTGAGCAGTAGTGTGCTTAGCATAAACCTAGAAACATTAATGTCGTGATCCTCTGCAAGGATGTGTTTTAACTTTCTTGTGGACAGGTGTTCATCTTTAACAAATAGCCGGCGATTGACATCTCTGATGACCCTGATGTCAAATGAATCTAACTTTGGATGCCTACCTTTTTGTACAAGGTTTTGTTTATTGGTTGTTGGTTTATTTTTGACAATTTTAGCACGATGTTCTTTTTCATGCCAAGAGCAAAAGTTGTACGTTTCATGTAATCCAACACCTTATAAATCGGTTTGCTACGTTTGCTCTCTTTTTAAAAAAAATTCAACACATTTCTAAGTAAACGTTTAGCATCATCTGAATAAGCTTTCATGATGACAGCTAGAAGTAGTCAATGTGAATGATCCAAACGGTCTATCACTGTGCAGTACACAGGTAACTATCATGAACTGCACGTGCATTTACCTTTATGACCCAACACTGCTGCTGTTACAGGTCATTGGCTCCCTCCCTCTGCTAACATTCTGCGTTCTGCTGTTTATTTTGTTGACAGTTACACATGCATTTCATGCCAAACTATAACTATAATATTACACACACACACACACACACACACACACACACACAGAGGGAAAATAATGTGGTTCAGGGACTGTGAGACATATTAAACCAGTTATGACAACTCTTTAATGTTGTGACGTCTCAAACGATCCAGTTTCGTCTCAAACGATCTTTCCGCACACACAAGTTTGCTACTTTTCTAGGACATAAGAAACTCCAACAGTTGGTAACAGAGCACGTTGTCATGAAAGAGTGAGTGAGTGAGTGAGTGAGTTTAGTTTTACACAGCACTCAGCAATATTCCAGCTATATGGCGGCCGTCTGTATATCAAGTCTGGCCCAGACAATCCAGTGATTAACATATTCTGTACACACAATTTAATATTGTTGGGATGAGTTGCATATGTAACCTGGCTGACAAGATAATGTATGAATTTAGTTGTTACCACATTAAAAGCTCTTTGAGTGATTCCCAATTGTCTCTATGGGTATTTCAGTACGTTTTTTTAGGAACAAACGTACTTTTATATATATTTATCAGTATGACTAAATAAATATCATGTACTTGGTGTGATATTTTAAAGGGATAATTAGGACATTTAACAAAAGCATTACATTTAAAAAAATATAAGCGAAAAAATCCTTGTCCATAAACATGAATATCTCTTTTCACATCTGAGATTCCATTGAACAACAAAACAAATATACAGGTATATCATATAGTAGTGAGTGAGTAAGTTTGGCTTTACGCCCCTTTTAGCAATATTCCAGCAATATCACCGCGGGGAACACAGAAATGGGCTTCACAAATTGTATCCATATCATTTAGCAAATATGCCAGGTGTGTCACAAAGATAAGAGCATGTTCTTCGCCATATTTGTTCAGCTTAGAAAATTGAGGAAACATTGGGTACATGTCAAAATACGAATTCAACCACCTCTCTGATGTCCCCAAAACACCCGTGTTCATAGGCGGATCCAGGGGCACGCACGCACACACACGCACACTTTCTCAAAAAGCTGTATCCGTCCCTGGTGTTTTCTGTCTGTTACAGCCTTGTTATGGACAGTGACACACAGTCAACCAGGCCACAGGGACTAATTACCTGATCAGTTAGCCGTGTCTTATAACAACCATAGATCACTGGGGACCACATCCTCACCATGAAGCATAGCAGGGGAAACACCTACTTGTTAACGTTAATGCTAATGGGTATAAGTTACGAACTTACAGAAAGTTCAAGGTCTCCCATGCTGCAGAATTGTACGTAAAACATGTTATCTTTCGAGACCATCGTCGTATTTTAGCTGGGTTTGTGTGGATTTTTACAATTGTATATTGAAACGGATAGATATACCAAGCCTTCTATACCACTTGCAGAAAGGCTATGTAAATATTTTTTAAATGCTTGTACAGATTTCACTTTTTGATCCAATGTACTTTTTATAAAGACATTAGTTTTAACCTTTTAAGGCAGCTGCAGAAAGCAACCGTAATTTTAATCACCTTTGTGATGAATATAAATTGTTTTATATAATAAATTCAGATGTTTTACAAAAAGAATTAGCAACTGCACTTGTTAAAATGTTAAAAACGTCAAATGGCTGAGAAAAAAAAAATTCAATGTAATTTCATCTCATTTTGGGACTTTAAGAATCTTCTGTTATTCTTTTGTTTCTCTTTTGTTGTTTCATCAAGGAGTCTGGTGTTGTTATCAGTGTGTCTTACTAAATATCTGCACAAATCTCTATCTCCCATATTATATTCTATTATGTGTGTATCATTAATCTTGTTATAATGTATTTATAGTGTCTCCTGATGATGTACGAAATTTCAATATTCCCAATTCGCAAAGTTGTCTGACGTCATAGTGGTTAGTTATGATGTCACACTGCAATATTACACTAGCAAACGTCGCAATGCTATTACCGCTGGCACAATGGTATTAGACCTTGCTTGACTTGTGGAGAGCTGAAAGTCAATACACTTCTAAGGCAGTTTTCATCAGTTTATGTTGGAGAGTAATAAACAGAATACTAAACTCGCTTCCGTGAAATACCAGTTTTATTAAACTTGTGAAACATTTAGCATCAAACTCGCTTTCACTCATTTGATACCAAATCATTAACTCGTTTAATAAAAATGGTATTACATGGAAGGGTTAAAGAATTCGCTCATCACACGAAGGCCGATTCGATTCCCCACATGGGTACACTGTGTGAAGCTCATTTCTGGTGTCCCAAGCCCTGATATTGATGGAATATTGCTAAAAGCTGCCTAAAACTAAACTCACTCACTCACTATATATTTAATGACCGTAATATGGTCACTGGTCATTGTCATGATAAATATACACTGTCTACGTGTTAAAACTATTTAAAAAACCATTTGTTATTGTTTCAAAGAAATAAACACATCAACTGTGGACTTTTCATTGAATTCTTGAATGCACATTCATAATTGTTGATATGTACTGTACGTGCCTCCTTGTTACATTGTCTACATGTTAAAACCATACTGGACAAAAATCGTTAGGGATATATGTAAATTTTGAAATTATGAATAATGATCTATTTATTCATTGACACTCTGATAAAATATCAATCATAACAATACCAATATCCCTAACTTATTTTGTCCAGTATATGTAAAAAACATTTGTTATTGTTTCAATGAAAATAACACATAAACTGTGGACTTGTCATTGAATTCTTGAATGCACATTCATAATTGTTACCCTATAATCATGATATGTACCGTATGTGCCTCCTTGTGTATTGTATTTGCCACATTCGTTGCAGCCCATGTATCTGTGTGTTCAGATCTGGAAGCACACCAAAGAAACACTCATTAAGTTACATTTCTATTTATTTTCTCTTTCAGTTAGCCACATTTGATTTTGAAGATGACAAGGTATGTACAATGAAACAACGTGGGATGACATCTTAGTATGTACAAGACAGAGAAGTCAACTAAGTTCACATTAAATACATTTAAAAAAGAAGACAAAGTCATCAATATCCCCCCGCAATGGCAAAATACTCTTCATGATTATGTCTATGAGTTATGATTATGTAAAATATTTAGGTGTGTATATAGAAAAGTGAAAGGAGAGTATTGAAAGGTTTTTAAAGTTTTGCTCCAGAAAGGAGCGCCATCACTAATTTCAGTCTAAGTCAAACTTGTTGCCATGGAAACACCAAAAATATTTTATTCAGAATTCCAAAACTACCAAAAGGCACAAGTACACCACCAGACCAATCTATGTGCCAACTTTGGTGAAGAAATAGTGAACGGTTTTAGAGTTCTGCTCCGGAAGAGAGCACTACCACTAATTTCAGTCTAAGTCGAACTTGTTGCCATTGAAACGCCAAAAATATTTTATTCAGAATTCCAAAACTACCAAAAAGCACAAGTACACCACCAGATCTATCCATGTGCCAAGTCTGGTGAAGAAATATTGAACGGTTGTAGAGTTCTCCTCCGGAAAGTAAAATGTGCACGGACAGACGGACACACGGACAGAGTCCATTTTAATACCCCCCGCAAAACGCGTTGCAGGGGATAATAAAACATAACAAACAAAGGGAGTACCTAAAACCATGAAACAAAACATATGAAAATATTATACAAATTTAAACATAATTTCCATGTATTCTTTTTCTCCAATCAAAACACACAAATGAAGAAGATGAAATTTATCCCGGACAGTGAGTTAGTGATTCTATTCTCATGGTTCCATAGTGACTCATAGTTGACTTCTCTGTTGATTTATGAGGATCAATTTAACAGTATCAGTTCATGAGCACTTCAATCTGTACAAGTCTAGAGTTGGTATCCCCCGGCAACCGGTATGGCAGCATCCCAGCAAACATGATCAGTGCTCTTGCTTGACTCCTCAAGTAGTTCAAATACTGAAAATAGAAAGAAACACTTAATTTCTAATATAAAGCAATTTTATTTATATCAGCAAAAATACCAGTCATGAATTGGAAACTCTTCATTTCTATTATGGAAAGCATCAGTCTCATATATATACAGTTGAAATTGAGGAATGAAAATCTTTCACATACAGTATGATAGCCTTCATCCATATACACTTATAGGAAGGGGGTTATTTTACTGACCGTGTCTTTTCCTCCATCATCCAGTCGTCCTCTCTGTCCTGGTGTTGGACTTTGGATACCAGCATTTCTGAAATAGAGGAAAAATTACCTTCATAATTTGTTGTACCAATAATCCTGGGTTGTCTTTATTGAATATGATCAGTCATGCACAAGCCCACAAAAAGTAACTCATATTCCAATACTGTAAGAAAGTACCATGTGAATCAACAAGGTACCATCTTAAGCCGCTTTTACATGCACACATTTACTTACAGGAGTATATTTGCTTATGTATGTCAGAGCTCCAGATAAGGATTTAGCTCATGTGGGTACTGTACCCACTGTATGTTTTTGGAGTGGGTATTATGAATGTTGAGTGGGTATTTCATTTTCCGTTACCCACTGCTTTCAAATATGTGCATTACTTAAATATAATGGAAATGATTTCATAAAAAATCACTCATCCTATACTGACAGTACAACACTTGTCTTATACTAACAGTACAACTTGATAGCAATCGATGTCTTTTTCATTACGCAAGCAATTTTTATAAATATATTTCATACACATTTGTTTTAAACCTTTTCTGTATCTAACAATTATTTTTCAATGCATAATTGGAAATTTTATATGCGTATTTTACCCCGATACACAGCTTATCTGGGCCTCTGAGTAAGTAAATTTACCTATGGTAAGTAAATTGACCATGTAAACGTCACAAAACAAATTTACTCACATAAGTATTCATACTCCAAGAGTAAATTTACACCTGCTCTGGAGGTAAAGTAAATGTATATTTACTCTTGGAGTATTTTACTCCAGGAGCAAATTGACACTTGTAAATGACCCTTTAGTCAAATATTTTCTTGCTTTTTGACAAGGTGCTCATGTAATTTGATGCATTTCTCAAAGCAAGACTTGTTTTATTATGATGCAGAAGCTGTTTATTGATCCGACTGTCTCGACTATAAGCCTTGTTTGAAGCAAGTGATGTGAGAGTAGGAATCTGATATTGATCAACAGGTGGACTGACAAAAGGACAACTTGTAACAGCTACTGCTGCTGCTTCAAGCCACATCATTCCAGCCGTGTCCTGACATGACAGCTGCAGATTTATACTTCTAACACTGTTTATTGATTCAGTTTTACACCACTTTTAGCAATGTTCCAGCAATATTACGGAGGGGAACACCAGAAATGGGCTTCACACACTGTACCCATGTGGGGATTCAAACCCAGGTTTTCGGCGACTATTGCATTGTCTTCGCAACCGTCATTTATATGGGAACGGAACCCGTGTCTTCGGCTTGGAGAGATATGATTACAATGCTTCTAAGATGACATGATTACAATGCTCCTATGCTACTAAGATAATGAGCAAATTGAGGACCCCAAATGTGATGCTACCCCATATATCACAATATGGCTGCAAACCATATCGATCAACAGATTAAGGAGTGATTCAGTATGGCTTTATGCCACTTTTTTGTAATATTCCAACAATAAAACTGTTGGGTACACCAGAAATGGGCTTCACACACTTGACCCATGTAGGGAATGGAACCTGGGTCTTTGGTTAGACAGGCAAATGTTTTACCTGCAAGGCTACCCCACCGCCCCAGCAGATTGAGGACATTGTGCAGGTGGTTTTCCTTACCTGAGGTTCTTGTACTTGTTGTGGAGGATGTTCATCACAGCCAGGAGGATGTCTGGCAAACACCGTCGCACCTACAACATGAGTGAGTGAGTGAGTTAAAATATAAAGTCACCTTGGCAATATTCCAGCCATATAGTGATGACATGAGTGAGTGAGTTTTACTCCACTTTTAGCAACATTAGAGCAATATCACGGCTGGGGACACCAGAAATGGGCTTCACACAGTGTACCCATGTGGGGAATCGAACCCGGGTTTTCCGGCATGACGAGCGGACACATTAACCATTATGCTACCCCATCACACCACCTAAAAGATGAATGCCTTAGATGGTTGGCTTTCCTGATTATTGTGCTGACAAACCTTGAAAGGCAGCAGGGCAAATATGCTTTTTTAAAATGGGGAACATAAAGTTGTTGTCAGCTGGTATGTCCTAGAATACAGAGTGATGTACCCTGTATGTGAGCTTTTGTACCGTCTGAGCAAGCCAGTGTGGCCTGCGTGCAAGCTAATATTCTCTGTGCAATGATGTACCCTGCATGAGCTGATGTATGCCAGCTGATGAAACTTGACAACAAATAATGTCATGATTTGAAGCATATGTAGAATAGCATCAAGATACACCCTTACCTCATCTGTGAAGTGACGGAAAGAGTTGACCCTGTGTTCTACTTCCTCCGCAGTCAGTGGAAGCAACTTGAGCTGTTTCACAACCTGTAACAACATACAAACACGGTGGTAATCTTGGCAGCTTGATCCCTGAGAGTTGCTAGGACGTAAGTCCTGTTCCACAATGAAGCACACCTGACACATGTAGTCTCTTAGGCAAATGAGTTTGTTCATAAATCGCCTCTGGTCACCCAGCAGTGAATGGGTACCCGGTGGATAAGTCATATGACTGTTAACCTTCTTGTGCCTCACAGGCAGCTTGGGTTAACCAGGTTAACAAGAATAACATTGTGCGCTTCTTTCAGCATGCACAAGTGTGTGGAAACAGGCGCTTTATAAAAAGCCATTATCATGTATCACAATCTCTGGAAACCTCAAGCAAGTATCTACAACACCTTCATAGGCGGATCCAGAGGGGGGGGTGCAGGGCTGCGCACCCCACCTTTTGTGCTGAAAGTTTGTTAAATGACCATTGAAACTCGGGTGAAAATGAAGTGTGCACACCTCCTTTTCTCAATAGTGTGCACCCCCCTTTCTAAAAAAGCTGTATCCGCCCCTGACCTTCATCAGTAGGCAATTTGGATGACAACATGCAACATTTTACTCCGATGATAAATGACATATGAATCCTTTTTCTAAGTTTCTGCAACAATGAACAAAGGCACATGTAAATGGGGGAAAGGGATAAACTGACCATTCCCTTTCGCCTAGGTTCACTGCAATCATTCTTACCTCTTAACCTTAGTCCATACTACCAATATTGAAGATAAGTCAATCACTTTAACCATGTTCTTTCACAGTGACTTTCACCTCTAAACCTTGGTCCATACTACCGACATTAAACATGAGCCAATCAATTTAACCGTGGTCTTTCACAGTGATTCTCACCTCTAAACCTTGGTATACTACCAACATTTAACATGAGCCAATCAATTTAACCATGGTCTTTCACAGTGATTCTCACCTCTAAACCTTGGTATACTACCAACATTTAACATGAGCCAATCAATTTAACCATGGTCTTTCACAGTGATTCTCACCTCTAAACCTTGGTATACTACCAACATTAACACAATCAATCAATTTAACCTTGGTCTTTCACAGTGATTCTCACCTCTAAACCTTGGTCCATACTACCGACATGGTACAGGTCGAAGAAGGTGATCAAGTCAAGCAGAAGGTAGAAGGTGTTGGATGTGGCCTGTGTGCCCTCATAACCAAGTGTCCTATACCTGCAATTATGGGGTCATTGATCATTTTTCAGCCGACAGATTTTAAAATGCTAACTCTGAAATGGGTTCTTTGATTTCTGTTAAATGAATACAAAAAATCTAGTAAAGCAGTGACAAACAGAGAAGTGAGTAAGTGAGTTTAGTTTTACGCCGAACTCGGCAGTATTCCAGCTATATGGCGGCAGTCTGTAAATAATCGAGTCTGGACCAGACAATCCAGTGATCAACAGCATAAGCATCGACACAGATAGCATTCAGACGTTGACCCGATGTTGGCAATGGTTTTGCCAACATTGCCAACGTTGGGCCATCATCCGAATGCCATCTGGGGATCTACACAAATGGGAACCGATTGAAATGTGTCAACCAAGCCAACGAGCCTGACCACCCAATCCCATCAGTCGCCTCTTACGACAAGCATGGGTTACTGAAGGCTCATTCTAACCCAGACCTTCATGGGTCGACTAACAAAGAAACATAATCAGGGCAAATCTACGAATCACACAGAAATACCATGTGTATTATGCGGATTATTTCGTTTTGTTGAACACCAAACTCAGCAATATTCCAGCTATATGGCAGCAGTCTATAAATAATTGAGTCTGGACTAGACAGTCCAGTGATCAATATCATGAGCATCGATCTATGAAATTTGGATACGGTGACATGCGTCAACCAAGTCAGCGAGTCTGACCAACCGATCCGGATCCCAATCATGTGGACAAGGGGTTGCCACTCTAGACAGTGGATTGCAGCATTTTAATTGTCTGGGTCACCCCAAACCAAAGATGTTATTGTGAAAGGTCAGATACAGGAATACAAATCTTGTTAGGAACCTCACTTTAAATCCCAGATATCAGATATTTCTTTTGCCAATAATATTGCTCACATTTACATTGTCACACAAAGCATGTCATCCAAAATTTGAAATTCTGGACAACTTAGACAGTATTAAAATGATAATTTTTAGTGTGCTCATCAGTATTGTTGGTGTGAAGCCCATATTTTATACTTATCCTGACTCCCATGCTTATTGCTTGTCTTCTTCTTGTTGCGAACATAGTGGAAAACACAAGTAGTCTAACCCAATTTTGGGAAAGTTCCTTCAATAAAAAAATCACTAATTAGTACTCATCCACTCATGTTACCTCCCTTCCACATAGTGGAAACATCTCTTGGATCTCCTAATTGAAGCCCTTCAATGTAAAATCACTCAACACCATGTGCCTCAGCTGAAAGGTGGCTTCACCCTCTCTCTCCTCCATATTTTTCGAGCCAAACACTTGAATTTCCAGGGAAATCCAAAGTGTTATGTGGGGAGGATGGGAGGGTTTACCTCATGAGTCAGGATAAGTATAAAATATCAATTTTACTATAAATATTACATATTTTTCCTTATCCTGACTCATGCTTATTGCTTGTAGAATCCGACGGAAAAGGAGGTGGGAATATATAATACTTTGGACTTTAATAATTAGTGATTTGAACTGTGATGATTGTAATAACCCTATGGGAACTTCATAAAGGCACTGAACTGATGAATTCCGGCTGCTAACTTATCAGCTGCCATATAAAGGTTATTACAATGTACTTATTATGATAAAAGTATATATAACATTAATACAATGCTTAAGACTAATAGACTTAAGCTTGTTAATATGACAGCATAAACACCTTAGAGTTTGTTAGCTAAAATACTTTTATGATATAAACATAGTACTGAGCTTAAGATATGATTAAACTTAAGCTAAATATATAATAGCAAAAACTCCTTAGAGTTTATTAGCTAATATACTTTTATGAAGTAAACATAGTACTAAGCTTAAGATATGAATAAAACTTAAGCTATATATATAACAGCAAAACTTCGTAGAGTTTGTTAGCTAATATATTTTATGATATGAGTATAGTACTGTGCTTAAGATATAATTAACTTAAGCTACCTAAATAGCCAAAAACACTCCGTAGAGTTTGTTAGCTAATACATTTTATAATGTAACCATAATGCTTAAGATATGATGAAACTTAAGCTAAATATATAATAGCAAAATACTCTTTAGAGTTTGTTAGCTAATATACTTATATGATATAAACATAGTACTGAGCTTAAGATATTGATAAACTTAAGCTACATATATAATAGCAAAAACTCCGTAGAGTTTGTTAGCTAATACATGTCATAATGTAACCATAATGCTTAAGATATGATGAAACTTAAGCTAAATATATAATAGCAAAAAACTCTTTAGAGTTTGTTAGCTAATATACTTATATGATATAAACATAGTACTGAGCTTAAGATATGAATAAACTTAAGCTACATATATAATAGCAAAAACTCTGTAGAGTTTGTTAGCTAATATATTTTTATGATATGAGTATAGTACTGTGCTTAAGATATAATTAACTTAAGCTACATATATAATAGCAAAAACTCTGTAGAGTTTGTTAGCTAATACATTTATAATGTAACCATAGTACTGAGCTTAAGATATGATTAACTTAAGCTTAATATATAATAACAAACTCCGTAGAGTTGTTAGCTTATATATTGTATACATGATATAATAATCATAGTACTGAGCTTAAGATAATAAAAGAACTTAAGCAAAATATATATAGCATGTAGCTATTTAGTACTGTTATAAGATAAGTAGAAATCTGTAAGATTGACTTATCTTCTCCGAGGAACTATCAACTGTTGTGCGCGGACCATGGGGCCGAATTGGTGGATACCTGAGACGCCTCGGTGGTGATATCTCTCAGATAGTGGTTGGCAAACACCATATCGGATCTCCAGAAATAACCTCCATTATGGTATTTTTCAATAGCACTTGCCGTAGAGCAAGTGTAGATGTTAGCTCTAATATCATGAGGATTAGAAGCTCTTGGAGGGTCGAGTCCTGCAGTCTCAGAGAGGCACATAGTATGACAGTTCTGATCCAAAAGGAGATAGTAGTACGTGACTTCAGTCTGCGTAGCTTGTTGATAGAGGAAATAAATCTCTTGAATTTTTTCCCTCCTGTTTGGCCTCGGTGGAGATATATTTTCAGTGCTCTTACTGGCCATCGTGATAGATTCATCGTGATCATGGGGTCCAAGTATATCATCAAAGCGTGTTCATAAACCTCACTTGTGAGGTGTTGGAGCACTATATTCAGATCCCAAGTTGGAGCGTGAAACTTCCGCTTTAATCCTCCAATCGAAAGCTCAGCAAGGAGAGTAACTGGGTTAAGGTTAACTTGACGCTCGTTCTCAGTTATGATAGAGCTATTGCTGCAAGATAGGTGGACAAGTTGAGCCTTTTAAAATCTTAGTCTGACGATAACATAATTATTCAGCCACTTGAGGATGAGTAGAATATCTAGCTGTAAATCCTTTCTTTGCAGCATAATTGTCAAACTGTGCCATTTGTCATCGTTATAAGTTGCCAGTTGAGTTACGCAGGGCAAGCTAGACTGCTTTGCCGCTCTGGCTGAATAACCTGTTATTCAGACACCTTGATACAATTCATACATTGAAGTTGGAATATTTCTGGCTTTCCGATGCGCTAGTTTGGTGTGCGGATGTATTAACAGATCTCGAAAGCACTCTGTAAGATGTAGTATTGGTTGTCCGATTTCTTGAATAAGAGTTTGAAACCACGTTCTTCGCTGGTCAGTAGGTCGACCACTCAAATTCAGATGGAGGCTCTGCGTTTGACTGATTTTGAGTAAACTTGTGAGATTAACGCTGGTGGCGGAAAAGCGTACGCGTTGAGTCCTTCCCACGATATGCTTAGTGCGTCTGTTGCCAATGCTAGTGGGTCTGGAACTGGCGATACGAATATTGTCAGTTGTTTGTTGAATCGAGTGGCAAATAGGTCTATTAATGGAGTTCCTATTTCCTTGATAATTTGAGTGAATATCTCTGTATGGAGCATTCATTCTGTCGGCGATGGTATGTGTGGCCGAGAGAGAGCGTCTGCTATCACATTCTTTGCTCCTGGAATGTGATGTATGTTGAGATTGTCGATCAAATCGAACAATTGAAAACATAGAGTCGATAGGTTCGGGGACCTGGTTGAGCTTAGTTTGTTCACATAAAAACGCCACTGTCGAATTGACTGTGTGAATCATCCACTGGGTATACTGTAGTAAGTTGCTCCAGTGCATTAAGGCGTTTATCACTGCTTACATCTCTGGCAGATTTATGTGTAATTTGCTCTCTTGATTGCTCATAGCCCTGATGCCGTCCTGTTGGCAAGATGGGCTCCCCAACCTTGTAGTGACACATCTACGTAGAGAAGTGTTATCGATTCCAGCTCTATTAACGAGACGCCTATTCAAACATTCGATCTCTTGGTCCACCATAGTAGATGAGGTTTGACCTGAACCGGTAAATTGAACGGTAGAGATTCGTCTAGATGCGAATTGATGATGACTTGTAACGCGAATGTAATTGTAGTCTGCCTCTGCCTGTCATGTCCTGAGCTGAAGTGCGAACCCCAACAGGCTCTGCCACTGTCGTGAGTGGTAGCGGAGATAGTAAGACTTGTGGAAATGACTGTTGGATCTTGATCCATGGTCCTCCGTACAATTATACGATTCTGCGCCGTTACAAATCAAAACCTAGAATTAGCAGATCTTGCGAAGGTTCTAGGTCCAACTTAAATAGGTTTACTAACCATCTAGTTGTAAGTTAGTAGCTTGATGATGAAATTCAACTGTAGTCTGAGACGCTATGGATTTGGATCCACTTGTATCCCGTCATCGAGGTAAACTCGCTGCGAAGTCCTTGACGATGTAGGTGCACAACCAGGAGTGACTGCCATCGTTGAACTTTATGTAAAAAATCGTCTGACTGCTGTGCCCTCGTCCTTACTTGACAGGGGAGGTCTCTAACCGCAAGAAGGCAGCCCAATCATGAAGGTTCAGATTAGCTGGACTGTAAGGAGGCTTGCTCGTTAACTGATATAGTGTTGTCAACCTATGTCTTGAACTGTGAACTATGATCGACCTCTGCGTAGGGCGTTGTCCATCTCGGTCCAATCAGAACAAGGCATTTTGATTCTGTAGAGTACCCGCGCTGTGATGTCACCGGTGTGGCAGGAAAAGGAACCTTGTATAATATAGTGCCGTCGTTGATATTAGAACAATTGTCGGTCTTCACCGTAGCTTCCCGAAGTTACCCGAGTGACCACGTGTTTCGAGGGTTAATGGTAACGCGAAAACTTACCGGGCGCGAAATACCTCGCTCTGTAATATTAATGCTGGGTAGTTTATTTCCTGGCTGTCGTGAAAGTAACTTCAGTCTTGAAGATAATTCCGACTTCCTTATATAAGGTTCAATAAAACTTGCAAGTTGTCAGCTTGTAGACTGTTAAAGCTGAACTTGTTCATATTTCTTCTCAGGAAATCGATGATTCGATTATGAGTTTTACATCGCTGTAACAAGCCTGCTGTTCAATTTCGTTATTGAATTGTCTGCAGATCTATGAAGGTCACGCATGTAGATAATCAGATCGTAGTCCGGGATTGCATACCTAGCAATCTATACGAAATGTTGATTCCTGTGAAGATCTCACGAAACGTCATTGATGCCCTTGATGTAGGTAGTCGGCTTGAAGATCCTTAATTAGGCTCTTCATCTGTTGATAAAATAATACAGCCACGCTTCTGTGTTGTAAATAGCCTGTGCAATTGTCTTCGCTGTAGTCTTGTAGACGGCATATGGCATACAGTTGATAGACAACTCATGCGATGTCTTGAACGGACTGACGAAAGTGGCTATATATGACGAAAGTGGCTAGTATATGGAGACCTTGAGGAGACTTCTCGGGCTTAACTGGACTTCGCGAAGATCTCGGCATCCCTTCTAGATCTTCTGGGTGAAGTAGACTTGAGCCACTTAGCCTTCGCGACCTTCGCGAAAGTATCGAGTCAGAGTCCGATCAATATATGAGCCCTTGCTTCGCGAACGACCTCTGTGTTCTACAGGGTGTGGGCTCAGCAAAGCGCTCCTCCTCCGCGATGTCCCTCGCAACTGGTGAGGCTCTAGCTCCTTTGCGGAGGCGGCCTGGGACTTCCTTAGCGAAGTGTCTAGAGTCCGATCAATATATGAGCGCTTGCTTCGCTTGAGAATGACCTCTGTGTTCTACAGGGTGTGGCTCGGCAAAGCGCTCCTCCCCGATGTCCCTCGCAACTGGGTGAGGCTCTAGCTCCTTCGCTGAGGCGCCTGGGACTTCCGCAGCGGGCGTTCGCCACGGTCTGCTGCCCTTCGCCGAGGGGAGGCGCTTTACAGCTCTGGGGACTCCACGCTGAAGTCAAGGCGGGCTCTGGGGCCCTGTATGACTTATTATGGGTTGGGCTCTGGGGCCCGTAGCTCTGGGGCCTCTGTAAACCGTATCGGTCCTCCATCAGTCTCATGATTTGGTTGACCAGGTCGTCTGGGATGGTCTGCGCTGGCGTTGAGGGTGTCCTCTGTGATAGTGACGGATCCTCAATTATAATCTCCGGCCAGCCGTAGGGCATCTCTGGTTGCATGTTGATCTGCGCTGAAGTGACGGTAGCCAATACTGGTCACTTCTTATGACGTACCTCTGGAATTATAATCGGAATGTCATCATCATATAAACATAATTCTGAATATCAGAAGTAAAGGTGGGTTTTTTTTTTAGTAGCCTTCGTGGATTTCCCTTTTGGCGAAGCTGTAGACCTGGGGGTTCGAGCTTACGTTGAGATCTATTACATGGAAGCTCATCTAGTCTTAGACTGTGATGAAGGAACGCCCTGGATGCAGGTCGCTTCTAGGATATAGCGGACTGCGTCCCACGCTTAACCCCCGAAGGTAACTCAGGATATATCTGACTCCGATCTATTAGCCATGACTGAAGATTGTTTCCGAGATCTATCTGCCATCCATCACAAGACGCAAAACAAATATTTATCAAAGGCAGAATTAGACAAATTAATACATAATTTACAGCGTGAAACAATAGAGCATGGAGATATGCAACTAGGGCATCTTAAATGCGGATCGGTAGCAGAGTAACGTAATTTACAAACAGTGCAGATTTTTATTAACGCAAACTGCTGAGCAAACACGGCGAACAGTGAATCAAGCAGCAGAAACACGAATAATTATCAATGCATGTTGAATAAGGATACTAGTTACACCTCTATAGATGAATATAAGAGGTAACAAACTAAATATAAATAAAGGATATTGCAGGGAGACACAGGCGCTCTCACGTCTTGCTCACTGGGCGAAGAAGGAGAGAGTGAGGCACATGGGTTGAGGTGGCGCCCTCGTTCCCGCGCTTGTGGAAGGGAGGTAACTCGTGGTGAGTACTAATTAGTGATTTTTTATTGAAGGGAACTTCAATTGGGAGATACACGTGTTCCACTATGTTCGCAAGAAGAAGAAGACAAGCAATAAGTATGAGTCAGGATAAGGAAAAATGACAAGTTTTTGTGTGTTCATCTGTATGGTTGGTTTGAAGCCCATATCTGGTGTCCCCTGTCCTGATATTGCTGGAATACTGCCCCCAATTAATATTGCTCAAAGCGGCATAAAACTAAAGTCATCCACTCAGTGTGCTTGTTGGTAATCTTGTATGTGGAAAAACTGACGAAAGTAGTCTTACCTTTCTACTCATTTTGGGAAATGTGCCAGAGAAAATATTAATTTAAAATAAATTTACGAAGCCTTACAGTGGACCACACCTTACCACTTGGTCCTGAATGACTGCAGCACACTATGGCTCCGCAATATAACCGGTTTACCGGTATTTACCGGTTCAGACATGAAAACGATACGTATTGCGACATGCTGATCGAAAACCGGTATTTTGACATGCATTCGGAAAACTTCGTAACACTCGGAAATCTTCGGATATTTCCGTTTTTTTAATTGTTCTTTTCCCTGTTTAATTAGTGCCAAATGTTACTTACATTTTTATTTTGTCATGATTAAAAGTTTTATTAAAGGTGAATCAATCATAGTGATTTTGTTGTGTTTTTGCTTTATAATCAAGCATTAACTCGATTATAAATAGTTTTTGTTAAAAAAATAATTCTTGCAATATATTGCAATACATATCGCAATATATGCTTCCGCATCGCAATATCGCAATATGAAAATTCTCTGCAATACCCACCCCTACAGCACACACTAACCTCTGAGCAATCCCAAGAGCCATGTTTTTCAGCCTGTCTCTGTTGGACTGTGGCGCCCCTGGCTGGGAGATCACCTGACTCAGCAGCTTGTTTAGCAAGGTCAGCGTCTTCTCATGGTTCTGGAAGACAAATAGGAATTTTTCGGTGTTTACAGAATGCATAAATATCCAGCCATTTACTGTCAGTTTATAAATAATCTAGTCTGACCTGACTAACGAGCCTGACCACCTGATCCCATTAGTCGCCTCTTACGACAAGCCTCTTCAAACGACAAGCATGTACTTGGTTACTGAAGAAAGTTCATTCAAAACCCACATCATCAAGTGTTTGCCACTGATATGGTAATGCCACGCTATATTTACTCATGAACAGGAAGTTTGAAAACCCAATGTAGGCTGTAATTGAAAACACTGGTGACCTTAAATAAAAAGAGGTCACCGAAATCTACTGGTGTCTGCGTAAAACCCCAATGGCGGCTGTCACCAAATTTGAAGAGTTTTAAAAGTGGTCAAAGTGTCGTGGTGACTTTGAAAATAAGGTCAAGGTCAGGCTGTCACCAAATTTGAAGACACTGGGTACAACAGTCCATGATAGCTAACAATATCAAAACGTTAACATGAAGAGGTGACAAATTAACTGGTGTGGACAAAGAGTGACAAAAGTGGACAAAGTGTCGTGGTGACTTTCAAGAAAAGGTCATGGTCAACCAAATAAACTGGTGTCTGCATAATCCCCTTATGTAGGCTGTCACCAAATTTAAATATATTGGATACAAAGTGCATGAGATATCACATTTACAAGAGTTTAAAAAGTGGTCAAACTGTCGTGGTGACCTTGAAAATAAGGTCAAGGTCACACAAATCGATTGGCATCTGCGTAATCCCCCAATGTAGGTTGGCACCAAATTTGAAGACATTGGGTACAAAAGTGCATGAGATATCGCGCTAAAAAGAATCGGGACATACAGATGTATGGACGTACGGACGGACGGACACCGCTGAATACATAGTCCCCCGTTCCGCGTTGCAGTTGGGGACAACTAAATCATGCTGAAAGAAACATACCTTTGCTAAATCAAACAACATCACAGCATCTTCAAAGAGTCCTTTTGATTCTGTATCCTTGGCAACCAGCTCTATTATCTTCTGTGTGTCTCTGTTGAACTTGTCAATAGCACCAGGCTAAAATCCAGTAATTGATAGCTTCATGTTTGCATACTGTTCACAAAATCATACACCATGACCTCAATGACATATAATCTTCCTTATCTGAGTTTAAACACCCATCATCGTACATAAACATCTTTTAAGTTTAAGGGAGACAACTCTTCCAGACTTGTCAGCTGCTGTTATTTGCATTTAAAGATGTAGCAAGGTACTTCTGTCATGGAAGTCTCTGGGACTGAAAACAAGACATGTCAGTGGATATAGCCAGCACTGAATATAGTTGATCTATTTTCTACTGATCAAAGCAACACTTACTTTCCTAGTGCCATCTCTTTCGAGTTTTCCCAGGAGCATTTCAAACTGGAAACAAAAAATTTATTGTTTGTTAAATGAACTTTTACACTTTGCATTGATGTATTAACTACAAGTTCAATTTAATAAAACTAGGGATGTAAGCTGTCTGCAGGGATGGAAATAACTTTAAATTGATAGTGTACTCCAGTACAGTGGAACATGTAAAGCCAATTGCCCTGATAATTTTTCCACGATTCCGACCGTTTTCTTGCTGATTTTTTAAATAAACAACATAATTTACATTGGAAAGTCAACTGGACACCGGTACAGTGTGATATACAAATTTGCTTGCCCAACAGAAAAAAACACTGGACTCGGACGTCGGGCAATGGGTTATTTCCACCCCTGCTGTCTGTATTCAGAACACTTTATCTTCCTCTGGTATGAATGTTTAAAATCAAAATGTCAACCATATTTCAAGTTGAAAATGGAAGGACAACAGCATGCTAGACTGTGCGTACATATATTTAAAACATATTCACAAAGTAACAGCACTTCTTCCAGTGATGATAAGGGCAGTTTCCGGCTGACACATTCTGTGATTTAAACAGGCCAAACCATGCATTTGCTCAGTTCTGTCAAAACTTCACGGGTGAAACTTCATTCATCAAGCTGAAGACTCAGGTTTGATTACCCACATGGGTGAAGCCCACTTCTGGTGCCCTCCGCCGTGATATTGTTGGAATATTGCTAACAGTGGCATAAAACTAAACTCACTCACACTATAATTTCACAATTTATAGGTCCGTCTCCTATTCTCGCGCGTCTCCTATTCACGCGGTAAACATGTTTTCTGCCGAAATCCCTGATGCGCGACACTTATAGTTTGGCATGAAATGCATGTGGACCCCGGTTTTTTGTAAAGATCTCTTCATCCAATGATCCAATCGATCTCAAACTGTGCAAGTGGATGTTTTGTCAGACAACCTAATCACATTGTAAATCACCGATTTTATGCATTTGTATTAAAGAATCTGTCTATGTAACTGTCAACAAAATCAACAGCAGAACGCAGAATGCTTGCAGAGGGAGGGAGCAAATGACCTGTAACAGCGGCAGTGTTGGGTCATAAAGGTCAATGCACGTGCAGTTCATGATAGTTACCTGTGCACTGCACAGTGATAGACCGTTTGGATCATTCACATTGACTACTTCTAGCTGTCATCATGAAAGCTTATTCAGATGATGCTAAGCGTTTAATTAGAAATGTGTTGAATTTTGTTAAAAAGAGAGCAAAGCGTAGCAAACCCGATTTATAAAGTGTCGGATTACATGAAGCGTACAACTTTTGCTCTTGGCATGAAAAGAACATCGTGCTAAAAATTGTCAAAAATAAACCAACAACCAATAAACAAAACCTTGTACAAAAGGTAGGCATCCAAAGTTAGATTCTTTTGACATCAGGGTCATCAGAGATGTCATTAGCCGCTATTTGCTGGAAATGAACACCTCTTCATACCTGTCGCGTGCATAGCTGACCTACATTGACGAACGTTGACCTTTATGACCCAACACTGCCGCTGTTACATGTCATTGGCTCCCTCCCTCTGCAAGCATTCTGCGTTCTGCTGTTGATTTTGTTGACAGTTACATAGACAGATTCTTTAATACAAATGCATAAAATCGGTGATTTACAATGTGATTAGGTTGTCTGACAAAACATCCACTTGCACAGTTTGAGATCGATTGGGTCATTGGATGAAGAGATATTTACAAAAAACCGGGTCCACATGCATTTCATGCCAAACTATAGCGGTTGTTTACATCACTGAATGGTAACTAGGAAGTGGCCCAAGTCTGTGAGTGATCAAAATCTTGCAATGTCACGAAAATTGGGGAGTTTATACCAACTTGGACACATAACCCTTTCATAACTTTAATTCCTCTTTATTCCGCGAGAATTGTAGAAGCCTCATTTTGTCAATGACGGATGGCAGTGTTTATCACTGGGGTCACGAGTGGTAATTCACCTGATGGATCTAGCAGCTGATAGATGCAGATGTTAGAGGAGAAGGCCCTTCATTTAAAAACAACGAGCATTCATACAATAAGAATTGTTTGTGTTACTTTTTCAACCGATACCGGTAAGTACCACGAGAATAGGAAACGCCTTCCTACTTTGGAACTGAGATGCCAATTGCAGAATGTGGCCAAGACAGAAGCTACCATAAACACCAATGTGCAAAAATTATGAAAATTGAAAGGCTCAGTGCCCTGCTGCAACACACTGTTCAAAAGACAGTGCCTGAGAAACCATTGTTCTCAGATACCACAGTTACCTCTCTTGTTTCGAGAACCAGCTCACTGACACAAGACATGAACAAGTTGTCATCACTGCTGGTACGTAAATCTCTGCAACATAAAACAAACACTGTTATTAAAAATAGGCCTCATCGTGCATAAATATATTCTTATTAGACTGAATACTTTGACTGATGATGTTACCATGGAAACATTTTAACTAAATTACATAGTGGAGTATCACAGGCATACAGGGATAAGCACCTGTTAAATAACAGATATGTTAAATTTTACCTAAGGAAGTAGAAGTACTGCAAGGCTTCCCGTGCATCAGTAGCTTCGAACTTGCGTGTGTACATCATGATGAGTCGAGCCAGATTCAGCCTCATCATCGGGGATGTGTCACTGGAGTGACTGGATACTGGAAACACAGATCACAAAACTCACCCGTCTCACTTTCTCAGTTTGATATACAGTCAGGCCGCGTTAGTCCGGACCCGATAATACGATTCCCGAGATATCTGAATGGTAGCTAGCTGTAACCAATCTTGTTTACTATGTAAACTCATTAACTGTTGCTTCATTAATCCGGTGTTTCACTCCCCGGATCTGGTCGTTAATTAGCGGTAACGGATTAGCTAATTACACTTGGTTTTGCTTCATTAATCCGGCGGTATATCCAAAAGGTTCGGATAATCCCCTTACCTCATGAGCACCATTGATTAGAGCTGATCTTCATCGGTAAACTTCAGTGGTAATTGATAAGTGAGGTGACACTTCTGAGTTGAACATGTCGTTAGTTTGTGATTTTAATCAATTAATAGGTCTCACTTGTGCAAACGCAACTGGCACCATCAAAACATGTATACGTTCTTATGATCTTGTCTCGGTATGTCAAAAGGAAGTAACTCTATTGTAGTGGTGTTCATAATGGTTTGTTCAGTAGTCCGTACGTTTCACTATCCGAACGTTTTTGATGAAAAACGAAAGTGTCCGGATTAACGCGGCCTGACTGTAATATTATTACAAATTGTTCCATTATTGAATTATACCTCATCAAATCAAACCTTTCACTCAGTCTCATCTTCACACAGAGGTGGATAAAAATATATATGTCTAAAGACATTGCACCTCCTGTTTCAAGTAGAGTAAATTCTCATTCTTTTAGCTCAAAAACATTATTTGAAAAGCATTAAATTAATCATATAAATTTAACAGTCAAATTAAATAGGTTTTAAAAAAGTCTGCAATTGCAACATCAGCAAAAACCCTCTGACCTGAAAGCATCTTATGTCTCCAATTGGCCAGCAGTGCAAGGAGCCTACATCTACACACAATGTAAGCTTCAACATATATAACTGCTAATCCCTACTCACACAGCTGTGCCTGACAGTTCACTGGCAGTGCTAGGAGCTTCAGCTCATACAGGACAAGTGCCACATGAACAGCATGACATCGCAGCCTCTCAATCCGGGACAGGAACTCAATGGCAGCTTCAAACTGTGCTGTCAAACACAGCACTTGGAAGTACAGAAATGGTTGACTGTAGCCGTTAAAGTGACTCTCACCTGAAGAACAGAGGAAACATAAAGCAATGATGGTTCAAAGGGAGTGTGAGTGAGTTAGGTTTCAGTAATATTATGGCAGGGGGCACGAGAAATAGGTTTCACACATTGTGCACAGGTGGGGAATCAACCCAGGCCTTCTGCATGACGAGTAAACGCTTTAACCGCTTGGCTACGCCACCCTTAATGGTTCACATACTTTGATGACTGAGATCACAATTCAATGTAGTTAGGACTCTGACCGTTTGAGTAAAGATGGGCTCAAGTCATTTCTCAAAGACAGTATTATCGGAACAAGGGAGGCAACTCTGATATTCACTATTCGACATGCTTGTTGTTGATGGGGAAGAGAGACACTTTCAAGAGCCCAAGGTATAAAGTCTTATTTCTCGAGTTGTAACTGTGGCAGTGTTGTATACATATATCTGTATTTTACATATTTGTATATATTTAATGTTGTAATGAAATAACATTAACTTTTACTGTGATGTACAGAATAAAATAAACTTGCTTTCTACTTAGCTCCTGGTTGACTTTTCTTAAATTCAACTTTGCTATTACTTAACTGCCTTTGGGTAGCTGTGGGGTAAGATTTTATAGCTTGGGTTACTCCTTTGTTAAAGACAGCTTATACCTGATTGGCCTTGTTTAAAATACAAATGCTCAACACTTCACCAGCACAGCACACAAGCCACTGTACACCGAGACTGACCAGGTGTTCTTACAGATGGAGTTAGGATAATCAACTGGTGCAGTCATTCCACACCCAAGTATAATCCACAGGGTACAGTGGTAACTCTTTGTGTCTGTTTACAAAAACTAGTCTTGATGCATATCATACGTATACATAGTCAGAGATGTTTATACCACAATACTTGAATGCATTTGATAAATGTAATTGTTAATTACTTTATACCACTTCATCCATTTGATTAAATGTGTGAATATATATGAATATAAATATGAATTGTGATTGTGATGTACCCTTTTATACGCATGTGTGTGTATATGGGTAAGAGTTTCGCCCGTAACCCCCGCTTGCAATGTATTCTTTTTATTATGAATATTTTGAGGTTTTAGGGTTAGGTTTACAGTTTTAGGATGATGGTTAGGGTATGGGTTAGTGTTAAGTTTTTTTTTATAAAAACCATTTGTTCTTAGGCATAGAATGATAACAAAACAAAAAAAACGAGGGTTACAGGTGGAAATCTTTTCCTCTATCACAACCTGTGTGTCATTCCTGAACACCACTGGTTACATAAAGTAATATCGATCTGAACATTTCAACATCAAAATCATCAGCTGGTGTTAGGGTTAGGGTTAGGTCACCAGAGGTCTTCATATTAGTCATATGGAAAGCAACTAGCCAGACTATATGCAGTAATAATGTTTGACAATTGCAAAGAATGTCAGATTCAGTTAATTACAATCGCTCACTCAAAGGAAATAATTATCAATAGAGATAAGATTACCATAATCTTTATACAATAGTGTCTGCAACTTCTGCAAAGTAAACTGCTCCTGCCCAGTCTCATCTGGTTCAAACTGGATCTGACACAACTTGAGCCACAGGTAGTCATCTATCTTGTCTGAGATCTCTGCATGATCTTCACTGAAGTCACACTGTCCTACCACACAGTACACTGCCCTGAAAACCAACCAGATGACACAATGTACATTCATGTCGTTGTGGATTTTGTTGTCCAGAAAATAAAAGTGATGAAGAAATGGGCATCCACTGATTTGTATCACAAAGTTTGAGTTAAAGGTGTCAATCCCTACCCTGTAGGTTCAGGTGACAAAGAGGTGCACTCAGTTGGGGGTAACAAAGAGAAGATCATTTATTATTGGGGCGATGCTTGCAGAACTTTATAATTTCAGAACAATAAATGAAACTCCCAAAACTTTCAAATTTTTTATGACAAAGGTCACAGGACTTTCCTCCTTCATTTCATTCTTTAACACTGCCAGATAGCAACATTACCCCAGTATTTATCAATTGTTACACCCATAAACACACAGCAAATAGAGTTTCTGGATTAAGTATTTCTCATCTGACCAAAACTTATGAATACCACACATATGGGTTCGACCAAAGAGTGAGAGTGAGTGAGTTTAGTTTTACGTCGCTTTTAGCAATATTCCAGCAATATCACATTGATATCCAGCAATATCAATGTGTGAAGATATGGGCTTCACACATTGTACCCATGTGGGGAATCGAACCTGGGCCTTCGGTATGACAAGCGAACACTTTAACCACTAGGCTACCCCACCGCCCCCGGTTTGACCAAAGAGGCAACTTTTACCGATGCATCATTTCAAGCTTTTTTCAAATAGCAAGCATGACAGAACTGAAATGCTCCAGCTCCCTTGGAAGAATACAACCATCCTTGCCATCATGCACTTAATACTGACACTCTGTCCATCCGGCACCAGTCTACTGTCATGTTCTCACCTTTTGTATGAGTCTGTGCTGTTCTTTACAATACGTCGATACTGCAGCTTGATTTTAGTGTCACTGCCGGGACTCAATCTGTGAAAATATGAACAGAATAACTTCCGTTTTTGTCTCGACATTTGAAATTGCCAGTCAGTAAACAAACAGGAAAACAGGTACAAGTAAGAGAGCCTAGCTTCAACGACTGAAACATTCAAAATTGAAAGGATGAGGAAGTGCCCAACTAATTATTGCCTAAAAATATAAGAACCAATATAAGATCAGCTTTTTCTTCAATCTCTTAATTTCTGAAGGTCTGGGTGGAAATGAGACTTCAAGACCAATAATTTGTTATTAAAGTACTGACGGAAAAAAAACAACTGTTTTTTCACATCTATATCTACAATTTAGGTAGTTAATATGTGGAAGTGTGAAATATCTGTAAACTAAGTTTGGCCTAACTACATACAGTATTAGTGGGAGGGAGATAGGAAACGTGAAAAAAGGACTTTACTGAGAAGTGATTAGTGCAGAAATGAGGAATGCATTTTTTTACTTAGTCCAAAGCGACTTACTAGTATTTGGAACAGACCATGGCTTTATGCAAATTAGTGTGCATTGATATTGTATTACAAATGACACTTTCTAAATGCCCATTTTGAAATTAGACTTAGCTTCATTATAAACGATAGCAGACGTAAAAAGTAATAACATTAATACTGAAACTATTAAGGATGTAGATACCATTGAGTCTCACTATCACTATAAAAAAACAGGTAGGAGGGGTCGCCTCAAAAGCAAAGCCAGGGCAGGTGTTGCAGACGGTGGTTGGGGTCGGGCTGGGGGAAAGAGACATCAGCTGAGATAACATAATCAATAGAGACATATTCAGTGCATATCAAAAAAGCATAAAATATCTTTGAGATGACCCCTTGTGCCTATGGGCAGCACATGCATTTCATGCCAAGTGAGTCGACGGCCCATCGTCATAACTGGCTGGGCAACCTATTGTTTTCAGAAGCCATTCGTATTTTGGCTAAGTTTTTCCCGATTTTACAAGTAAACATGCTTTTCTGGATATCCTATTACTAAAAATAGTTTTTTTTCTATTTCCGACAGTACTTTAATTTGAATTACGCATGTTTGGTCATAATTGGTTATGGATGGTTGACAGTGAAGAGGACTTTGAAAACCTAAAGATTCTATATTATTTTTTGTATCTGTCTGTGTCTGTGTGTGTCAGTGACACAAACCTATATCTTACATATATATAGGTTTCAAGGGACATAATACCAGAATGAGGGAGTAAAAACTAATCCGATCTGCAACATTTAAGAAGCTGTGATGGTTGCAGGAACATCATGAATAGGCATATAACATCACCACTAACTCAGTAGGTCTTGTTTGCGACATGGAAATGCAATCAACCTATCATTTGTAGACACTCAGTGACAAAGGAAAATAACCCACCTGTGGTCGGAACTGTTGACATATTCCCTAAAGAATCCTGGGAAGTCATCTAGCTGATGTCTGTAACAGATTCTCATTTAGCAACACATTCAAAGTTATTACATTTTTCTAGTGGTCTGAACTTTATCAACTACTGAATTATCTCCCTTCCTTAAACTTAACATTACACGAGATGAACTTCCTTTTACATAAGAGGCCAATGGTTCAGGAGTATTCTTAATTTGTTATTGTAGATTTGGTAATTATTCGACAGGATTGCATTTTAACTATGAGTAAGGGAAGCAGGTGTTTTGTTTACAGGTGCCCTCAAATTTGACATTCCTTGTATACTGTTACAAATTGTAATTTGACACTTTCCTTAGTATGAATGTAGATCAAATGCACAGACAATCTGTGTGATCTTCAAGAAGCATGCTGAGTCGATAGTATCTTCACAACTTGTCTCAGGTAGATTGACTCTTTATCAGTTAAAAATCAAATACTGAAACATACTGAGTGGCCACTGTGTTGACCTCAAGAGCACAATAAGGGAGACAACTCATTTCCAGCAGTAGCTGTGTTTTAACTCTTCTTTGAAGAGTGATTTGCTTTCAACTTTTTTTTTACTCAATGTATCATGACAAAAAGGATCGAGTTAACCACAAATCACATCTTCATTGTCACCCAAAACAACTAGTTTATACAATGTCACTACAAGACGTAATGTATGTTTCTACATGACTCAGAACAGAAGATACACGAATCAGCAACTTTAAAACAGGCAATGCTGATACAAATATATGCCACAATGTACAAGTGTGACCTGCTCTGCTCGTTACTTCACAGCTGGTAAAGGCGCTACTTGTTTCTGCTTGTAGAATTCTGCCATCTTAGCTAAAGTATCGGTATGACTTACGAAGCTTTTTCCACAACTTGCTGAGCAGCCTTTAGATCTCCACAGCGAAGACAGTAGTAGATTAGTGCCCACACTGGCAGACCATCCATCAGGCCCTCCTGGGAACAGAGCATCACAGTTTTACGCCGCTTTTAGACATATTCCAGCAATATCATGGCTGGGGACACTAGAAATGGACTTCACAATGTACCCATGTGGGGAATCGAACCCAGGTCTTCGGCGTGACGAGAGAACTTTGTTAATTTTGTTGAGCATGGCCATTAATAGTATCCTATCTCAAATGTAATGTTCTTAGCATGTTAAGAGTGTAAGTGCTCACCTCTGATCCCCGCACTGTCACAGGGGGCCTGACTTTCAGGTAGCTTTTCACCAGGTTGAGTGTACCAGGGACTCCACCCAGCTGGGCTTGTTGCAGGTTCACGTAGATCATTGTATTGATGTACTTCACATAACTGAAATAGTGAGAGTTTCAAAAGGTATGAAAAGAACGGTAACAAATATGAAACATTGGTCCAGCATATATTCATGAGGAAATATGGCTGCCAATTATACAATAATAATATTATTACTATGGATATGACCATACTTTCTTCACAACATTGTTCCAGGTGTAGATAAACATTCAAAACTCGACCAAACAAACGATTGACAAGAACAATCCAGTCATGGTACAATCAACCAAGTCACTGAACCTAACCACCTGATCCATTAACTCCCATCTTATAACCAGCTTAAGTTGAAGGGTTCAATCCTAACATAGAATTGCCCCAGACACTTACGTCTGTTCTAGATACTGCCGCGCCTTGTTAAGAAAGGCCATCTGCATGCGCTTGTCCTGCCTCATGGCCGCCGGACTGGTCCCTACTGGGAGACTGAGAGGGACCTCCACCATACACTGCACCATGTCCCATAGGTCACAGACACTCTACAACAAACATCAGCGTGTTTCACCAGGGGCCCGTTCCACAAAGCGATCGTAGCTCTAAGATGATCGTAACTCCCATACTTCAACATAGACTTACCACTGTCGTAGTGCTATGAGGTGAGGTGAGGTGAAATTGGGTTTAACGTCGTACTTGAGAATATTTCGCTCATATGACGACGTGCATGCGTGTGTATGTGTATGTGCGGCTGCTTGTACTAGCCCAGACTGAAGCTGGTTTAATAGTGCTAGCTCACTGAGATACCATGCCACAGTGAAGCATGAATACCCCCACTCAGACACATTATACTGACTCTGAGCCGACCAGTCCTTGTTGTACCCATTAATGCCGAGCGCCAGGCAGGGACCAACAAGTACATTTTAACGTCCTTTGGTATGACGCTGTCGGGGATCGAACCCGCGACCTTCTGCTCTCCGGGCGGACGCTCTAACCACTACACCACGGGGGCGGACGCTCTAACCACTACACCACGGAGGCAGTCGTAAACAAACAGAGATGTGCAAGCTGAACGTAGCAAAGTGCATGGTGCATTTTCTAGGGCTGCACAAAATAACCGGTTTACCGGTTTTTACCGGTTCAGACATGAAAACGATACGTATTGCAATACGTTGATCGAAAACAGGTATTCTGACTTGCATTCGGAAAACTTCGTAACACTCGGAAATCTTCGGATATTTCCTTTTTTCATTTGTGCCAAATATTAGTCACATATTTATTTTTAATCATGAATAAAAGTTGTTATTAAAGCTTAATGAAGCATAGTGATTTTGCTATGTATTTGCTCAAATCAAGCATTACCTCGATCATAAGTAGTTTTTTGTTTAAAAATACTTCATGCAATATATTGCAATACATATCGCAATACATGCTTTCGCATCGCAATATGAAAATTTTCTGCAATACCCACCCCTAGCATTTTCTGGTGATGATAATGTGAGACAATGTCTGAGTGCGTGAGTGAGTGAGTGAGTTTAGTTTTACGCTGCACTCAGCAATATTCCAGCTGTATGGCGGTGGTTTGTAAATAATCGAGTCGGGACCAGACAATCCAGTGATCAACAGCATGAGCATCGATCTACGCAATTGGGAACCGATGACATGTGTCAACCAAGTCGGCGAGCCTGACCACCCAATCCTGTTAGTCGCCTCTTACGACAAGCATGGGTTACTGAAGGCTCATTCTAACCCTGACCTTCACGGGTCGACAATGTCTGAGACTTTCATCATGAACTCCTGAAAATTATGAGCATTGGTGATGAAAGTGTTTGTCTAAAGTCTGGGTTCCATTCCCCACAACATTACTATTTAAGCCATACGGGAAAATGGCCCAAGGCAGTGTCAAACCACACTCCCTGACTTAAACACTATTATGGATGTTTCAACTTACCTTGTCATCAATTTTCTTGGCTACTTCTACAAACATGTCCACCAAGCTGGGGCGTATACTACCCTCAATGACTTGCTCATTGTACATGAACACCTGCAAGCAGAAAGACACACAACCCCAAAGTTATCAGTTTAACGTCCCAATAGCCAATACTGCAGCCATTTCTGTAACAAAGTCGGTTATGACACTCATTTAAGGAGATAATATCATGCTTATTCAGATTGGTGGGTGACAAGAAACACATAAACACAGCTTACAAAATACTCAAGATTTCTGTGATGCAGTTTGAATTAATTAGAAGTATATAGTATATCTAAGTGCTCCATATGTTTCTAAACTGGAGCGTCTGAAATGAATAAATTTTCTGAGGGTTAATTGATTCAAGCATACAGTCAAATACTGATGGCAAATCAAAGGGTTCATCATGTCTTTAGTGTGAAAAGGAGTGGCAGCCCTTGAATTGACAGGAGGAAGCCACAACATGCAAGACAACAAAAACGATGTAAACAGATACTGCTGTACTCATGCATGTGCTCCTAAAACTATCCACACACCTGTCTGGCATAGGCCATCTCCACATGATCCAAGCTGCTTCTCCCTTGAGTGTATATTGTGTCGCCGATGAATGACTGAAACAATACAACACAGTCATTGCAGGCTATAAACACTAGTGAGTGAATTCAGTCTTATGCCACTTTTAGCAATATTCCAGCAATATCGCGGCAGAGGATACCAGAAATGGGCTTCACACATAGTACCCATGTCAGGAATCGAACCCAGGACTTCGCCGTGCAAAGCGAACACTTTAACCACTAGGCTACCCCACCGCCCCTATAAACAATAAAGTCTCTGGAGCTTAAACAATGGTTGATAGTACATATTATGAACATTACACGTCAAGGATCAATGACACACATGCCACAAGAGTCTGACCCCATTTGATCCGACTCTTATGACAAACATGTTTGTTGTTGATTAATGCCACACTCGGCAATATTCCAACTATATGTGGCGGTCTGTAAATAATCAAGTCTAGACCAGACGATCCAGAGATCAACATCATGAGCATCAATCTACCCAACTGCGATATGATGACATGACAAGCATGTCAACGAGCCTGACCGACCAATCCCCTTAATCACCACTTACAACAAGCATGAGTTGCTGAAGACCAATTCTAATTATATATCTTCACGGGCTTCCTACTCATATAAACTGGCTCTTATGAGTTCAATGTGTTTTTCACTGTAGATGTAGTTTACATCAAATATATCCTCAAACCTCTGTCTCCTGCTGTAGCTCCAAGCCATCTTGACTTGAACTGAGCAGCGTGTTGAGAATTTTCTGTTTCTCTCGCTCCCACTCATTTTCCATACATTCCCACTGGCGCCGCTCTGCTTCTTCAAATGTCTGGACAGAAAATCAGACAGTGAGTTCATGGTTGTTTCAGACAAACTTAGCACTATGACAACTACAGTACACAATAGCAGCCTTATCACTTAAACAGTGATGAAATATTTTCTTCATCTCATAAAACATCAATTTACATTCAAATGGTTAAGAGATGCCTTCACATATATACCCTTACTAATTACATTCTGGGTGCCTAAAGGAACTGCTGTAAACAATAATCCCGACAGACAAGAATGATGACATGAAATCATCCACAACAGCGAGCCTCACAACCAATTCCAGTAATAAGATGGGTCCCTGATTCAGGGATAAAAATACACCATCCAATGATTATCAATATTGTGTCACCATTTTAATACCTTGAGATAGTTTTGTTTCATGGGAAGGTTTATTTATAACTTACAACATAGTACTTGGAGAACACAGGGAGAAAGTGTGAAAGTACTTGTGTGATTGTTTTTGACAGTCATTTTATGCATCAATTCACCAAACCTTGTATGTGCGAGAAGCAATTAAATTAAAACGTATCATCATTTACCACTTACAAGTCTTTCAAAGATTACTGATTGTAGAACAATGGAATTTTGTCTCACTGTTTTTAACTATTTTAATTGATTTCAGATGACATATAAATCCATCATATAATGATTTCAGACACAACTGCCATGTGATCAATGCTTGGAACAGAAATTCTGTAAATACTTACATGTTTTCTTGTTTGTTCGATGACAGCTAAGAAGGCATTTTCCCTCTCATTCCTGAGGAATCCCTGAAGAAAACAGTGCAGGAAAAGAGTAAATTAACAGTGTGGTACATACGACACTATTCCAACAATATCAGAGTGTGTGATACATGGGGCATTTGAACCCATGATTGGCAAATGCTTTATCCACTGGGCTAGCCCACCACTAATGGGCCCCCAAGACAAACTGACACAGGAACAAACATCTGGGTTAAAATAGTTTGTAACATATATTAAAAATGTCAGGCATTTTTTCAGTCTACTGTCAGGGAAAGTTATCCTGCAACCAAACAAACCCCATTTCCACAAATAATCCACAGAAAATTCATTTCTCACATTCAAAAAGTCAACTATTTCCCCAAATAGTTTTTCATGTCAAACATAAATAAAACACTGACATAATATATTTTAACTTAATGTCTGACACTCCAATTCACTCTTTACTAGCACTTGTCTAGTTGGCCAGTACATTTGTCAAACCCTGATCAATGAATGATAAACAGAAAATGTCCACATTCTAATACTACCTGAATATCTGTGTCAGCGACAGGCTCCAGTGGCTCAAATGTTGTGGTGGCCTTGAGACCCTCAAGTCTCTCTGCAATCTTTGGTACAGCATAGCCTTTTGACCCCAGTAGAATTGACCTACCAATGGAGAGAAATACAACACTTCATCACTTGTCAATGTCCTGATGTTGAAAGTTGAAGATTTAGGGGTCCCTTGATTTAAACCATATTAGAGTAAACCTCATTTAACCTCATCCTTAATTCATCACAAACGCTTTTGCAATTTACACCAAAACAAACATGCTATTTACGTTTTGATAGATATCATGATACAATCACCATGGCATTTTTTCAAGCACTATTTTTACTTTCCCCATAAAGTTGCATCAAAATGACTGGCATATTTTCAACAGAGTCAGCATCTAAAATAACTGCATTTGGATGCACTTTAGTATTATAATACACATTTTGATGTTCTTAATCTTGTTTCCGAATTTCAAGTATGCACACATTCCATGATTTCTTTCTCTGCTGTCTTACTTTGACAGGCCTGAAAATAGTACCCCTTTTAATCTTTATAGATAGAAATAGTATTCCTAATTCTCTCATGTTAAAAATAACATTTGTCTCAGGACAACTTAACAGTTTATAGGGGCTTATCGTGACCATTTATCATTCTGGACAGTAACAATCAGAAGTTTGACAGTTTTGTGAAACCTCAATCTATAATTATGAAATATGTTCCAGTAATAACATTTTCAAAGGCCTCAATCTATACAATTTTAAGGTCTATCTGTTCCGAAAATAATCTACAGAAAACGAAAACCCAAGGGCAAGTTGTGTTCGGTTAGTTAGACACAGACACATTATTTCTGTTGCTACCCATGCATGTCTTGATACATGTCAAAATGGAATGATAAGTCATGACGTCACAATGTAATATAAGCTCTTTGAGTTTCAAGGGTTTTGACCTCTGCTGCTGAGGAAGGGCGTCTACCCCTACGAGTACATGGACGATTGATACAAGTTCGATGAGACGCGATTACCTCCCATCGACCGCTTTTACAGCAACTTGACCGACTCGACCATCACCCTGGACGATTACGCGCACGCTCTCAACGTGTGGGACAAACTGCCCTGCAAGAATCTGGGCAATTACCACAGCCTGTACTTGAAAACCGACGTGCTGCTGCTGGCGGACATGTTCAAGATATTCAGAAAAACGTGCTCGAAACAGTATGGCCTGGACCCCGCGTGGTATTTCTCATCCCCCAGTCTCTCTTGGGACGCCTTGTTGAAAAAGACCGGCGTGAAACTGAAACAACTGACGGATTACGACATGCACCTGTTCGTGGAGAAAGGTCTGCGAGGTGGGATTTCCATGACATCCAAACGGTACGCCAAAGCTTACGAGTACGTTCCAGGTCACGACCCGAGCAAACCGACCAAACACATCCTCTATCTCGACGCCAACAACTTGAACGGCTGGGCCATGAGTCAGTATCTCCCCACCGGGGGATTCGAATGGGTCTCCCCAACTGATATCGACGGGAATAGCATCGCACCGGATTCGAACAAAGGCTACGTACTCAAAGTGGACTTGGACTATCCCGCAGACCTACATGAATCGCACAACAGCTATCCGCTAGCTCCCGAACGATTGACGGTGAACCCGGACTGGATGTCTGAATATCAGCGAAACTTGCTGGGAAACAATAAGCCGGCTAACGTTGAAAAACTTGTACCGACTTGATGAACAAGACAAAATACATTGTTCACTATCACAACCTGCAGCTGTACTTGTCGCTGGGAATGAAACTCACGAAAAATACACAGGGCGCTGGAGTTCGATCAAAGTTCGTGGATGGAGCCCTACATCAGAATGAACACGGATTTACGAAAGCTGGCCACCAGCGATGTCGAGAAAAACTTGTACAAGCTCATGAACAACTCGTTCAGCAAAACGATGGAGAATTTGAGAAAACGGGTGAACATGAAGCTAGTCAGATCAAGCGAGGAAGAAAAACTCAGGAAACTCATAGCTAGCCCGGCGTTCAACCGAAGCAAAATATTCAACGACCACTTGGCAGCGCTGCACATGAACAAAAGTCACATCAAATTCAACCGGCCTGTTTACGTGGGGATGAGCATCCTCGACTTATCCAAACACTTGATGTACGATTTCTACTACAACAAGCTGAAGGAAACAGTACGGCAACACCAGCGACTACCCTAAAGATCACCCTATGCACAGCCAACTCAACAAAAAAGTGCTCGGCAAGATGAAGGACGATTGCGCTGGCACACTGATCGCCGAGTACGTCGGCTTGAGACCCAAGATGTATTCCATCAAGAAAGCAGATTTAATTTACACTAAATCAGAAAGGCGAAAAGGCGAAAACACGGTGAAAAACATGTGGTGAAAAACACATCAAGCACGCCAGATTCAAGGAAGCCCTGTTCAAGAATAAAACGTTCAAACACCAGATGAACATGCTGAGAAGCGACGGACACAGGATATACGGACTGAGAATCAACAAGACATCGCTGTCTCTCATGGACACGAAACGATAGATCGACGGAGTCACCACTTACTCGTACAGACACACACACATATTAAATAATTAAAATGCACGCAATACATACATCATGGACGAAATTTATTACAGCCCACGCGGTTACTGGAAAGGCGCGGACGCCATCCCGAAACTCACTAAAGCCGATAGAGTCTCGGAAGACGTCGCCAAAGCTTGGCTTAAAAAACAAGCCATCTGGCAAGTTTACCTGCCGGCGCCTCGGTACACCCCAAGAAGAAAATTCGACATTTCAACGCTGAATTGCGTTCACCAAGCCGACCTCCTGTTTCTACCTCATGATAGGGTGAGACGCAAAACCTACAAGTGCGCCCTCACAGTCGTCAAAGTCGCCAGTTGCTACAAGGAAGCCGAACCGTTGATGACCAAAGATTCGAACGAAGTCGCCAAAGCCTTAGAACGCATCTACAAACGCAGTCGATCCCGGACGATCCAGGTGTGGCAGGAGCTCACCAAAGCTAACCCATAGTCGAGAGATTCAATCGCACCTTAGCCGAACGCCTGTTCTCACATTAGTACTCGCAGGATTTAATGGATCCCAAAAACAGAAACACGGAATGGGTTGTACGCTTGCCGCGAGTGGTGGATGCCATCAACAACGAAGTCACCAGACTCGTGGGCAAGAGACCCGTCAAAGCCATCCAAATAAAATCTGTCGAATCGTCGGCGGCAGCGGCACGTCGGGATAAAACAGAAAAAAAATTTAAACAGAGAAAAAATTACCGGACCGGGTCAGCGTAATTTACTTGTACCAGCCGGGAGAATACGAGGGAGACAGCAGAAAACGTGCCACCGATCCGATATGGTCCACGAAAACATACAACGTAGACCTTGTCGACATCAAAGACGGCGAACCGAACTTGTACTACTTGAAAGACGGACCGCCGAGAGCATTCGTCAGAGAAAAGTTGATGATCGTACCTCACGACACAGTCCCTTTTCGATCGCCCACTGTATGATAATTTTCATGATTATTTGTGTGTGTGTGTGTGCTATTAGGTTGTGGTGTGCTATGTGGCTATAGACGCAAAGTTAACACAACAATATGTCAGAGTTGTATTTTCTCGTGTTATCAGCCATCAATTTTAAAGCCTAAATTCATCTCTCACAAACACCCCCTTTTAATTTTAACATCAGAGCCGTGGTGACTATACAGTCTGAGTAGGGCTACTAAGTCGTAAAAGTTTCTGCTGAAAGCAGGGCTCCAGATAAGGTCTGTATCGGCGTATGTACGGATACAAAATATGCACGATACGGTAGCAAATAATTTAGAAAACGTAGCAGGTACGCACCGCAGCAATGGTGTATGATCTTAAAATCATTTACAGACGTATTTATCTGAAAAAAATATTGGTTTATTGTTTATTGACCTGTCTACACAAGACTATCAATGTTGTGGTGCATATATGAAACGAAACGCAAGATTACTGATACGCCATTAAATTCCACTCAGTACCCTAAATGTACTCTTAAGGTTTTCCAGTACTCCTGTAGTGAAAAAAATATGGAGTATGTACTCCTGATGTTGAAAAATTATCTGGAGCCCTGTGAAAGGGAGATTCGAACGCTGGACCTCAGCATAGTGAGCCAAGCTCTGTTACCATTACAGCCCGGAGGACGCTGATAGCACTTGCAAATGAAAGCTACTTATCGATCTAAGCTGTACCACTGTTGATAGAGAGAGACGACCCACCATCATTCTAACCATATTTTTACTCCTGCAGGAGCAATGGATCGTAAAAATTGAGGAATCTGGTCCAAAACTATCATTACATAATGTAGCCAACAGCCAGCCAGCTCTACAGCGAGCTGCACATGGTGAACAATAACCGATCCAAGACACACACACACTGCGACTCGCCCACAGCACTCGCTCAGTACTACCGAGACGGCAGCGAGGCGACCCGGGGGGACTGCCGAGAGCTGCGGTATGATTTAGTGGAAATCAACATAATGTTGCCAGCCAGCTAGCCAGTCGGCTGTACAAGCCAATCCGAGCCAAGACACACACACACACTGCGACTCGTCCCACAGTGCTCGCTCAATGCTACCGAGACGGGACTTAATTACAACAAAAGTTGGAAATTTTGCCTTTTCCCGACAGACCCCATGCTCACTTAAAACTCAATATTTCAGAAACTATTCAACCGATTTTCATCAAATTTTGCTTGCACCTCAGTAGTAGTATACACAATGGTGGACTGGATTAGGGAATTATCCAAGGCCTTAATTTAGAATTAAGGCCTTTGGAAGGACCTGATCCAGTTCCACCATTGTGTATACTACTCATTATGTATCCATATATGACAGCGATCAGTAAATAATCTAGTCTGGACCAGACAATCCCGTGGTTAACATCATGAGCATCGATCTACACATTTAGGACACGATGAAGTCTCAGCCAAGTCAGCAAGCCTGATCACCCGACTTTATCAGTCACCTCTAACAACTTATGGGTTGCTAAAGATCAATTCTAACCTGGATTTTCACCGGTGTGTCTTTATCTATTTATGTAAGACTTAAGGATGGTTAGTTATAGTCATAAGTGAATGAGTACCTGCTCTGATGAAATAGTAATGTGACAACCTGATAACTAAGAATAAGACTTGAGATTTGAACACTGTTCCAAAGACAGTCATAAAAATAATAAAGTGTAACGCTTGTTCATGTTAATTGCTGAATGAAATATGAAGTATTTGAAAAGGGCTTGTTATAATAATGTAATTATTATTTCTTGTACTCACGCCTTAACATCAGATGCATCCTGACTGACAGGGGCTGTCTTCGTGAGCAGTCTCTGTCCAGCCTCTAGAATCTGATGTAGGTTCCGCTCAACGTGAGGCAGGTCAGTTCCACTGTCCATGTCAGCAGTCAGCTGTTCTGCCTGCTGAAGCAGGTCACCGAACCCCTCCACCTCCATTGTGGGTCAGGGTGCTGCTGGTAAACTGCTGTTAACACAAAAATATCACCTCTTTAATGGGTGTCCAGATGTTGGCAATTTTAATTAGCAAAGTATGTGTGCATAGCCACAGTAAGTTTTCCTGTCCAAAAAACGACTAACTTTAAGGCACGAAGAGACACGTGAGATCTGCGAAGCGAGAACCACAGCAAGCAGTGTGAGCCGGCTGAAGCTGACAGTGAGACAGCTCAGTAGTAAGCACGACTTGGATAACGGCATTGTTACTAACACGTATCTGTGTACTCAACCCTATCTGTATTTGCAGTACAAATGACACAGATAGGAAATTCAAAAGATGCATGTATTGCCCTCAAACATGGAGAAAACGAAAGTGGTTGATTGAACTGACGAAAGAAATAAGTTTGCTGTTACAATCAAAGTTAAAACAAAATATCTCTCACAAATTTCTTCAAAATTGGAAGATGATAGTTAAATGGCTGCGGAGGTAAATATAGAATTCATGTCAGTAACCTGGATAATGTAGATGACGATAATGTTGAAATCTAAACACAAGGTTTGAAGCTCTTCGCGGGGAAGGAGGTTTCCGTTTCCGGAATAGAAGATTATGCAAATGTTAAGTCAAGAAACGAAACATTCAAATAGCTCCTAATGGAATATATTGTAACAGATCCCAAAATATACATTTTAATCTCACCTACAGTATTACAAAATTAAATTTATATTTTAAGACATGTTTCTTGTTTTTAGTGGAAACAAATATGGCTTGACAAGTGGAGGCGATTCCGTTAATAATTCCAAGTAGTGATTTGTAATGTTCTATAATTTACCCCTAATGCCGTGTTGATCAAAATGGCCGCCCCCATGATGAAAACATGGTCCTCATGAAATGTAAGGATACGTTTTGATTGCTTTATGAGACAGACTGATGAAACCATTTGTCCTTTTGAAGTAATTTCAATATACAGATTGACGTACACATAATTACATATAAATATGACCATGATAAAAAAAGGATTTGGCTGCGTTGATCAAAACATGCGAGTTTTCAGTTGGAATGGTTTTCAATGACGTGGGGGCTGTAGGTGAATTCGTAGACCAGACTGGTTCGTAGACGTGGAAATCCGGTGGATTCGTAGGCGGATTGAGCTGTGAATTCGTAGACGTTAGTAAAATGGGGAAACTTCAACATCATTGATGATGAAAATCGATATTATGACTTTAGTGTAAACCAAAAGTGTTCGAGTTTTAGTGAAATAAAAAATAATATTAGGTAAGTATGGTCAGTAATGAAAAAAAACATCAATTATCAACATTCAACTACGCAGACCAGCAGAGAAGTAGCAGTAGAGGATAAGGTGGGTCACCAACAAAGTAATAAACAAAACACTTAAATATACACACAGTATTTCACAATCAAAACAACTCACCACTTCCTAATTAACATTCACAACAACTCAGTGCAACCTGTTTTCGATGAGTAGACTTTTTTTTTTTAATCCACCGACAACCTAAATGAAAGTGAAAACTGTTTAACAAGCGTCATTATTTTCTTGTTGGAAAATTATGATGAGTAGACTAATTTTGTCTGATCCGCCGACAAAGATTACCTGTACAAACACTTAAACCTCAAGATGGTAAAAAGAAATCCAAGTGATTATCAAAATCAATATGTTTACAAAATACTATTTTTCAATTATTTATACACGTCTATGAAATCAACGTCTACGAACAAGTCTGGTCTACGAATCCACCGCGTCTATGAACTGGTTCAGCCTACGAAAACACCGTCTCCCTGACATGGTTTAGCGGGCAATTTATAAACTACAGTAGTTAAAATGAAGTGACTGGAGTCTTCTGTGGTTTCACTGATCTCCCTTGCAATCCTTTGACTGAGGGACAGTACGTCAACAGTTGTAATGCAGTGTTTGTGAATATCAACTGATAACTATCAAAGTTATTTGGCTCTGCCTGCCTTTTCTGCGAATGATGTTTCTGCTTCAGTGACTACACCTCAGATGTTAGCCTAGTGATTAAAGTGTTCACTCGCCATGCTGAAGACCCGGGTTCTCTGGTGCCCCCGTTGTGATATCGCTGAAATATTGCTAAAAGCGGCATAAAACTGAAGTCAGTCTTGTGACCGAACTGTTTATAAAATAAGAATAGACACCTATTGCATACCTTTCAATGTTATCTACATTTTAATTCTTATAAACTGCAACAGTGAGATCCAGGACAATGTGGCTGATCACTGGCTCTCCACAGGGATTTAGTGGCAGCACATGGTCTAAAAATATGTAATGAACATAGATTGTTTGTTTTACGGATATTGTTGCAGCGAGGTTAAACATTTCATGACATGTGTTTGTCTATATGTGTAGACTTGTCCTAAAGGGAACAGATGAAAAACACATGACTGGACATGCGACAATTTGGCAGATACAAGGCTAGCCACAAGGCAACTTTGGGTAGGCAAAACATTGGCTGCATATAACTGTGGCACATATACAGGCATTGGAAAAAACTGACTTCTAGTCTAAACAAGCTGTAATTTTGTACTTTATACCTCATCTTTAAGAAAAACAAGCTAGCCTTCTCTTTTCGTTTTGTCTCTGATAAAAAAATATGACTGAAGCCTGTTTGATACAGGCAGCACTAAGGTTGTTGGTTTTATTTTGCAAATCTCTCCCTCTTGATTTAAAATTTGAATCGGGCACAAATAAAATATGTGACATCACTCTCAGCAATTGTACCCTTTTATACCAATCTTTTATCCTTTATCAATGCTTAGTGTAATATGTTAGTTTGCAAATATGTTTGCTTTGTCTTCCCTTTAATCCAAAATAATTTGAGGAAAATCCTTAAGGGGTATGTGAGGTTAGTTTTGTGCCACACTCATAAGTATTCCAGCTATATGGTGGCGGTCTGTAAATAAATAAGTCTGGACCAGACAATCCAGTGATAAACAGCATGAGCATCGATCTACACAATCTGAATACCATGACATGTGTCAACCAAGTCAGCGAGCCAGATCACCCGATCCCGTTAGTCACCTCTTACAACAGGCATGGGTTACTGAAGATCAATTCTAACCAGGATCTTCACGGGTCGGCAAATCCTTATGATTATTATCTGTTTAGTAGTGACCCTAACTTATCTTCGAGGTGGCAGTGAAAATACAATACTCCGGAGAACATCTGAACAGTGCATCAGGAAAACTGCAGCATTTCCATGTCACCTTTTACCATTTGTAAAAAAATGTATGCATTATATCTCATTATGTGATGTACAAACAGAAGTAGTGACACTTTTAAAAATGTGTAGAAACAGATGCTGTGATGTGGAAACAAAATAGGTGTGACTGTCACAATATTTTTTATTGAAAGTTGAAAATAATTTGTTTGAGTGGCTCTGAGTGTGGCTAAAGTCCTTTATCGAGATAGCCAAAGTGGCCTCAAACGGTGAAAAGGATCCCAGCTCATCATCAGTGAAAGTGGCACCATAACATAAAGATAGTGTGATAGAAAAAGAACTCGAGAGTTCCTGAATGTGCACAAGTTCCAAATAAGGAAAGCGACAAAATAGCATCTCTGAAAATGTGTTCTAATCAATGATATATTTAATTGTAATGTTGTAATTATTTGAAAAGAATCATATTTTGTGTTTTGCCCTTTTCTCGGATATTTGAAGTCTGTTAGCACCATTTTTCCAGACACATTTTGCCTCCAGCTGCCAGTTTGGCATTGGGCCACTTTAAGCATAAACTACATCCAGGAAACTGGAATTGCAAGTTTCTCGAAGTTGTGCATCTCTTTTTCCAGGTCTGTGTATGGCATCATCTAAACACTGACATAGTCAACAATGCCTGTAGACTACAGACAGAAAGTTATCCTGGCCCCCATGGTGAGGGTGTGCACCATCCCCATGAGACTGCTTGCTCTGGAGTATGGCGCCGATCTTGTATACTGTGAGGTATGCAGCAAACATTTGTCCAGACCTTGATTCGTAAAATATCAATAGACTATTATATGCAAGTACAGATCTTAATTCGGTGAATCTAAACAAACATGTGACTCCATAAGAGGCATACCTGTGTCTACTGACATTTGAAGAGTTGATTATTTGGTTACAAAGTTGTCAAGAACGTTGTTATTTTCAGTATTGGAAGAATTAATTTTGATGAGTCAAGTGACACAGAACTTGACAATCATATTTATAATTCCACTCTTTGTCAATCTCATTAAAGTAGGATCTTAATTATTCTTTTTCAGAAGAAGTCCTCCTTGGGGTACATATAAGCATTAAAATGTCCATTTTAAAATACCTACGACAGTTGTAACAATATTTCAATAAAATATTTTACCAAACAAAAAACTCGTTTTGTTTAGTGAGACCACCCCTACAGGGTCCCTCACAGGGCCCCCTGCAGCCAAGAGCAGGTAACTCTGGCTGCTTACCTCGTACCTCACTTTTCATGCTGTCGTTGTCAAGAACGGTTGTGCATGGTCCAGTAGAAGACACGTCTTCACCTATCTATGAAAGAGAAACGAGTGAGAAAGAGTCGAATTCTGTATGTTTGGTTCCTTGTTTTTCGCACAGGCGCTAGCTGGAATCTTCGGATGTCTTTTTTCATTCATGATTTATTGTAACTTTGCCGGCGTGTTCGCTGTTTCCAGCCATGTGGCAGGCAAGATGGGTCCCTTCTTTATCCCTTCTGTTGGCTTTGTAAGCCATTGAAGTCGGGTTGTAAGGTTTTCATATTTCATTACGTATGTTATGCTTGCCTAAATTCCTCTTTTTCAGCGGTTTTTTGGTAAGTTATGGTTGAGTGATTGTGTAGCATGTTCATTTCGTATCGCTTACAAATGTTGCTCTTTGTTAGTTATGTGCACAATTAGGCTTCGCTAGTGTTGCTTTATGCTAGTATTTTAATAGCTTTGCTGTGGCAGTTAAATATCGCCCGTATGTTGTATTTTTCTGTATTATTGTGTGCATATTCCACTATGTTAAACAGTCCTTGCTATTAGTCATAGCGCGGTTCTGTTTTTTGCAGTCCAAGGGGTGTGTTACCTGTAGCGCTACATTATCGCCTCAGGATCGCTACCTTGTATGTTTGCGTTGCTTGGCGGAGGAAGCCCATGAACAGGGTTGTACCATGAGTGCCACCGTGACTCAGCGTCGATTCTTGGGTCGGTCGTACCGGGCACCTCGGCTCTGTTCGAGCCTCTGTCACTCTCCCTAGACCCCTCGGACGAACCCTCGGAGCTATCTCTAGACACAGAGACTTCACTCCAGGAGGATCCGTTCGAGGAGGCTATGGAGGAGGATGAGGGTCGGGGAGGGTCGGATACACCATCAGTATCACTCGGTGTGTCCCTGAGACAGGTGCGGGAGCGCATTGCCTCTGTCCTGCCTCAGGTGGTCGTCAGTTCTAGCGCCCCGACCCTACGGAGTTTCGCCTCCCTGGGGAGGCATTCGCTCCTACTAAGGTGGCAGACTCACGGCTATGCATTTTGCCTTCAGTCCTAACTTGCCCGAGCTGGACCGTCGGTGCCTCATGGGTGAGGCCGGTCTATATAATCCCCCAGTGGTAGACGATTGTGTCTATGCGTCAGTTGCCCTGGGGGGTTCATCTAGTAGCTCGCTTGCTTCCGCGAAACAAGGCCGTCGGCTTCCGCCAACTCCACGGCACTCAAGTCCGCGTATCGCTCCTTCGAGGTGCAGTACCGCAATGCGGTCCAGTGCCTCAAGGTTACCATCCATTCTGCCTATATCTCGGTATTGCAGAGGCAATTAGTGGATGTGGGCAGGGTCAAGGAAGTTGCGTCTCCCTCCACCTTGGATAAACAGTTGACAGGTCCAGTCACATCTGGCGCGCGACTCTCTAAGGTCGTCGGCTTGCCAAATGATGTCTGCGGTTATCGGCCTCCGTCGCTCGTCTCGCGCACGGCCCCGGCACTTGCCTCGGCTTATCCTTCTGCCTCGGCGAAGGAACCTGTTAAATGGACCATTACAGTCGTGGAAGGGCAAGGGCAAGGCTGTGGCGGCCCACCAGCCTGTTCAGAGGAAGGGGAAGTCAGGCCCGGCTTCCCAGCAATAATTCCTCCAGAGCTCTTGTCGGTACCAGATCAATGGGAAAATGTCCGAATGGGAAATGGTAACCTCCAATCCCTGGGTCCTGTCCACACTCAGGTAAGGCCACATGCCACAGTGGAAGCGAGACCCACCTCCCTTCTCTGGGATCCGAGTTCAGGAAATACCTAAGGTTTTCCTTCGATGGGAGGTGCTATCAGTTTCGTGTGCAGTTTCGGCATCTCCACGATGCCAAGGGTGTTCACCAAACTCATGCTAATTCCAGCGCAGGTAGCCAGGTCACAGGGCAGGTGCTGTCACCCTGGTGTACCTAGACGATTGACTCATTCATGCGCTTGCCACTCACTTGAGTTGAGATGCGACACTTTCCGTGATGAGTATACTCACCAAGTTGGGCTGGATTATCAATCTCAAGAAGTCAGAACTTGTTCCCACCCAGGATCTGGTTTTCTTGGGAGTGAGATTAGAGGCAGCACGAGGTGTAGTCTCCCTGTCTCCAAACCGTGTCACCAAAGTCCAGAGAGTTGTGTTACAATTTCTCAAGTCCCCCAGGGTCTCAGCTCGGACTTGGCTCCAGTTGCTAGGCAACGCTGGACATTGTTTGGCAAGCGCGGTTGAGGATGCGACCAATTCAGCAAGCTTTGGCTCGAATGTGGGTTCACTCCCGGAGTTACAAGTTGATTCTCCACACTCCGGGGTGGCTAATTCAACATTTGCGGTGGTGGACAATGGCAGGGAATATATCCAAGGGGATCCCCTTGGACATCCCTTCGCCAGATCTCTCGATTCAAACAGAACCAGATTCCGGTGTTTTGCTCTCGGATACCGGATCCAAGAGCCATCGCCTCGGGCGCTTTCAAGCTCGATTGGACGGGCAGGGTTATGTGGTCGTTCCCACCATTACCCCTGATTCCCAAGGTCCTCTTGCAGCTTGCCACCCAACCAACTCGACTGCTTGTGCTCCTTGCACGTCTTTGGTCGGCTCAAAGCTGGTTTCCGATACTACTCAGGTTTCTGGCTCAGCCTCCTGTACTATTACCCTTTCGACCGGACCTACTATCCCAGAACGGAGCGCCACACCCGAATCCCAGGATTCAGTGGGTGGCCTGGCCACTGTCCAGAATCTCCTCCAAGCGAGAGGAATTCCTGCACCAGTTGCAGACACAATTCGTGGAGGAATTCGACAATCGTTCAATATGAGGATAGATGGGCCTGTTGTACGCGCTGATGTGTCAGCAGAGGGATTCTCGATCCCTTTTCTTCAACTGTAATTGAAGGAGTTTTTACAGTCTCGGTTAGAGGCCGGCTTAGCCACATCTACTACCCGGGGCTACTCCACGGCAATCTCTGCCTTCCATGTACCTGCCGATGGTGCTCTCTTGGGGCAGCACCCTCTTGTGCAGCGCTTTTTAGCAGGCGTGGACAGAATCCGTACGACTGTCCGGCGGTTTAGTCCCCTGTGGGACTTGTCAATATTTCTTGATTGGATGTCCGGTCCTCTCTTTTACGATCTGTCGTCTCTTTCACTTCAGCTGTTAAGTTGGAAGGCTGCCTTTCTTGTGACGGTAGCATCTGGCCGGCGGGTAGGCGATATCCACGCGATGTCAGCGGATACTGCTCTGACTGTCTTTCACAAAGACAGAGTAGGTATTCAGTTGCCAGACTCTTGCCTTCCCAAGATTGCAAGCGCCTTTCACGTAACGGCACCTATTGAACTGCCAGCTTTCACTCAGCCTCCATCATCCGGTACCTCTCTTCGACGTGCTCATGTCTTAGATGTCCGTAAGACTCTCAAGGCTTATATCAAACGAACGGCTGCTATCAGGAAAGATAAGCAGCTGTTTTGCTGTTATGGCGAGGGTCAGGCTCATTCGGTTAGGGCAGTGGCTACATCAAAGGCATATGCCGCGGCACTGCCCATTGAGGAGATCTGCTCAGTGGCTATTTGGAGCCGACCGAGTACGTTCATCCGCCATTATCAGCTGAACAAACACTCACGGGAACATGCTCGGTTTGACCAGACAGTTCTCAACAGTGGGCAGCGTCGTGACTCTCTAGCCGAATGAGCTTTCGAATTCACAACTGATTTTACTTCCTGGTGTCGGTTATAAACATTCCACAATTTTTAACGGTGGTGGTATCATATTGGTGGTGGTTTTTACCGATTTTATTGGCTCTAGCATTGTTATGCGCTATATCCACTGTTTTTCCTCCCTGCACCACACTTTGCTGGTTTGGGATTATGAGTGGAATATTTAGGACTTGCCCATACATTCCTTCCCATTTTGATGGTTGGGGTGGGACTTACATCCGTCATTATAATTTCGCCAGTAGCATATAAACTAGGCACTTTCTACCCCGCCTTGCCACGGCCCCGCCTGATTAACATCAGCGGTCACGTGACTCGGTAAGTGTGTCAGCTTTGGCTGTGCCTTCGATTGAACTAGAGGGTATGTTAGCCAGACAGAATACCGCTCCCGCCTCGCCGTCGTTGGGAGTCTGTCTTATGCTTATATGTACCCCAAGGAGGACTTCTTTTGAAAAAGAATTTTACAAACCTGTAGAGGTTATGAATTCTTTGAAGAAAGTCCTCCTTGGGGTACGGCCGCCCACCTCCCTCATTCTGTCTGACACGTTCCGCATGAAAAGTGAGGTACGAGGTAAGCAGCCAGAGTTACCTGCTCTTAGCTTTAGGGGGCCCTGTGAGGGGTCCTGTGAGGGGCCCTGTAGGGGTGGTCTCACTAAACAAAACAAGTTTTTTGTTTGGTAAAATATTTTATTGAAATATTGTTACAACTGTTGTAGGTATTTTAAAATGGACATTTTAATGCTTATATGTACCCCAAGGTGAACTTTCTTCAAAGAATTCATAACCTCTACAGGTTTGTAAAAGTTTTTGCTATTGTGAAACAAATATCTGAGAACATCCACATCAAAACAGTGATTATAAAGTAACCAGTTGTGGTTAAAGTATCTTGTAACTGAAGACATGGGCAGTCATTTGGTATTGTTTAAATGGTTTGAATATGACAACTTATTAATGCTTTCAGGAAATTATAGACTTCAAGATTTTGTCAGCCGAACGCAAAGTAAACGGTGAGTGCATTATCTCTCTACTCTTAGAGAAGTGTTTAGGAATCAAACCAATAAATATTTTTTCAGTTGGTAAGTTTCATGGAATACTTTTCTACTATCTGTTATGTCAAGAAATTGTTGTACCTTGTGAAGAAATGTGCCAAGGGAGTCAGTATTTTGGCCTCACTCGCTCACTCACTCACTCACTCACTCACTCACTCACTCACTCACTCACTCTTCACTCACTCACTCACCCACCCACCAGGTAACATAGTCCTTTATATATATTATGGTAAACATGTCTCTACTTAGCTTTAATGGAAAGAAAATCAGTTTTATTTTTTCCTTTGATTCAGGGAACATCAGATGCAAAGAGGGCTCTGATGGCAGCCAAGAAAGTGTGAGTTACCATTGTTACGTAAACCTATCTCATCTCACAAGATGCGCTGGGGTTGTGAGTTTGAATCCTAGATTTTCTCATTTATCTTTAGTTTGTCAGCATGCCAATTGTGCATGTAGGTTTCATCAAGAAGTCAACTCCACCCAAGTTTAAATCTGACACAGATTAGCTTGGGCAAGTATATATGGCACCATCATCTACCAGAAGACATATTATGACCTGATCAATGACATACAGGTTATTCTGCCATCCAAAATATGCTAATAGGAATTAGGTTCAATTCTAGGAATGATGAGTTATGTTCAAATGAAAATCTTCAGCGACCCATGCTTGTCATGAGAGACAACTACCGTAACAGGATCAGGTGGTCAGGCTCGCTAACTTGGTTATGTCCCAAATGACATGCCATTGTGTCTGAAATGTGTAGGTCAGTGCCGATAGTGTCAATCACTGGATCGTCTGGTCCAGACTCTATTATTTACAGACTGTCATCATATAGCTGGAATGTTGTTGAGTGGTGTATTAAGCAACAAACAAAACAATTCATATGGCCACAGAGGTATAATGGGAAGATTCATGTGGACTGTAAAACATATCTTTGACTCAACATGATTGAGAGATTCTGTTGTTTTAAGGGAGAATGATGTATCTGCTCTGGATATCAACATGGGCTGCCCCAAGGAGTTTTCCATCAAGGTATCAGAACTTAACTCCTGGCTGTATTACACACCTTAGGTGTTCTGGAATGTGTGTTCTGGTATGTGTGTTCTGTGTGATATCTGGTAATGTGTGTTATGTGTGATATCTGGTAATATGTGTTATGTGTGATATCTGGTATGTGTGTTCTGTGTGATATCTGGTAATATGTCTTATATGTGATATCTGGTAATGTGTGTTATGTGTGATATCTGGTAATATGTGTTATGTGTGATATCTGGTAATGTGTGTTATGTGTGATATCTGGTAATATGTGTTATGTGTGATATCTGGTAATATGTGTTATGTGTGATATCTGGTATGTGTGTTATGTGTGATATCTGGTAATGTGTGTTCTGTGTGATATCTGGTAATGTGTGTTCTGTGTGATATCTGGTAATGTGTGTTCTGTGTGATATCTGGTAATGTGTGTTCTGTGTGATATCTGGTAATGTGTGTTCTGTGTGATATCTGGTAATATGTGTTATATGTGATATCTGGTAATGTGTGTTATGTGTGATATCTGGTAATGTGTGTTCTGTGTGATATCTGGTAATGTGTGTTATGTGTGATATCTGGTATGTGTGTTATTTGTGATATCTGGTAATGTGTGTTATGTGTGATATCTGGTTATGTGTGATATCTGGATAATGTGTGTTATGTGTGATATCTGGTAATGTGTGTTATGTGTGATATCTGGTAATGTGTGTTATGTGTGATATCTGGTAATATGTGTTCTGTGTGATATCTGGTAATATGTGTTCTGTGTGATATCTGGTAATGTGTGTTATGTGTGATATCTGGTAATATGTGTTATGTGTGATATCTGGTAATGTGTGTTCTGTGTGATATCTGGTATGTGTGTTCTGTGTGATATCTGGTAATATGTGTTCTGTGTGATATCTGGTAATGTGTGTTCTGTGTGATATCTGGTAATGTGTGTTCTGTGTGATATCTGGTAATGTGTGTTATGTGTGATATCTGGTAATGTGTGTTATGTGTGATATCTGGTAATATGTGTTCTGTGTGATATCTGGTAATGTGTGTTATGTGTGATATCTGGTAATATGTGTTCTGTGTGATATCTGGTAATGTGTGTTATGTGTGATATCTGGTAATGTGTGTTCTGTGTGATATCTGGTAATATGTGTTATATGTGATATCTGGTAATGTGTGTTATGTGTGATATCTGGTAATGTGTGTTATGTGTGATATCTGGTAATGTGTGTTATGTGTGATATCTGGTAATGTGTGTTCTGTGTGATATCTGGTAATATGTGTTATGTGTGATATCTGGTAATATGTGTTCTGTGTGATATCTGGTAAATGTGTTTATGTGTGATATCTGGTAATGTGTGTGTGATATCTGGTAATGTGATATCTGGTAATGTGTGTTATGTGTGATATCTGGTAATGTGTGTTATGTGTGATATCTGGTAATATGTGTTATGTGTGATATCTGGTAATGTGTGTTATTTGTGATATCTGGTAATGTGTGTTATGTGTGATATCTGGTATGTGTGTTATTTGTGATATCTGGTAATGTGTTATGTGTGATATCTGGTAATGTGTGTTCTGTGTGATATCTGGTAATGTGTATTCTGGTATGTGTGATATCTGGTAATATGTGTTATGTGTGATATCTGGTATGTGTGTGTTATGTGTGATATCTGGTAATGTGTGTTATGTGTGATATCTGGTAATGTGTGTTATGTGTGATATCTGGTAATATGTGTTATGTGTGATATCTGGTAATATGTGTTATGTGTGATATCTGGTAATATGTGTTATGTGTGATATCTGGTAATGTGTGTTATTATGTGATATCTGGTAATGTGTGTTCTGTGTGATATCTGGTAATGTGTGTTCTATATGTGATATCTGGTAATGTGTGTTATGTGTGATATCTGGTAATATGTGTTCTGTGTGATATCTGGTAATGTGTAATATGTATCTGGTAATGTGTGTTGATATCTGGTAATGTGTGTTATGTGTGATATCTGGTAATGTGTGTTCTGTATGTGATATCTGGTAATATGTGTTATGTGTGATATCTGGTAATGTGTGTTCTGTGTGATATCTGGTAATATATGTGTTATGTGATATCTGGTAATATGTGTTCTGTGTGATATCTGGTAATATGTGTTATGTGTGATATCTGGTAATGTGTGTTCTGTGTGATATCTGGTAATGTGTGTTCTGTGTGATATCTGGTAATATGTGTTCTGTGTGATATCTGGTAATGTGTGTTCTGTATGTGTGATATCTGGTAATGTGTGTTGTGTGATATCTGGTAATATGTGTTATGTGTGATATCTGGTAATGTGTGTTCTGTGTGATATCTGGTAATGTGTGTTATGTGTGATATCTGGTAATGTGTGTTATGTGTGATATCTGGTAATGTGTGTTCTGTGTGATATCTGGTATATGTATGTGTTCTGTGTGATATCTGGTAATGTGTGTTCTGTGTGATATCTGGTAATATGTATCTCATGTGTGATATCTATCTAAAATGTGTTCTGTGTGATATCTAGTAATATGTGTTCTGTGTGATATATGTGTTCTGTGTGATATCTGGTAATGTGTGTTCTGTGTGATATCTGGTAATATGTACTCAGTGTGATATCTGGTAATATGTGTTCTGTGTGATATCTGGTAATGTGTGTTATGTGTGATATCTGGTAATATGTGTTCTGTGTGATATCTGGTAATGTGTGTTCTATGTGATATCTGGTAATATGTACTCAGTGTGATATCTGGTAATATGTGTTCTGTGTGATATCTGGTAATATGTGATATCTGGTAATGTGTGATATCTGGTAAAATGTGTTCTGTGTGATATCTGGTAATATGTGTTCTGTGTGATATCTGGTAATATGTGTTATATGTGATATCTGGTAATATGTGCTCAGTGTGATATCTGGTAATATGTGTTCTGTGTGATATCTGGTAATATGTGCTCAGTGTTTTATCTGCTAAAATGTGCTCAGTGTTTTATCTAGTAATATGTGCTCAGTGTGATATCTGGTAATATGTGTTATGTGTGATATCTGGTAATATGTGCTCAGTGTGATATCTGGTAATATGTGTTCAGTGTGATATCTGGTAATATGTGCTCAGTGTGATATCTGGTAATATGTGTTCAGTGTGATATCTGGTAATATGTGCTCAGTGTGATATCTGGTAATATGTGTTCTGTGTGATATCTGGTAATATGTGCTCAGTGTGATATCTGGTAATATGTGCTCAGTGTGATATCTGGTCATGTGTGTTCTGTGTGATATCTCTTAATGTGTGGGGCGGTGGGGTAGCCTAGTGGTTAAAGCGTTGGCTCGCCATGCCGAAGACCCGGGTTCGAATCCCCACATGGGTACAATGTGTGAAGCCCATTTCGGTGTCCCCCGCCGTGATGTTGCTGGAATATTGCTAAAAGCGTCGAAAAACCAAACTCAGTCAGTCAGTCTCTTAATGTGTGTTCTGTGGTATAAATTTTAAGATATGGTCTCTGTTCCAGGGAGGAATGGGGGCTGCACTTTTGTCAAATCCAGAGAAGATCAAAGAGGTAAGGGTTTATTGCATCCTTCAGTAGACTAATGAGATGTGGAGTGTTCTGTCAATGATGTGAGGGGAAGGGTTCTTCTGCTATCTGATTACAATTAGATCTATTCTTGCTACCGCTGAACATAGAACTGAGGACATGTCGCTCCTTTAATACAACCTTACCAGAAAGTGAGAGCTGAAAGATTTTTCTAATAAAGGACCGTTCATAATTTATGGCTAGGGGGTTGTGATGATGATTTTAAGGGGGGGTCACCCATTTTGTTCTGGGGAGTTAGGCGGGTCATCTATTTTGTACACACATGCTAGGGGAGGTCAGCAATTGTGTACATAAAAATATGTTTAAAAATATAGCTGCGAGCAGCGATGTAGGGCTCCTTGGCTTTACTTCTTTGGAGCCTTTTGCATCTCTCACATATCTCATGAATGTAAGAGAGGTATTAGTTAATATGAATCATATCACTGCTAGTCAAATGCTCTTCGACTGGAAGTACTGGGAGGTCATTAAGTTTCGAGAAACTCATCACAAAACCTATTTTCGTACATTAAATAATATCACTTAGGTATCATAAATATCAAAACAGAAGAACCCTTTGTTCAAACAGTCAGAGAAACAGAAAATTTTGTGGCCTGAACTAAATAATTTGAAAGGTTCACTGTGACTGACATTATGTGAATGTAAATGTACGTCACATGTAGCTGACAAGTCTTGATTCACATTTAACGGTCAGTCAACACAACTCATGTGTCATTTTACCGAAAGAATGACATTCTCATGCTCTTTATTATGGTGCATTGCCTACTGATAGAGTTACCTGGCGAGTTTAGTGCGAGGATTTTTTCTGCACTGTTGGTGAACACCATTTCCATCTAAATATCAACAGCAACCAAATAGACATGTGGATACCACGAAGCACTCGTGCTCTGTATTTCTGTAGCGTTTATCAATATCCATAGCAGCTGTTCCTCTCACAGCTGACACAAGTGAACATGTGCTTTTACAGCAACTAAGGTACTCCAGTAGGGGGTATACTCGTGGCGTGGACATCCTAAGTCGTGTAAAACAAAGTCAAGAAAAATGTGTCCACTTTGGGTTACTTAGCTAATTAACCCTAGACAATAGACAAAACAAAATAAAAATAAAGAAAAGAAAATAAAGAACAAGATACCAAGTGCATTTTATGTTTATATCGTTGTTACTTGAATTCCGTAAAGCCGTTAGTTTCAGTTATATAATTCTGTAACGGATTTTATAAGATTTTCATTGTCTAAAGGAGATAAATCGTCATTGCCGTGAAGCGGTATTTGCATTCTTACATAGCTTTACAGCAGAAGTAACACACTTCTCTCGTCATTGTCAATTGAAATTGACATCGTCTCCCATATCTGCATGGAGCAGCACACTTTGCAGTGGTAGTTTCTTTATAGGACATTTCATGAGAGGAATATTACTCCGACAAAAAGAGTCACCAAGGCATCCCATGCACATGTTCATATGTAAATATAGATGTAGATGTTGTGACTGCATACTTACCTATTAGTTTTCCATAACTATCCATGCTGACCACGGTGAATAAGCGTGTACAACCTGCTTGGCGTCTGTGGGAAGTCGATAAAAACAGCTTGAGTTAGGTGTTTGAAGGAGCAGACATAATGCGTCCTCGCTTCCCTACAGACTGTAGCATGCGCTTTGCAAGCGGCCATAATCGTCCTCGCTTTCCTACAGACTGTCGCATGCTTTGCAGCGGCCATAATCGTCAGCGCTTTTTCTTCAGACTGTCGCAGGTTTCGCCACGGGTAACCTGCTGTATAGTTAATGTGGGAGAAACCTATGACACATTCGGTAATATAAGCCTTGGCTGTCGGTGATATAAAGTACTGCCATATAGCTTGAATATTTCTGACCGCGCGTAAAACTAAACTCAATCAGTCAGTCACACTCCACGCCACGCGCAAGTGAACTTGTGATTACACAGCAGTTAAGGTATTTCAGTAGTTTTGTATCAGTATCCATTACACTGTTACACTGGGGCTGTTACAACTGAATTTGTGAATCGAGAGCAGGTATATATACTGGAAATACCGCGTAACACCTCGCGATACAGGTCACCTATGAAGTTTTAAAATCCATGCAAACAGCAATCAATTGTTACCAAAAGCGTATTATTCTTGGGCATTGTAAAGCCGGGCCTGGTCGGTGTTGAAGCGATTTTACTAGCGCTTACTTCAGCTAGACCAGAGTTACCCCTTAGACCACAGCTACAACTTTTACCCTGACCCGGGCGCTCAATCATTGACAATCTTTAAAAGCTGCCTAAAAAGACATACCCCTTACAAAGATTGAATTACAATGAAGGAATAGCACCTCTACTGCAGTGTATTTTAATTTTGTTTAGCGCTAGCTCGTCATTGTCAATTGAAATTTACATCGTCTCCCATATCTGCACGTGGACCACGCTTTGCAGTAGTAGTCTCTCTATAGGAGATATCGTGATTCTATGCTTTCCTTCGAACTGTCGCATGCTTTGGGTAATCTGCCGTGCTGTAAATGTCGATGAAACTTATGATACATTAGGCAATGTATCTCCTGGGTCGTCGGTGATAAAAGAAGTCCGTATTTTATTAAATCTGTCCAAACTTTGGGTTTCTGAATGTAAGCATTATTTATGATCACTGGTAGTGCACGTTGTTGGAAGTTTTTTATGTGGCGTTTGCGTGTTCTGCCTGGAGTTGAGGTCAGTTTGTTTGGCACTCTTTTTTTCTTTCATTTGGAATTAGGTCTCAAATAGTATTTTTTCCTTTTAGCTCCCCATACGTTGTATTCACACGGATAATGTTGAACGCCCGTAGCGCTTGCAGTGACTTTTGACATAGGACCAAGAACAGAAAATGTTCAACAACCAAAGGCAACTTCAGAACAAGCGTTTAAAGTGTTGTATGTGCTAAGTTTCGTTTGGCTCAAAATAGCAAAGTAGCCCGTGAAAGTTTTTGAAGACAACTTTTGCCCAAAAGTAGCGCCCAATATGGCGGCCATCATATAAACATAGGCACATTTGACGATGCTACTGTGTAGAAACATGCATAGACACAAAGTATGCAGCGTTTGAAAGCCGTAGCCCTTGTAGTTTTAGTGCAGCACATTTTGGGAGGTATGCAGTCAGCATTTTGCTTAAAAACATCACCAAAAACTTCAATCCCAAATAAGCGCCCAAGCGGTGTATTTGAGCGACTTGAGGCCGTCCAGTAGAAAATTGTAGAGCATTTTGATTAGCGATCTGCTCAAGAACCCGGCAAACATTGGAGCATTAGTTTTGGAGATATTTGCATTTGCATTTGAAATTTTTGAATTAATTTTGAATTATCTGCCCTTTGCTATTGGGCCTACAGCCTAGAGATTTTAATGGGGAATATCTACACCTTGGTAGGCATCTGGGTGAATTTTTCAAGCTTAATCTGTCCAGCGGTGCTCTTTGTAGGGCTGGAACAAAATCATGGCATGAAAAATAAATAATAATAATAAAACATTAACGATTACAATAGGTCTCCTGCCTAAAGGCAAAGGAGCCCTAATTAAAAATCGTTATATTTGAGTTTTTCGGGGTTTTGACCCCGGAACTTGATAGTATGTCAAAAATGCTTTCTAATGGTCAAGGTCACCAAGGTCACGGGGTCAAGGTCATTTGACCGGTCCGTGACAAAAACAAAAACATGTTTTTGGCGAGCTAAGACGCCGCTTGTTATTACCTCTAGGGTGAAAGGGATTAGTGTTTCTGCTTTGCCCAGACCCGATGTATCATATCGCTGGTCAGATTTAGTGACAAATATGTCCGCCTGTCCGCGATGTTCGTCCGTTAAAATACTGTATAATTAGTATTTCCAGAACTATGGAACGCACAGAGTTGAGATTTTGCACATAGCATTCCCTTGACTGTGCCTAATGATGCCGTGAAAAATCAGGTCATTTGAATATCAACTTCTGTTCCCATGGCAACCTGAAATTGAAAAACTTCAATCCAAGATGGCGCCAAACGGCTAGAGATATCGCATTCTGGGACTACCAGACAAAAATGATCGGAATTTCATGACCAAGTCACATGCCAAATATGGAAGCGATTAGGGCAATAGTGGTGGAGTTATATGCTGTTTTATGCCGCTTTTGGACACATAATGCATTTGTGCAATTTTCAATGCCATATGGCCGACAAAGCCGATCAAACTTTTGATATGCATAAGAACATCTAAATGTTAAGCATCTTATGTTGATGCATACTGCCAAGTTTTACTGCCTTGGTGTGCAGAACTTGAGCAGCTATGCTGTTTATAATGTAGTATCATCAGAATCTCGACGAAATCCAATATGGACGCAAGCAATACACATTTTGACATGCACCCAAGAACAAAAATGTTCAACACACTTAGTTACTACGTGACTGCCAGATTCTAGCTGCATAGTTGAAATAGTTATGACGCCATGATTTTGAAAATACATTTTAGTACAAAATAAACAACAGAAGCAAACGTCTAGATATCCGTAACTAATCAAGATATCGCAACATAGCTTATGGGCATTAATATTTGAGGTATATACTGTATATCTGCGCATTTACAGCGTTCTGCAGTTCATACATTCAGAGTTATGGATTGCGAAATATGCCTACCCTACAAATCTGCACATTTCCGATAAACATCTTCAATCCAATATGGCCGCCGCATCACGTGACTTTTGACATAGGACCAAGAACAGAAAATGTTCAACAACCAAAGGCAACTTCAGAACAAGCGTTTAAAGTGTTGTATGTGCTAAGTTTCGCTTTGGCACAAAATATAGCAAAGTAGCCCGTGAAAGTTTTTGAAGACAACTTTTGCCCAAAAGTAGGCGTCCAATATGGCGGCCATCATATAAACATAGGCACATTTGACGATGCTACGGTGTAGAAACATGCATAGACACAAAGTATGCAACGTTTGAAAGCCGTAGCCCTTGTAGTTTTAGTGCAGCACATTTTGGGAGGTATGCAGTCAGCATTTTGCTTAAAAACATCACCAAAACTTCAATCAAAAATAAGTCCAAACGGTGTGCATTTGGCTTTAATTATGCTTAGAAATTATGGGAAGGGGAGGGTCATTGATTTTGTACATGACATATGGGGGGGTCACTTATTTTGTACATAAATTTTTGGGGGGGTCATTCACATTGTACATGCTTAAAAATCATCTTCATCCCCTAGCAATAAATTATGAACGGTCCCTAATGAATTCCTGAAAAAAACAGGAGCAAGTTGCTCTGTGATTGGCTAATGTAGCATTATTAAGAACTGAGATCTTATTTTAATGTTATTGGGTTGTTCCGTCAAGGATGTTGAAATGAGTAATAGTGTTGTTCCACCAGTGATGTTGTTTTAAGGGGGAAGGTTGTTACATCAACCATATTGTTATGAATATGATGGTTCCTGCATGTACTTGGTTGTGAGGGAGGCTGTTCCATCCATATTGCTAATGTCTCCCTGCTCTACCTGCTACAGATACTGACCACCCTTGTGTCTGGCCTGTCCATACCTGTCACTTGCAAGATCAGAATTCTACCCAAGGTTTGTACAATCGGTTTTACTCTCTCCTGAACACACATAAAGTAAGGTTCTTTGTCTGGTAAGTCTTTGGAAGCTTTTACTGGGCATCAGTGCAATCCATAAATTAGGTCACATTTTTGACGCATTATGACAGCAACGTTTCAGTGAAAGTCATGTGTAACTCATGAACGTAGAAGTACAACACCTGTCCATGTAAGTTTGCTTCAGTATTCTGCGTAGCGCCTTGTTGCTGTGTAACAATGAGGGGCGGTAGGGTAGCCTAATGGTTAAAGCGTTGGCTCGTCATGCCGAAGACCCGGGTTCGAATCCCCACATGGGCACAATGTGTGAAGCCCAATTCTGGTGTCCCCGCCGTGATGTTGCTGGAATATTGCTAAAAGCGGCGTCAAAACAAAACTCAGTCAGTCAGTCAGTGTAACAATGATCTCTGTGCAGCTAGAGGACACACTGAAGCTGGTGAAGGTCATTGAGAGTACAGGAGTGGCAGCCATTGCTGTCCATGGGCGCACCAAGTATGAGAGGTCACGTCACCACAACCGCAACGATGTGATCAGAGCCATTGCAGAGCATGTGTCAATACCAGTGATTGCAAAGTGAGTCAAACATATCACAGAATGTATATCTCGTAAGTCAGATTGTTTGTCACTTCTAGGTCACAGAGTCGCAGAAAGTCTTTGTATTTGCCATTAAACATGGGTATGAACATTCAACAGGACAATTTTAATTTGGCTCTTGAGAAAGCATGTCCACCATTTTAGATTCACCTCACATTCATCTATATACAATTTACGGTTTGGTATGCAAGTACCATGTCTTTCATGGATAATTGTTTCAAGTAATTCAGGAATATTTTTAGTGGATACTTGGATGGTAGGATAACCTAATAGTTAAGGATCCGTGAAGATCCGGGTTAGAACTAATCTTCAGTAGCCCATGCTTGTCGTAAGAGGCGACTAACAGGATTGGGTGGTCAGACTCGCTGACTTGGTTGACACATGTCATCGTATCCCAGTTACGTACATCAATGCTCATGCTGATTTGTTTAATCCATGTTGGTCACTGGATTGTCCAGACTCCATTATTTACAGACCGCCGCCATATATAACTAAACTCACTCACTCACTAATGGACCCGTGAAGGTCCTGGTTAGAATATTGATCTTCAGTAACCCATGCTTGACATAAGAGGCGACTAACGGAATCGGGTGGTCAGGCTTGCTGACTTGGTTGACACATGTCATCAGTTCCCATTTGTGCAGATCAATGCTCATGCTATTGATCACTGGATTGTCTGGTCCAGACTCGATTATTTAAAGACTGCCGCCATATAGCTGGAATATTGCTGAGTGCGGCGTAAAACTAAACTCACTTACTCACTCACTCACTAATGGTTAAGGTGTTCACTTGTCACACCAAAGGCCTGGCTTGAATTCCCCCACATGGGTACAATATGTCAAGCACATTTCTGGTGTTCCCTGCCGTGATATTGGTAGAATATTGCTAAAAGCAGCTTAAAATCATATTCACTCAAACACCATACTATCAGATTATTTGATCTTGATTTTTGGACCAAGGGGAATTGTCCCCTTCTGATGAAACTCATTGGTGCTGTTACCTCTGCAGTGCCAATAGACCATTTATAATTATATCGAAATGATGAACATAAATATGAAAATATTTTTATCCAAGTTGACAACTTTACTGATATTTGCTGCAGACTCTTTGCAGAATACACAGTTATGTCACTTAAGTTCCTATTTGAAAACAGTGGTGGTTCTCGAGATATAAAGACTCTTGAAGAGATCAAGGAATTCTGGAAAGAAGCCGGCACCTCGTCGGTGATGATAGCACGAGCGGCTGAATGGAACGTGTCTGTGTTTAGACCTGACGGCCCTCTCCCTCTGCATGAGGTCATCAAGAAGTACCTCAGATTTGTAAGTACAGTAGAACACGGATATAACGAACTCCAAGGGACCAAGAAATTAAGTTTGCTATATCCGTTGTTCGTTATTCACATTTGACCGTCATCTTGGATTGAAGAGATGTAGACATTCACAGACATTACCTATATCATCTTGATAAATATGAAGTTTATTTTTATAATAAAATTGAAATAATACAACTACAACTTAAATAAATTTATTTTTTTGATGAAAATGCAAGCTTACATTTATAATGTCCAGATAAACTGCGCGAAAAGAAGCAAAAACTGTAGCGATTTTTTTTCCATTTGTGACATGTCATAACATGCCCGCGCCTTTTCTTTTTATATTTTCATTTTTATGTAATCAGGCTTTCCGTTCGTTAACATGACACAACAACGGAAATACTTCCGTTTGAGAAGCCTCTCGGTGATGAATAACATGCGAGAAGGCTTAATCGGGTGGTGTCTGGTATCGTTCGACAGCTCTGGAACATCAACAATATCACTGTACCCTTGCCGAGAGTATTTTCACAGTTGTAAAAAGCGATTTTATTGGATAAAATTATCTAATGACGCTTTTTCGCCACAGTCTGCTATAAGGATCGTGATTGGTCAAAATCAGACACGTGAACTAAGGCAGCCAATCATACTACGGCAATGGATACCGTCCTCGTCAAAGAGGTGTTGAATGGGTTAAACACGATATGTTTGTTTTGTTAATTAATTAATGACCATCAAACAATGTTGATTCACCGCCAACAAGATTGATGTATACTGTACCGCTAAGTGGCAGAGTTGACGCTGAGTGAGTTCGCTAATCACGTCGTTAATTGGGTCTTGGGGGTAGTAAATCAGTTCGCTATAGCCGTTAATTCGCTACTCACGAGTTCGTTATTCATGTATAATTTTAATGATATTATAAAGACTGTTGACGGGACTTTTAAATTTGTTCGCTATATCCGTTTGTACGCTATAGCCGTGTTCGCTATAACCATGTTCTACTGTACATTGAGACACCATATGAATGGTCATAATGTATATAGAATGTCTTACTTTCTTGACACCTTTGAAGGTCCGGGTTAGAATATTGAACTTTAGTAACCCATGCTTGTCGTAAAAGGCGACTAACGGCATCGGGTGGTCAAGCTCCCTGACTTGGTTGACACATGTCATCGGTTCCCAATTGCGCAGATCAATGTTCATGCTGTTGATAACTGGATTGTCTGGTTCAGACTCAATTATTTACAGGCCACCGCCATATAGCTGGAATATTGCTTGGTGCGGCGTAAAACTAACTCACTCACTCTTACTTTCTTGAAATGCTTTTTTAATTCAGTATTACATTTAGTGAGTGAGTGAATGTGAAAGTATGGTTTTATGGCGTGCCAGGAACCAAGTGTGCTTATGGTACTTCAAACCCTGTTTACTCTCATTATATCTAGGGGCGATAGGGTAGCCTAGTGGTTAAAGCTTTCACTTGTCACGCCAAAGATCCGGGTTCGAGTCCCCACATGTGAAGCCCATTTCTGGTGTCCCCCGCCGTGATATTGCTGGAATATTGCTAAAAGCGGCGTAAAAACCAACTCACTCACTCACTCACTCATATCTAAGCATGTCAAAACCATGCTTTTACTGATGGAGTCCTCCAAATTGAAAATTGTCTTAGATGTTCATAATTTCCGGCTTTTCCTCACTCAACAAACATGCCTGATATAACTTAAACTGTAAAACCAGATGTTGAAATGTGAGCAGGTTGTAACCTCTGTGTTTTAATTTTAATGTGGACTGACATATTTTCTTGACACCAAACCTGACTGTTGGTTACTTTTGGTGATGTCAGTCTTCCTGCCTACAATGTTTTGATAATGATTTCCCCAGATCAAACTGTTTATTATATATTCAGGCACAGTTCAGCATAGATATATTTTTACTCTCCAGGCTGCAGAGTATGACAACAACGCCATCAACACGAAGTACTGTGTTCTACAGATCATGCATGAGACAATGAAGGAGCCGGAGGGACAGGCCATGCTGGGTATCACCACGATGGAGGAGATATAGTGAGATACTGCTGGGGGATATAGTGAGATACTGCAGGGGGATGTAGTGAGTACTGCAGGGGGATGTAGAGAGATACAGGGGGATATAGTGAGATACAGGGGGATATAGAGATACTGCTGGGGGATATAGTGAGATACTGCAGAGACATAGAGATGTAGTGAGATACTGCAGGGGGATATAGAGAGATACTGCTGGGGGATATAGTGAGATACTGCAGGGGGATGTAGTGAGATACTACAGGGGGATATAGAGAGATACTGCAGGGGGATATAGTGAGATACTGCAGGGGATATAGTGAGATACTACAGCTGGGGGATATAGTGAGATACTGCTGGGGGATATAGTGAGATACTGCAGGGGATGTAGTGAGATACTGCAGGGGATATAGAGAGATACTGCTGGGGGATATAGTGAGATACTGCTGGGGGATGTAGTGAGATACTGCAGGGAGATATAGTGAGATACTGCATGGGGATATAGTGAGATACTGCAGGGGATATAGTGAGATACTACACAGGGAGATATAGTGAGATACTGCAGGGGGATATAGTGAGATACTACAGGGGGATATAGAGAGATACTACAGAGGGGAGATATAGTGAGATACTGCAGGGGGATATAGTGAGATACTACAGAGGGGATATAGTGAGATACTGCAGGGGGAGATATAGTGAGATACTACAGGGGGATATAGTGAGATACTACAGGGTGATATAGTGAGATACTGCAGGGGGATATAGAGAGATATTACAGAGGGGGAGATATAGTGAGATACTGCAGGCAGATATAGTGAGATACTGCAGGGGATAGTGAGATACTACAGGGGGATATAGAGAGATATTACAGAGGGGAGATATAGTGAGATACTGCAGAGGGGGATATAGAGAGATACTACATGAGATCTAGTTATATACGAATTATCTGAGCGAGTGTCCTTCCTATGGTATCTGACCCGCCGTGCCGAGGTCAGATAACATAGGAAGATCACGAAGTTTCAGATAATTCGTATGTAATGAGATCGAAAGTGTGTATTTTATTTATTACCCACGTCTTACATGCATTAAATTGACAAAATAGCGTATTTTTGTTATTATTTTGGTTTCAAACCAAACCGGTTTCATAAAGAGGTTGGAAGAGTTTTGTACTGTAGTACAATATTTGCATGACGTCACACTGTAATGGCGTCACTGCCTTGGTAACCCCATGTTGGCTCTCATTCCATTACTAAGGTGTGAATAACAACTGAGTAACTGAGGCAATATGCCTATATATTTAGTCACTGGTTATTTAACATGTCTGTCTTTTCAGTGACATCTGGGACATGAAGGAGTTTTATTCTGATGTTCTGAAGAAGAGGAAAGCACGAGAGGAAAAGTTGAAAAGAGATAGAGGAGAAAATGACCATTGTATAAAACGCAGAAAGACAGACGATGGCAGTGTGTTGTATGAATTCCCAGTCCGATTTGTTAAGTAAGTATCAAATGTTGAAGTATGAATACCCAACCACATTGGGTCTGTGATAACACTGTTGGGCATTGGTTTCAGTAACTCTGGGATTATATTAGATAGCTAGGCCCTGTGACTTGGATGAATGTGTGTCATCGCACCCTGCCATGTCAGGAGTTTGATCAGAATATCAACCATTGGTTTGTGTGACCCAGATTCAGTTATTTGGACTGCTGTGGTTTAGCTGGAATATTACCGACTGCAGAAATGAGCAACATTAACCTATGTAAGCAGGGGAGCCTAGTGATTGAAGCGTTCACCCGTCATGCCGAAAAGGTTCAATTCCTTACATGGGTACAATGTGTGAAGCCCATTTCTGGTGTCTCTGATATTGCTGGAATATTGCTAAAAGCGGCATACATCACTCACCTCATCCTCGATAATCTCCAGGGTATTCATTCCGATAAATCTCCAATATACCCTGGATGCATCTACGGCTCAGCCTCATAATTTTATTACCTCCCTTGGCTGGCTTTTTATCCAATCAGGTGTCTATGCTGGGACGTTGAGCATACCAATCACAAGGTTTCCATCATAACTCACTTTCGCTTGTTTTATCTAACCGATTAAACTTGGTAAAACAGTTGTTGCAGAGGAACTCTGAAAGAGGTAGAAGAAGTTCTTGCATATATGTTGTGAAGGTTTCAGACCTGTCAGTTTGTCTGTGTGATTTTTCCCCTACATCTGAGTCACACAGCTAACAAACGTTCCCGGCTGCGGCTGCTATCTTTGACACTGGCAAGTTTGGTTACAACGGCTTATTTGACTGGCTACTGTGAGAATGCTGAGCCAGCAAAAGGAGGTTATACAATTAACAGGCCGATCCATAGATACATCCAGGGTATAGTGGAGGTTTATCGGAACGTATACCCTGGAGATTATCAAGGAAGCACTCACCGATGTAAACAGTTTTAGTATCTACAATATTGTTTGTTGTCTCCCCTTCAAGCTGAACGTGTTCCATTAATTCATGTGTCTCCCCACAGAAAGGACTATCCAGTTGCTGTCACCCCCAAACAGCGCCTGTATGAATGGTGTAAGAGGAACAGGGTGGATCTTCCCAAGTACAATACTGTAAGTCACCCATGTACAACACTGTATGTCACTCATGTACAACATGGTATGTCACTTATGTACAACATTGTATGTCATATATGTACAATGCTGTATGACACTTCATTAAAACTCTGCTGTCACTGCAGTACATCATTGTATGTCACACCACTACAACACCAGATGACAGGGGAAGCCCAATAATCTGAGGCACATCAAGTTGTTGTGAGGAGTTGTAGCATTAGATGTCCAACAATCCAATGATTGTTTCCTATTCCTGATGTATATCAAAATGGTCGAGACCTGTGTCACTGGTGAGAGTATCAAGCACGTTTTCCACATTGTCACTCTACTTGGTGAAAGATCTGTTTGACTGGCATTTTAGAAGTTGGTGAGTAATAAGAAAGTAAGATACTTTATGGATGACATCTTCTTTGTTCTATATGATGTGACGTAATTCAACGGTATAAGAATCTATGACCGAAACGTCGCATCCTTGGTGAAAGTCATATTGACCAGCTGTTCTCTGTTCAGGTGGACCGAGTGGCAGACAGATGCTTCAACAGTATTGTGACAGTGCAGGGAGTGAAATACACAACCCCTTTCTGGTAAGTTGAGAGGTTTTATCATATTTAGCACTTTTGACAAAGGTTTTCAATGAACAGACTAAATTATCTGTGAACTTGACCCCTGTTGATGTGTTGATGATGACACCTTAAGAGTGACATTTGTGTGGATTGTGGTTCTCACTTACTCCTACATAATTCAGGTAATTTTTGGATTTGATTGCTGACATGCCATGATAGAACTGCAATTCTATTAAAAATATTTGTTAAAACTCACTCATTCAGGTGGTGAGGTAGCCCAGTGGTTCAGGTGTTCGCTCGTCACGCTGAAGACCTGGGTTCAATTCCTCACATGGGTACATTGTGTGAAGCCCATTTCTGGTGTCACCTGCCATGATATTGCTGGAATATTGATATACTGTAAAGCGCATACTTATTTTCGCGTGGTGCAATTTTGCTAGGAATTGACAGTTTGATATAATTGCATAGTGAAAACTAACAGAGTGGCTTAACCTGTCAGGCGTTTATTGCTTACTCACAGGAAATCTCTATCAGTGTGATATACTAGTACACAGTAATCCGCTTTCTCCCAGAAGAGATGAAAACACATCAGTCTTATGTTCCAAATTCTGACGATTTGAATTAACTTATACTGTATATGAAGCTCTTTGTGATTTCAAACAAGCCGGGTTGTTGTGAATGAGATGATTGAGTGTTAGTGACTATTCGCTTCATGATGTACTGGTGAATAAAATCTTAATGAATAAATAAAATACTGCTGTATTATTTCTTTCGAGTCGCTTCACGCGGTAATCTGTTTTGTATCAAACCATCTGTCATGTGACCAATTTCCATGGCGGCCACAACACACATTGCTGTGCTAATTCGGCAATGGGATTTGGCTCATTATTTAATTATGTTTTGGGAAATCCATTACAGCGACAGTTAAGTATGATCAGTCGTCATTTTAAGATTCCGTTGATTTCTGTCTTCAAAGCGTGATGTGTTATGGCTGCATAGACTGACTGAATGAATGACAGGTTTATTCTTGTGTGCCATGCGAAATATAATCGTTTACAGTAAGCAGCATAAAATTCAAACTCACTCAATCACTCATCCCTATAGCCGTTCCTGGATGGCTGAGATGAAGTAGCCTTCGATTGAAGGATGCTGAAACTCTAATACTTTACTCTGAAAAATGTTTTGCTACTATTAGGGAGAAGTCCAAGCCGCTAGCTGAACAAGGAGCTGCCATTGCATGTATGATAACCTTGGGGGAAGACGATGGGCGCCTGGAGGAGGCAAAGCATGAAAAGGAGGCCATGCATAGGAAATGGGCACAGTTCAACAGTCAAACTAACAATGATGATTCAAATACGAAAAGGAAGACCAACAGTGATCTAACATCTGAAGAAATAGGTGTAGGAACAACTGAAAAGGGAGACTTTGAGAAATCAGATTCACCTGAAATAGTCTCAACAAAGACATCAGAAAAGAGTTAACATCGGCTTTGTTTTGCATATACATGCAATTCATACATAATAGTATTCTTTTGTCATTCTGTCAGCTGAAAGGCAAACCTTGTGAACGTGTATCTTGATGTAACATATTGCGAAGTCCCTCTCCCTTCAATCCCATTTCAGCTATCAGAGTGACCTCTCCTTGAACATCTTTTAGACTTCTCAGTTACTTCCACCCGTAATCACCATGACTACCTGACCACCTTGGTAACTGGCAAGTCTTATTGCTTCAGAGCTTGGACACCCTCTACATCTGCTTGATTGCCTTGGAGAGCTTCTCCACAATGAAAGGTGTCGGTACCGTCTAATTCCTGGGTGTCTTCTAGGTGTTTGTTGTCAAGCAACACTTTAAATATTGTTGTCCAACATTTGACACCTCAGTGTGAGTTACCATGTACACCTTTTTACACTGATAGTTCCGTCTCCTAATGTGCTCAGTCACTGTTTGTGAAAGTTTAGGTTGGCAAAGAACTGGGCCCCTAACACCAAGACTGAAGTCACTGCTTGTAAAACACCAGCCTGAAGTCTCAGAGAACGTGATCAATGTTCATGCTGTTGATCACTGGATTGTCTGGACCAGACTTGATTATTTACAGACCGCTGCCACATAGCTGGAATATTGCTCTCACTCACTCACTCACTCACTCACTCTCAGAGAACACCACTATTTTCAGTTTCAGACAAGCATCTTACATGCAGGAGTGGACCTACCTTTGGTTCAGTATCCAAGTAACAGTGTCTGTCTTCAATCAAGGAATGCTTTGAGGTGACAGATGGTTCGTTTTCTAATTATAACCTACCGGTATGGGATTTATCAGTAGGAGATCTGAGAAACATTCACTAGTTGACACAGCAGTTGATTGTAACTGAGCAAGAATCAAACTGAAAGGTTATCAGATATTTAGCCTTGATGTGGTATCACAGTCAAAAGTAGCTGTTCAAGGGGAGGTTACTCTCATATCTGTGAATAGCAACCCCTGGCAGAGAGGCACATTTTAGGTTCAGTGTAATGGCATTGGGAATTTGCGTCATGTTGTGTCAGGATAAGTTTATGCATAATGTAAATAAACTCATGTATATTTATTTTATCACCAAATTGTAGCGTGATAATTGTATTGTGGGTTAATTACCGGTAGTCATTTCAATTTTATACACTGGACATCACCATCCATTATATCTAATTTTATTCACAAATATGAATTCAAGTTTTATGTTCAGGCTGTTTATGGTTTGGACGTTGTGCGTTTTATACAATGTTTTATGTATCTGTCCATTGTTTTAGGTGTTATGGTGTAGATGTTTCATCCATAAATGTACAAATGCTCATTGTCTTCAAATATGATGGCATGTGTTCCAAATACATGTTTCTTTCATGACCTTCCAAAATGCAAAGTGTTTGGGTTTGTTGTTTTCATGTAAATCACAAATCATGACATTTGACCCACATCAATAACTATCAAGTGTCTTGTGTGACCAGTTTATTTATGTGTGACCTCATACGGAATACATGGTGTTGTTTAGAGAACTTACCTCTGATTCTTATGGGAAAACCCAACAGCAACCAAGCTGGAGATTTTAAACAAGAGTTCCCAAACACAGTTTATTGAACAGGGAGAGAATTCATTGAGTGAACATTAGAGGTATGTACCTGATTTCATACATCATCATGTTTTTAGGAGCGATTGCGACATCCAAATCATGAACCATGGCGGGTATTTTTTAGTACTGTGGTTGTCTTTATTTTCTAAAAACAAAGTTTCCGAAACAAGGAAGGAGAGAAATGAAGCCCAGAAAGCAGACATTTCATTGGCTCAAGAACACAAACATCCAATATTTTGATTGGTCCGTAGACTTTTCCACAGGGTTCACTTGATATGGCCTTCTGTGGATTGTTTTCAGATCTTCATACCAAGAGGTATCTTACCAAAGTGATATCTGTTTTTAATGGGATTGCTCTGCCTGGACCAAGAAGCTATTTAATGTGGTTTACTGCTGATATTAATGACCCATATTTCCAGGTTGTCTTTAAATGTTTCTTTACATCATACATGTGTATATTCTGTCATTAATGTCGCCGTCTGCAAGAATGGGAATGGTCTTCACATTTACTGATTCTGAATGTAAAGAATCAGAAATATTTGAAGAGCATGTGCAAAGGTTTCATTTGATACAAGTGCATGTTGGCAGGAGGAAACATAATGTACAGTGGGTAAGTGAGTGAGTTTAGTTTTACCCTGCTTTTAGCAATATTCCAGCAATATCACGGCAGGGGACACCAGAAAAGGAGTTTCTGGTGCTCATATGGGGAATCGAACCCGCGCCTTCGGAGTGACAAGCAAACATTTAAACCACTTGGCTATCCCGCCACCCCCATAATGTACAGAGAAAACCATGTTTGGGGAAATATCTTCATACAACCTTGATGTCAAACATGCCTCTTACACCAGATGAAAAGGAAAAGCTATGAGAACAATGTATGTTTCTCAAGAATATGTACAAAGGGATATTATTTATGTTCATGATTTGTTATTCAGGGTTTTACTGTTTATCATCATGGGAAATGTATTTTAGATTCCTTCTTCCAACAACAAATAAAATGTCATGGTAACAGATCAATGTTCTTTTCAATGTTATTTTCCCAACAGTTGACTGAATTCAGTGTAGTAGCATCTCATTTCGTCTGACATGCTACTTTGAAATACAAGATACTTGGCATGACAGTGCAAAGATGGGTGAGTCTACAGTATTCACCAACGCAAACAATATGGCAAACATCTTTCAGAGTTAATCCTTTCCCAAGTTCTTATCTCCCAGGGTAAATACATTCTCAAGTCTCATCTCCCAGGGTCATTACTTTCCCAAAGTCTCATCACCCTCGGTAAATACATTCTCAATTCTCATCTCCCAAGGTCAGTACTTTCCCAAAGTCTCGTCTCCCTTGGTAAATACATTCTCAAGTCTCATCTCCCAGGGTCAGTACTTTCCCAAAGTCTCAGCACCCTTGGTAAATACATTCTCAAGTCTCATCTCCCAGGTCAATACTTTCCCAAAGTCTCATCACCCTTGGTAAATACATTCTCAATTCTCATCTCCCAGGGTCAGTACTTTCCCAAAGTCTCATCTCCCTTGGTAAATACATTCTCAAGTCTCATCTCCCAGGGTCAGTACTTTCCCAAAGTCTCATCACCCTGGGTAAATACATTCTCAAGTCTCATCTCCCAGGGTCAGTACTTTCCCAAAGTCTCAGCACCCTTGGTAAATACATTCTCAAGTCTCATCTCCCAGGGTCAGTCATCACCCTTTTCCCAAGTCTCATCTCCCTCATCTCCCGGTAAATACCTTCTCAAGTCTCATCTCCTTGGGTTCCCAAAGTCTCATCTCCCGGGTAAATATCTTCTCAAGTCTCATCTCATTGGGTTCCCAAAGTCTCATCTCCCGGGTAAATACCTTCTCCAGTCTCATCTCCCTTGGTAAATCACCTTCTCAAGTCTCTCATCTCAGTCTCATCACCCTTGGTAAATACATTCTCAATTCTCTCATCTCCCAGGGTCAATACTTTCCCAAAGTCTCATCTCCCGGGTAAATGCATACTTCTCAAGTCTCATCTCCTCCCAAGGGTACTTTCCCAAAGTCTCATCTCGGGTAAATACCTTCTCAAGTCTCATCTCCTTGGGGGAGGGTAAATGCACTCTCAAGTCTCATCTCCCGGGTAAATACCTTCTCAAGTCTCATCTCCTTGGGTTCCCAAAGTCTCATCTCACAGGAAGCAACTAACCCAAGTATGACTGCTCACATGGATACTGTGGACTTGCCCATTCCTTCTTATGGCAGGAACATTGCTAAAACCAAAATGTCTCATCTTCCAGGAGTAGATATACTCTCTCATATAGGCAAATACTCTCTCATATTCACATCTGCTGGGTGAAATAATCTCTCATCGTTTCATCTCCAAAGGTAAATCCACTCTCGGACAGAATCACCAAACCTAAGACTGTTCATTCCACACTTTTTGTCTGTCACAACATCAAGCTTGTTTTATATTTATGACACGAGTCATGGTAATCTAATGACCACCATGTCCATTGTTTTCATTAATGAATGTTGCATATAAATACAAAAAATATCCACATTAATTCAAACAACCCAAATGTGACCACAGTATTGGTCTCTACTGCCTGTCACAAATCATCACAATGACAAGTAATTTTCTGAACTGAATCATTCTAACAGCTATTGGATAACATGCTACAATCCTCAACAGTGGAAAATGGGGTTCATGATGAAAGCTTGCACGCAGACATAACAGACAAAAAATAATTAATAGACGAAAATCTTTCATTTGAAATATCTACAAATTTATTCCACCATAAAAGCACACAGAATTCCTGTACATACAATTGGACTCCTCCAAACAAGCAGGCTACAGTTGGCCATGAGATGTGCATTCTAAGGGTCAAGGACAACAAGAACAGACCAGTCTGGCTGCAACTGGTTGTAAACAGACAAATACAGTACATGCCATCTCCGAATAAAATAAATCACTTCTTACACACTAAAACATAATGCTTGAAGTTTGATACATTCATAATTTTGGTTGGGTTGATATGCAAGTTCTACATGCTGAACAGATCTTGTCACGAACAAATACAATATTCCTGAATTTTACTTTCTTCCTTCCTGATCATGTGGACAAGTTCGTCCTGAATTTTGCTAAAAAGAAAAAATATGGATATTTTTCAAACCTTAGCTTGTATTTCCTTTTATCTGTTAAATCAAGATTATTTTCAAGAATAAAATCAAAATGCATTTTCAAGACACGTTCCAGAACGCCTTACGAAATACTGAAATATTGTCTCTGCTTTTGTCATAACATCAACTTTGGTTCTGGACCATACCTTGATCCTTCAACCGCTTCCTTATAAAAAACAAATAAAACTGATCTGTTATTGAGGTCACTCAAAAGAAGAGTTCTCATCCAACGTCCTGAGTTGAAACGGGAAAATAAGTTCCAAGCATCTAAGTATACATAATGTATTAACAGAGTGTTCTCTTTGGCAAGATCCTGGAGATGGTGTAAAAGGTTTGATAATCTGGCATGTGTGACCCTCCTAATCACTGCATCAATCTTTCAATCCATTCATTCTAACTCCCCTATTAATTCCGCAATCTATGAATACCAATGTCACAGTATATTCAAAGTCCTCCTGGATTATAACATCACAAATACTTCACGTTTGGACACACACTGTTTCTCCGCCTTAAACAAATAGATACAACTTCGCCATTAAAAATCACTATTTTTTAACAAACATCAAGCCATGGTCTCATTCAAGTCCTTTAAATAACAATCCTTTATTCCATGGCTTGACTTGCATGTGTGTGCAAGCATACAAGACATTCACAGCTGATGAAGAACTTGTGTATACAAACCCATGAGGTATTGGTGGTGTGTTAAAGTTACAGTTCTCTTACTTTTTATGCTCTACTACCATCAATAGTTAATCACCCACTTTCCCCTTTAAATGTTTTATGGAAATCATAAATAAGCCACGTAACTACCTACCTTCTATCTGACATGAAAATATGTAATTTTTTAAGTAAAATTGATATTTTATACTTATCCTGACTCATGATCTTTTGCTTGGCTCCCTTTCCCTTGCGAATGGTAGTGGAACACTTGAATCCCTTGTAGTTCCCAAAGCGGACGTAAAAATACACTCACCCACAGGTTACCTCCCTTTTTTCCTGCGCAAACAGTCATGTGACCAGCCTTACTTGTCACTCTCTCTGGGAATACGTGATATTAATCACGAAGAAGAATACTGATGTTGAATCTAATTGATAGAATATAGATTCCTAATCCCCACGCTGAGTGACGAGTGTTAATAATATTATCTGTACGTCCGTCCAAGGATTCTTGAAGGCGTTAACCTTAAGCCCTTTACGAAGGTCGTCTTGAGGTTCTCCAGTACTTGAGATATCGGCTTCATAGGTAATATATTGGAGTCGAAGTCATCAGCATATATGCAGTACGTGTCTGTTGGGTTGGAGTGAGTGAGTGAACGACAATAGCAGCAGGCCAACTGTTACCCAGGATAAGACCTCCGCATATTCCTTTATTGATGCAGGGATTCCCCTCATCAAGTAGGTTTGTCATCCGAAACTGAACCTACTACAGGTTTAAGGTTCGTGCAGGTTGTAGAGTTGTGCAGGCTGTAAGCTGTAGAGATCGCACATGTTGTTGATCTTTTATTGTTGAGTTATAAGCGCGCTGACAAAACCATCCGTTTTCATTCTGACTGCGGATTTTTGAATGTTTTAATCATTGCTTCATTTTTATTCAGCCGCATGTTAATAGAGTCGACGCCATCATCCTGCCTGTTGAACTAAGGGTACGCGAACCCTATAGACGTCCGAACCGTGTAGCTGTCTGCGTTGCTGATATCTGCTTGTTGATGTGTTCGCGAAACCCTAGGGTTCGCGAACCTTGTAGATGCCTGCGTTGCTAATATCGCTTGTTGATCTGAGGGTTCACAAACCCTGCAGATGTCTGCATTGCCTCTTATCGAAACATCCTTTCGCGAACCTTCCCTTCTCGATCCTTCCTTCTCCAGACCTTGCCTTCGCGAACCTTCTCTTCACACGTGTGAGAGCTGTGGGATCTAGATCTGGAACGGCTGGCTCTTGGGGATGGATTCCTAGGCGTTCTTGAATGTTGAGGGTTCATAGACAAACTTCTCATAGAGTTAGTAGCCTTCGCAAACCTTCCATCTTGTTCTATGACGACAGAGTCGTCCGATTGTGATGACATTCTCGAACGTACACGTTCGCCAACGTTGTCTGCAGATGTAGATCTGCGAGGCGTATTAGGTTCATGTAGGTCTGAGGGTTTGCGAACATTGTCAGTTGATGAGAGGTTCTGTCATGCCTTCGCTTCCTCATCAAAACGTCGTTCCATCATGGCCATCATATGAGTAGTAAATTGCCTCATAAAGTCGCCTGGATCGAAGTTCTGCGTTGACTGGAACTGATTCGGCGTTGATGAAGCGTTTGCGAACGCTGATGTGTTGTGTGCTTAAACTTCACTGCGTTGAGAAGTTGGTGGTTGGTCATCAAACAGCTGGCCCGCTCTTGTAGTTGCAGGAGACGATCTAGTAGTCATGGAGGTCGACTGTGTCGGCGATCTAATAGGTACTTCAGGCAGAAGTAACGGTGGTTCATCAAACACGAAAGCCTCGTGCGGTAGGATGATCTCATTAAACGACCTCTGATGAGTTGACTTGCTAGGTCGTGTTGATTTCGATGTTGACCTATTTATAGATACCCTTTTCTGCATTGTGGATGAAGCAATAGTCTTTTTCTTACTCTGAGAGGGCGTCAACTCCGTCGTAGCAGACCTCTTTTTCGACCCCGTAACAGACGACTGCCCCTGCAACGGACTCAACATAGCACCAGAATTATGTATTTCTGCAGTAGCAAACAACCTAAGGTTACCGGCTTGATCTCCAGGTTTATCAACCGTGGCTTGTGATGACTTCCTCACCTGATCCATGGTACGTCTATAGATGTACGATAAATATTTATTAAATTGCAAATCTGATAAATTAATACAGTATCTGTAACGCAAGCTGGAAGAACATGGATTAATGCATGACGGGCATTGGAGGTGAGGATCAGTCACTGATAGCCGGTAACTGTAACACTGCAAGATTCATCAAATGTAAACAAACTACATTATGATGAATAATTGTCACAAAATATGAATAATTTTATGAAAAGTTTGACACACGATGAAAACTAAATATAACCAAAAAACTACACACAGTTTAAATTGGATAAAGGATCTAAATATAAAAGGATATGGTGCCGTATACGGGACTCCAGTGCTCACCCAACCATCCGCATGGGCGAAAAGGGAGAGAGTCACAAGTAAGGCTGGTCACATGACTGTTTGCGCGGGAAAGAAGGGAGGTAACTCGTGGGTGAGTGTATTTTGACATCCGCTTCAGGAACTACAAGGGATTCAAGTGTTCCACTACCATTCGCAAGGGAAAGGGAGCTAAGCAAAAGATCATGAGTCAGGATGAGGAAAAATAAAACAGAATAAAGTTCTGAATCTAATATCAAATGTAATAATGTAACTTGCATCCACCCTCTCACAAAGAAAGCAACAACGAAGCAAATGACAGTGAAACCTTGTTAACCTCAAACACCAGAAAGTTTGGATACCAATTAATGAACCTCAAACACCAGAAAGTTTGGATACCAATTAATGATTTGGAAGTGCGAGTATGGTTTAATGCCGCTTTTAGCAATATTCCAGCAATATCAAGACGGGGCACACCAGAAATGGGTTTCGCACATTGAACCCATGTGGGAATCGAACCCGGATCTTTCGTGTAGCGAGCCAACGCTTTAACCATAAGGCTACCACACCACCCCTGATTTGGAAGAAAGGTGCAAGATGACATTTAATGAATTCTATTGGATATTGGAAAACATGTCTCAAAAGTAGAGAACTATTCACATCATCCACCTCCAGATTTGTTTTATGCCACAGTCAGTTTTGCAGCCACATGATGACCGCCTGTAAACTTGAGTCTGGCACAACAGCGATGTAATGAGCAACACCCATAACATCAGTGTGTAATAACAACGGAACAGTTGGAGGAGTTCGGCCACCAAATGCACACTCAATAAGCATCGGGAACTGGGATATGTTCAACAAATGTTAAAACCGAATTTGCCACAATGAATAGATCTGTCAGACAGGGCATTGCATTATTCATTGATAAAGGTAATTCCATTAAGGGGATTAACCTGCAGGTTACCAAAACCAATAATCTGCAGTTGAAACATTTCTCTATGAACCTTTACACAAGGACTTTAAATCTGATTATTGGAATGGCATCTCACTTGGTTGAAACATGTATCCATACTGCGTAGATCGACTTGATCATTTACAGACCGCCACCTTACAAGTGGAACATTTCTGAATGCAGCGAAACAACAAACAAAACAAAAATGTGATCTTGCGCCTAGGAACTAACAAGGTTCCACTGTCCACACAGGAAGATACACAAATTGTGACAACAGAGCCGAAACCTTGACAACTACCAGATATTAAAAAACACTGTTGGACAGTTTAACAATTATATACACCGTTACTCGCAATCGCCAACTCCAACATGCTGTGCTCACAGAGACTAATATTCAAACATAACAAAGACAACCAATAAATAAATGGTCAAGCAAACACTTATGCTTAGCCTGACCACCTGAGCAAAGATACACTGTAAATAATGCTGTACAGACCACCCTTGACAAGAGTAAGGCAAAGAGTAATGGTACCTACTTTAAAGAATGGACAAAATGTAAAAGACAAAATTCTCAGCACCCTGAACCAGTATAATTTTCTCAAGACAGCATGTTACTTTTAAAAATAACCTATACTTCATTTCAAAAGCTTTACAAATATCATCTGCTCTAACATCACTGTGTTGTGACAATAGTTGTTACCATGGAAACCGAATACAAAAACCAAACAGGAAAAAGCAATTTAGCTCCAGTGAGTGCGACATCGGTCATCAGATTGTTCATCACAACTGATCAGATATCTTATTTTCTTTTTCCTTAATTAAACCAGCAGGAAAACAAATGAGAGAAATGTTCCCACTACGCATTCTTTTTGTCAGTACTTCATACAATGATCATACTAACAGTCTCTTCCAAACACTTTATGAGTTTATATGTACTATCCTATCTATTTGCTACATTTTACTTAGTTTTCAATGTGAATATATAGGGTATAATGATCGAGCTTTCCCCACAAAGTTACCTTGACTCAGGCTTTGGACTAGTTTCTAAAGACAGACTATCCCTGTTGGTTAGCAAAGAACCAACTTGTATGTTTTCGTATCTGCAGAACTTGCAAGAGTGGAGAGTGACTACAGTACACGAACAAGCCCGAGTTCAGCAGCTTTCCTCAACTGTTCAATCAACATATACACAGATGCAACTGAGCATAAAAGACGAGAGACAAGTGTTGTATGATTTTTAATAAACAACTAAAATCATGTCTACACTGCCAGTACCCAGGACAACATATGTACAAACCTGACATTAATATACAGACTACTCACATGACAGTGTGGAAGCCAGTATCTCCACGCAAGGGATAGAGTTCACAGAGGCAGATAATTTAAAATTGGATCTTGTACACATACAAATAGTCATAACTCTCAGGACATCATGAAAATATAACTACCCCAGGTAATAGTTGGGGCATCACTCATTCAGTAGAGCCATAACACTTTTCACCTGGAAATCAACACATATGGACACTACACGTACAGTACATTTAATGGTTTGGCCATGATAAAAAAACAGCACACTTATTTGGCATATAATTAGCACAGATGTTGAGGATCCACTACACAAGAGTGTACACAAAATGTGTCAATGTATCATACAGTTCATACAAGTGCAGATATTTCATGTGTTGACGTAATTCCCCTGTGTACAGTAAGCACTTTGTGTAAGTTCGACAGGGGACGCTTGAATTCAGGCATTTTGATTTCCATAGTATCACTGCTTGCATGAATGGCATGAAGAAGGCAGGCAGACAGGTAATTCTGGCAGCACGTAGCATCAACTCGGGGCCTTACAACATTAATCAGACATATGGCAACAGTATCGACTACACGAAGTCATAACAGCATCACAAGGTATGAATGAAGATATTTCAGACGCTATCAAAACTTCATACATACAGTCTTCAACTGAAACGATGTGTATATGACAACTGGAAACAATATTTAGTATAACAAACATCAAGCAAATCACAATATTTGTAACCGTTTCAACTGAATGTAGTACTAACGGAAAAGAAGTCAGACAAAATATTTCTCTCATCATGACAGACAAGTGTTGACACTTTCACTGTGATTTACAGTTTAAGTTACCGGTACATATCTACAGAAGACAATATTAACTGCAGAAAGAAAACAGGTCCATCTATCACAATGGAAACGAGATAGCAACAGAAGAAAATAGTACAAGGTATGTAGAGGTAAGAAATGATTTCATGTACCGTCAATGGCTACATATTTCTAACACAATTTTCAGAGAATTCATTCAAGCTTATAATTGTGTATGTGTATACAGTGTTTGAAATGAAGGGATGTACTGGGGTCCATTGGGTATTGGCATAATATTTGAATCGTTGGTAACCCCAAAACTATACCTTCGGACTTTTGTGTTATCACAAGGACCCCTTGACAGTTTAATTTCAAACACGATATGTGTATAAATGGCATCTGAGACAAAGACCAATATCCACACAAAGTGCATGTCACTCTTTACGTTACTGCCATTTAAGAGCATCAGCCATGAATGGCATCCCATAGAAGATGTCAACATAACGGGAATTGTCGAAATGAAAGAGTGAGGGAAGAGTACAGAACATAGTGACAGGTCTTTTCCAGTGACCACAGTTACAAGACAGTGAACCACAATAAATATTTCTAGTCTTTTTCTTTAGACTCCAACAAGTTACACATTAACATACTGTTAACTATTTACCTTCATTATATATATATTTATATACAAGTATACAGATTCTACATTACCTTTGAGTAAATATGTAAGTATTTCACACTAGTATCAATATCAAATCTACAATCACTTGGCATGTAAATACATGTTAAAAATGTATGTATAATCAAAATGAATTTAAACTTTAAAACCTAAAGATTAAGCCAAACTCAAAAACTAAATTAAGAAGATTTTTGACAATACCAAAGAAATCCCTGACATACGATAAGATAACAATTGATCACAATTTGCTCTGCCTTCAACTCACACACAGTTTAACCCTTAACATGCAAGATTTATCTCACACGAACCTGATGTCATTCAAGTCCATACAACAGCACATACAAAGGGTTAACTATGTTCAAGGCTCAATCAGAATCCAGCACGTCAAGCTGGGACCATACAATTTACATCACAATGTATGAGGGAGGCTTCTGCCATGTACAATGCAGGACATCCATATTTTAAGTTTGAAAACATTGGTCGTAATATCTGGTAATACCAAAATTGATCAGCACAACATACTATTGCTTGTGCACCCTAACACTTACAGACTTAGAAGTAATATAGCTTCTGAGTTCCATAAATCTGAATATTCGTCTATCAATTACTTGTATTCATATAAAATATTTAGGTTTACAATACTAGCAAACTAGATATTAAATGAAAACATGAGTTCTTTTATTCCTCCCTCTTCTGTAGATGATAGACATGACTTTCTTTTAACTGGGTGTGGGAGATAAAAGGTCATCTTTTAAACTGGATAATGTTAATATCATGCACTTACTAAGCTTGTCGTTCTTCACAGTAAAATGGAGATGAAGCAGTATTATAATTGCCGAATTCGCATGGATCATCAATTTTAACATCCCATTCAGACTTAAAATTTAAATGTACTACTGAGAAACATATATCATAAGCTTAGCATTGTTCTATCATGCTTTGAGCTGCAAGGAATAATCCTGTGCAAATGTGTTTCGAAAAAATATATAATAGGATTGATGACAAACAAGTTACTTGAATTTTTCACTCAATTACATTAGCTTATTTGTGACAATTCATGATTTGGGTTGACATATGATATAGGGATCTGTTTTTTATCTTCATAAAAATGGACACCACTTTCAGCATGAAGGTTCTGAAAGGCTCAGCTTAAAAATATATGACACTTGTCAGGTCTAAAGATTAAATCTACATCTTTCAACTATTATTATAAATACTGGGAAAATTCAGATTATCTTTTTACTCATCTCATCAATTACATTTATACAAATCCAGAAAGTGTCCTTTGAAGGCCTGATAAAATGATAAATTCCTGGAATAAATATATTTAAAACAGTACAGTAGCAATATGCAGAATGACTAAATAATCAAGAATTTCTGGTCTTAAATTGCTGGATTGTACTGTCAGTCCACAGAAACAGAAAGTCTACATCACTACACATTGTAGGAATCTTCTTTCACTTTGCATTCTGGTCACATTTCAATAAAGGACTCCACTTTACCATTCATGTTCAAAGAGTTGGGACCCTCATGCATTTCTGGGGAAGAAGGTAGCTTGTAACCCAAACAATGCTTACAAGAAGCGAAATCTGTTTGTCGTACATTTGGTCATGTACTGAGTTCTCACAAATGAGGATGCATTTTATGGACGTTCTCTTTGTTGACCGGCAGCTGTAGTGGTATGCTGGGCAACTTGAGCTGCTTTCTGCTTTAGCATTGTCCAGTCAAATGTGTAATCATACTGATAGTTGAGGGTGCGGAACAAGATGCGGAACAGCTGTCGCAGATACATATAATCGGGTGCCTCTTCAAATCTCAGACCCCTGCAGTAATTTAAATACATTGCAAACTCTGCAGGGAAGCCTTTACACAGCACTTCAACAGGAGTTGACATCTTCTTTTCGCTGATTTTCTCATATTTCTGTTTCTTTGTATTGGCCTTTAATCCTTGCCAAGGGAGGCATCCCCCGATTGAAATACATCAACACGTAACCAAGGGACTCCATGTCATCTCGTCTGCTCTGTTCAATACCCAGATGAGCATTGATGCTGGCATATCGAGCTGTGCCAGTAAGATTTTTGTCTTCTCTGTATGGTATGTGTTGTTTGGTTCTTGAGTCTCGGAATTTCTTTGCTAACCCAAAATCAATAAGAAAGACTTTGTTACAATGTCGACCAATGCCCATCAGGAAGTTATCAGGCTTAATGTCTCTGTGTATGAAATTTTTGTTGTGGGTGTATTCAATGCGTCCGATCATTTGGTCAGCAAGCATAAGAACCGTTTTCATGGTGAACCGCCTGGAGCAGAAGTTGAACAGATCTTCCAAACTCGGCCCAAGGAGATCCATGACCAGGACATTGTAATCCTTTTCATCACCAAACCATCGGATATGAGGTATTCCAACTCCTCCCTGCAGTATTTTGTAAAGCTTACTTTCATAAAGTAGTTGTGGGTGGCGAGCTTTCAGCGATTCTAACTTCACAGCAACCTCTTCTCCACTGTGTATGTTGATCGCCAAATAAATGTCGCCAAAACTTCCACTGCCGATTTTCCTCACAAGACGGTATTTCTGGCCTACTATGAATTCACTTTTAGCACGAGACGTATCTGCTTCGCTAGACATGTTGGTATGGTGTTCAAAAATGCCTTAGAATCAGAGAAAAGAGGCTTATTTTTCACCTTTTAGATTATCTGAATGGTTGCCATCTTGGGTGTTTCAGTGTAATAAACCTGGCGCTCCCAGGGATCTTTGCACCAGCCCATAATCCTTCACGACCAGGAAGTACGCATGCGTACCGGAAATACGACACAGTGCTAGTGGTATATGACTAACAACAGATTTTAGATTTTTAATATAACAACAGTCGCCAAACGGTGCACCCGAAACACCCCTAACAACCGCACTAGTCCAATTTGATATTCTCAACAACCACATATTTGGTTTGTCTAGGCGACAACCCTATTTCTCAGTAATGCGTTACATTCATAATTATTAAAACTGTCATGGACAGATGTAGTAGTGTCTTAGATTAATGATCCATATTTCAAATATTCTCTTGCTCATGAAAATAAGGTCTCATTGAAATTCTGAGTTCACTTGAATATTTATATGTAATTTTGTTCATAATGGTCTTACATCTGTCTTATTTTGCATCCAGTTACTAACATGTTGCAAATGTATGAAAACATAGTTATTTATGATGTTGCAGTGATCAGTCAACATCATTTCTAAAAGTTGACTTATAATCCACAGAACTTGATTTTCCTTTATCTTTACAACTCCTAAAATGCCTCTCAAAGAAGAAATTATTTCTATCACAAGATTGGACCACAATAAATCCTTAAATCATATTGAAAAAAATTATATGTTTAAAAGCAAATTATTGTTCTGACACTAAATGTCCTTATGAGACTCAATATCTGCAAAATTAGAGATTATTAAAGAAATATAAGTGAATTGTACTAAATAATTCCTTATCAACTGTAAACTCATGTTTTGGGGAGTGATGTAGCATAAGGCACCTTTCATTTGAGTGCTGGTGCAACAATTAGGCAAAACATGACTGACTGCAAAATGGATGTAGTTGCTAACATTTGGAAGAGCTTATACAATAGTTAAATGGCTAAGGAATTTCTTGAGTGAGGGTGGGGATATTGTTTTGTTACTGTAAAAAGAAATAGTTTCCATGAAGACTGGAGTTTAAGATATTTAGATTAGTGGGATTAAATTATAAAATACCAACATTTTCTGACAAAACTGTCTCACCTCTTCATTGATATATGTTGTATTACACAGATTAAAAATTAAAAATATTTGCCTTACTTAATCAAAGTGGGATGTACTGGAAACAAAAACTGGTATTTTTTTGCCAAATTAGGTACACTGTGAAGGCCTTCTTTCCTTGAACTAAGAGGCATTTGCTTCCAACACAACAAAGCATTAGTTTTGCTGTTGGTCATGTTCTCAGTGAAATACAAGACACCTCTATGAAGCCATAATATCACCCGTAACTAAATTGATTTGGCATGAATTATGAAATTGTTATTCAATTTGGATAAATTTAGCTGACAGTCACTGCAGACATTTGGTCAAAGACCAGCTTCAGAGTCACTCCTGATAAATATGTAAGGTGATGAATGTAAGGAGTGAGTGAGTATGGTTTTACGCCGCTTTTAGCAATATTCCTGCAATATCACGGCGGGGGACACCAGAAATGGACTTCAGCACGTTGTACCCATGTGGGGAATTGAACCTGGGTCTTCGGCGTGATGAGCGAACACTTTAACCACTCAGATACCCCACTGTCCCCTGAATGTAGTCACTTGTGAAGTGAATTTCAGATATCCATACATATTCACATGTATATGAAATACTTTTATCTGCCAGGATTTAGAGTTTGTTTTTAAATATGTTTTGTGTTTAATTGTGTCATATAGTGCTTTAATATATCCTGTGTTTTGGAATATGTTCAAACATGCTTTAATATATTCGGTGTATAAGTGTTTTAAGGTTTTCAGTGCAGTGAAAAACATGCACAACATGTTTGCTCCATTTCTCCAGCAAGAACTCTTAAAAATGGCCAAATCAGTAACCTTCATACATGTTTGTCATCTGTGGGTTTGCATTTTGCTGTGTTTAATAAATGAATGAATACTTGGTGATTCTCTCCTTTATATAGTATGACCAGAAAATATTGAGAATTTTAGGAATATGTTTAATTGGACCAGCTATCAAGTGCTTGGTTTCATTCAAGAGAGACAACTCCGTTAATACTTTTCCATTAGTTTGTGAGAGTTATCCCCCTTTGTTTACTTGCTAGCAGACGACATTTTCAGTGATCCTCAGTATGGATGATTTATAGAAGAGGAAGTTGATTTTAGAGTATAATAACAAGGACATCAGATCAGCTAAAGTGTTTTCAAGTAGAACAGGCATCCCTTTGCCCACTGTTTATCGTGTTTTGAAATATATTGCAAATGGATATGGCATTGAGCACCAGGGAGGCACAGGTAGGCCCAGAAACTTGACTGTCGGTGACAGGAGGCAGCTTGGTATTCTTGTTTCTAACAACAACGAATGAGTTTAGAAAACTTAAGGCTGGATATGATTGATAGAGGAACTGTGGCTGTCTGTCAGGAGACAATTAGAACTGAGCTGCATGCAATGGGTTGGCAGAAAGGTCGAGGAATTCCATCACCGATCATGAAACCTGAACAAAAGGAGCGAAGGTTGAACTGGTGCTTACAGCATAGAACTTTTAACTGGGACAATGTGATTTTCTCAGATGAAAGTTCTGTGTGGCTGTTTCCTAATACACTGAAATTCTGGACCATACAAACTGAAAAACATTTGTATCAGCGCCCAAAGTACAGTCTGAAATTTAACGTGTGGGATGGCATATCTGTGTATTTGAAGGGAATATGAACAGTGAGCGGTACACAGATATTCTCGAGGGACATTATTCCACCTGCTCACGTGTCCTATGGACATTTTTTGGATTTTCCAGCAGGACAACGACCCAAAACATCATTCAAAGCATTCACAGGCCTGGTTTCGGACCCAAAATATGACATTATTAGATTGGCCAAGCTATAGCCCTGACCTAAATCCAATAGAAAATGTTTGGGGACTTATGAAGGAAAGTGTCAATTAGAAAAATCTGACAAATATTGCTGAAATGAAAGAAGAGGTGGTCTGATATTGGGACAGCATGGACCACGACTTTCTAACTTCTTTGATCAGTAGTATGCCCCGACGCATTGAAGCCTGCATTGCTGCCCATGGTGACTTGACAAAATACTAAATGTGCACCTGTCTTTGAATCTGGAGTTATGTTCTGCTAATATTCACACTTAAAACGTGAGTAATGAGGGGGAAAACTAAAAAATTTACAATCTTTAAATTCTCAATAATTTCAGGTTGTACTGTATTTATGTATAAACCAGCAGTCACAAGTTAATTTTATTATCAAACTATCATTTTCTACCTCTATATTCACAAATAACATTATTTAATGTCTCAGATATCAATTTCGAAATGATTTCAACAGATCAGTCATGTGTTTAACTTCGAAAGATATTTTAGGGGATCAAAAATATTTTGTTCATATATGTATTTAGTTCATGAAGCGCTTGAGTTTTTTGTTCTATGTACGGTGTTTTATCTTGTACTGAAATGTACATTTTATTGCTATTCATAAACATAAACTAATAACTTGCATTAACAACATTAAATTCGGTGAACAGTAATCAAATGCTTGTTTAACTGGTATTTTAAACATATGATGTAACAACTGATTTGATGTTTTTCGTTAACTTGCTCTTCTCACAACAGAAGCACTTTCCTGTCATATTGAAAGCGTAATATGTCTAACGGTAAATAGTACCTGCTAAAAATAAACTCGTACAACACCTCGAAGCCGTGATAAACGGCACAAAAGATAACGCAATGTCCGACTTGTATATTCCTATGTGATACCGATGTGACAAGTGTCTGCTGATAAACCGAACTAGAGAAAATGAAGAGAAACGTGACCGTTACGAGACAAGAATCACTTGTTGTACCGGACGTTCAGAACCCGTTTGTACACCGGTTGCATTTCGGAATCTTGGACAAAATTCAGGTCTGATTTACTTCCCACCATAACATTAAGGATCGATCAACATTGGTATTTAGAAAATATATGTATGCAATAATTGATTAATTAAGTATTAATTGTGATAAATGAATACGTGTACCTGTATATGCATGCATGGTCAATTCAGTTGTGACAGTAGTTACGGAAGAGGCGTTGTCGTAACTTTGATTGACCACCCATCCTCAAGCTTTTGATTGTTTCATACAAACGTACGCAATAAATTCGAAGTTATAATATTTGTGTTTAGGAATGCACAACTTATATAGACATCCAAACCACAGTGAGTGGGAAGAAATACTTTATATTACTTGTTTGGGGAGTGTACTTAAAGTAAAGGGAATAATTATTAGCAATGTTCAGTGACATCCAACAAATCTTTAGGATTCTTTCAATAATTTTTTTAAGGTTTTCTTCATTTCTGGTCGCACGTACGCTATCAGATGAGTCTTTTTAAAAGAAAAGGTTTTACTGGGGACATTTTGATAGTGGCATGAAAATTATCTGTTTTAACCATGTCATTACTTGCTATCACTAGGTCACAGAGGTCCCTGTTGACTAAACCTGTTAAGATGTATATTATTGTCCTTGACTTTTCAAGTATGGCAAAAATGACATTCATATGATATACAAACAGCAGCATTCTTGCAGAAATGAGTGTATTTTTCAAAATAACAGTAACTTCCTTCTTTCACGAGATAACATTTTTTGTTTATGAATATGCTCTGCTGAAACTGCCCTGACAGAACACTTCCTCGTGAAAAGTTAGGCATTCTGTTTGTTTTTTTATGCACAGATTTTCATAACTACAAACCTTAGTTTGTAATTCCATAGGAGTATGGTTTTCTCTTAACTTGAATCACAGTAGAAAAGAAAAATACTTTCCAGTTTTTTTATGGGAGGAGTTTTAGATCTGTATTTTTATTCTCTCAGTGAAATAGATCATTGTGCTTGTAATAATATTTCAACAGATATTGTTTTCAGGGACAGGGAAAATAGAATGTTCAGGTTATGCTAGTGTAACATTTTCTTGTAAAGTCATGTTTATGATATTTATAAGTTGATCGTCAGATCCAGACCTGATTATTTAAAGAATGCTGCCATATTGCTGGAATATTGCTGAATGCAGTGTTAACAACAGCCAAGCCAAGAAACTAGTCCTTTTGTGCCAAAACTGGTGGAAATCAGGAAAATCTTGTAATCTCATTAAAATCAATTGTTATTGTTCGCTATTGCTTCACTGCCTTGGCAGTTAGAAGTCGCCTATTATATTCGTTTTCAATATATAGACATAATAGAGAGTGGGTTTGCTTGTCTGAATGCGTGGCTCACACATACAAGGAATTTAAAAGTTTTAACTGATTAGGTGTACAGAATCTTAACATGTCACAACTCCGATGGAGTTGTCCTTAGATCTTTACTGTGACAGGTATCATATCAGCATATGACTTTAATGAGATTGACACACGGGTATCATATGAAAGGTCTGATTTTAATGAGATGGGGGCAAAACTCCATTAATGCAACTTTACATTGTTATCATATTTTCATAGTTGAATACCTGCCACACAGATTAAGCAGTGTTCAAAACTATAATGGCTGACAGGTTGTGCTATTGTATCTTGAAATAAAGTTGCTTTTTAGCTTAATTGCCATAGCAGCAATATTGAATTTGTCATTTGACCCATTTTTCAACCATTGAACATTATTGTGAAATGTGGGTTGCAGCATGCTATAACTGAAGGCACTAAAGTACTATCGGAAATAGAAAAAAATTGTTTTTTAGGCTGTTACTCTGTATCCCTAAAATTTACACAATTGCAAATAGCATCTGTCCAAATAACCCACATCGGCCTAACTGGGCGTTCAATGGGATCGCTTATAGGATATCCAGGAAAGCATGTTTACTCGTAAAATCGGGCCAAACTTAGAAAAAATAGGAATGGCTGCTGAAAACAATAGATCAGACTATAGATGGCAATTAGCTCGCTCAGCCAGGTATGACGACGGACCATCAACTCACTTGGCATGAAATGCACGTGCTGCTCACAGACACAAGGGGTCATCTCAAATATCTTTTATGCTTTTTCATGTGTATTGAATATGTCTCTACTTATTATCTAATCTTAGCTAATATCTCTATCCCCAAGCCCGACCCCAACTACCGTCAGCAACAACCGTCTTGGTTTTGCTTTTGAGACGACCCCTCCTACCTGTTTCTTTTTATAGTGATAGTGAGACTCAATGGTAGTAGCCTTACATCCTTAATAGTTTCAGTATTAAAGTTGTTATTTTTACGTCCTGCTATCGTTTATTACGAAGCTAAGTCTAATTTCAAAATGGACATTAAAAAAGTGTCATTTGTTATACATTATTATCGTACACTAATTTGCATAAAGCCATGGTCTGCTCCAAATAAGTCTCTTCGGACTTTGAAAAAACCTGCATTGCTCATTTCTGCACTAATATCTCCTCAGTAAAAATCCCTTTTTAACGTTTCCTATCTCCCTACCACTGAGACTGTAGTTAGGCCGAACTTAGTTCAACAGATATTTCACACTTTCTCATATTAACTACCTAAATTGAAGGTATAAATGTGAAAAAACAGTTTTTTTCTATTTCCGACAGTACTTTAGTCGGAAATCAGAGCCAAATCAAATTTCAAACGGTTAAAGCATTGGCTCATAATGCCGAAGACCCGGGTTCAATTCCCCACATAGGTACAATGTGTGAAGCCCATTTCTGGTGTACCTCTCCGTGATATTGCTGTTTCCCCTTATAGTGATAACACTGATATGAACAAATCATGGGGCCCTTTTCTTCTTGTGAATTGCATGGATTAGTAGCCTAGCTTACAGGACATCGAACAAAATTTTATTTAATCTGTTTCTCGATCCACTGAGCTTTGATAGCGTTACAACACATCCTAACTCTATACTTTATCATAGGCTAACAGTAACAACTGGCGTATCACTATGAACATTTTGTAAATAGGGGCTTCAGACTAGTGGCTAAGTTAGTAGACTGCACAGGGATCGGATATACCATGATTGTCTTTTCCATGACATTAATTATTTTCATTTTGTTTCAGATTGTGATTATGTCAGTGACAGTTGCCCCTATCCGGCTTCTGCTGGCAGGAATGTGTTTGGTTCTAGCGTGGCCATTAGCAGCACTGTCACTTGCATTTCGTACAGAAGAAGAAAAGCGTAAACCTCTGACAGGATGGCGCAAGTATGTACTCTACTGAACGTGATGGGAAACATTTATTCTTCCTATGTTATTATAATATTACCCTTCTATGCTTTTGTAGTGGAGTATTGCTTATTGATGGTATTGTGTCCAGATTCTTTTTAATCCGACTGAAAATGTATAGTATTTTCAAGCAAAGTGCTTGAAGTCAAGGCATCAATCTGAAAAGTCTCAAGGATGACAGATTAGAGCTTTATTGAGCAGGGTCTGTTTCACAGTTTTGTTTTCTAAAACACGACTATCATTTGTTAACAGCTCCATCTGTGACCAAGCATTTATGCATTCTGCAATTTAATTGTAGGAATAACTTCATTTCTCCATGTATATGGAAATAACCTTTCAGCTGCATATCTGTTGACATTTTTGGTTACAAGTTAAGCAGTTCAGGGGATTAGCAACCTTTCTATGAAGCATAACACATTGTGAGCTCTTTACCATGATTCTGCAGCAATATTCTGTCAAGATGCTGCGAAGTATAACAGAACCATGAGAACAACAGCCTAGATTATACAGGGTATTCTGATCTCCATTGTATTATGATTGATATCCTGAACCCAAATGCTATTATAAGTTTGTTTTTTTGAGTTCGCTTCATGTTGAAATTATCCGTCTAGTCAAATTAATTGTGCATTAAGTCTTCCAGTTTGACAAATATATCAAGAGCTCACTCACATGACGCTTCATTTTCAAATTTAGATCTATGTCACACTGTAGTTGTATATTTCTTAATTTCATGATCTAGATCTAGATCTAATGTTTCTATTAGGCCACATGGAAATGGTGATGTCACTTCCAAGACAAAACTGATGGTGAATGGGTCCAGGACATTTATCACAGCAGAATAGCGATGTAATACATGGATTAATCGAAAATGTGTTAACTGTAGCCAATCCTGTTTTTGAAATGACATGCTTAGTGTCTGTTTGGAATCTTGAAAAAATTAATTTTAGTTTTATTCAGTTAGTGTGAAGTTTCATCTGTACCTTTTTTCAGTGGTTTCTTTAATTCTTTTGTTTGGCCATATCTTGGATTATTGGTGTATAGTCACACTGTCTCAAACAACACACATATATCAGCTCACCCCATTGGGATTCCTGGTTAGAGTATGTGCCCAGTTTGTGTCATTCGAATCTAATACAAAACAACAATTGCCTGGTCCAGACCTTATTATTTACAGGCTACCATTATATAGCTGGAATATTGCAGTGCGGTGCAAAATAACAAACACACACACAAACAATATATTGATTAGGAATGTGTAAGGTTTCCTCTATTGAGAGTATAGGTTGTTTTTGTTTTGTGTTTCTCAGAAATGATATGTCTTTAAATAATCTTTTTGAGTACAATTTGTTTTGAGGGTCAACATTTCCAGTGTTTCAGTTCTCTGGTATATACCGGACTTTGGCCGGTAAAATTTGCCCAGGACCAATAAATTTGGAGGCTATCAGTCACCGTGTCCGGTAAATTATCCAAACTAAAATGTTACCGAAATTAAATTGTGATATTACGATTAAGTTCTAAGAAAACACGATGTAGAAACGAAATGGTATGATGTTTTATGAAAATATTTACATGAACTTGATGAAGGTTTTTTGTTTGAGAAATATGTAATTTGGAATTGCTTTATAAAGTGGTTGTTTTTAAACAATTTTGAAATATGTCCAAATCTTTCAATTTTGACATAATGATCTGATTTATGTCATGTGATTTCATCTTATTTCACGGTTTTATTTATTGTGTCAGTGTAGATCCCAAAGTGTATTCAATTGTATAATGATCTTTTTTAAATTATTATTTCACAAAACAATACAGAAGTTTAAACATAAGAATTTTGTAGGGACATAATTGCAAGATGAACAGTATTTAGAAATTAAAGTACTTTATTTGATGTAAGGGCTGCAACAACAGCCTAGGAATGTTTTTATTTGCGATGGCTTGTGGGCTAACTTATGCATTTTCCTCGATTTAAGAAACAAATGCATTACCAAAATGGGAATAATGAGCCAGGATTACTTATTGGCTTTCTTGGATTTAGATTTGATCAGCTGACTTCTCTCTAATTCATTAGTTCTTGCATGATTGCAAAATTAAAAATGTTGGATCTCTTCTATCAGTACATCCAAGTTATGTACACTTTTTCAGTTTTTGCCAAAAATGTTTGAGTGTTTAACTGATCTAGGCCCTTGTCCTTAGTTTCAGAAGATTTTCTAGGTATTGGATGGACAATAGTAGTAGTATGAGTTTTCTCAACTAAACAGAATGTTACTAGATCAGTCTGAGACTTCAGCCATATGTCTGCAGCTACTACTACAAGTGAAGGGAATTTGTGTTTGACCTGGTATGCTCAGCTTACAATAGTACATGTCAATTCTAGAATCAATAGAAAATGATAATAAGAGAATAATTAAGGATAGCAAACCCAGAGGTTGTCAGAGCATTGTAGCAGTAACATACGTTATAATGTATGTACATATAGACATGTTTTGGTTAGGGCTGGGACGATACACTATGTCACGATACGATACATATCGCGATATTTTACCTGCAATACGATACGTATCATGATACATACACCTTGAAGGAATGACACAGTATTAAGATTTAAAATGATTTATTTCAAGGTATTTGTGTATAACAATAACACTATTGTAATAAACAAACAAGTAACTCTATCATACTTGCGTATTTTTCTAAATATGTACTTGATCATGATTAAGATAATACTGTTTTTAAAAAAAGTCTATCGTTTTATATCGATACACCAGTCCATAGCTGTATCAAACTTTAATGTATCGCAATGTATCAGTGCATCGGTGAATCGTCCCAGCCCTAGTTTTGGTATTTTTATCCATCTATGAAACGATTTGTCTTTCACAAAATATTGTTACAGTCAGTTTATAGATTCATTTAATAAGTGCTAACTACACCCAAGATTGTGTTAAGAGGACAGGATGGCCCTTATGTCAGTGTGACCTGGTACATATGATCTCATACACTGCTGATGTGATGTTACATGTAATACCTGATTTCCATAATAACAGGCCTCAGACAAGATACTGGCCAGCTAGACAACTGATAGCCATAGCTTAGCATAATATAGCCATTATATTTCTTCTGACCCAGATAGCTAGTGCAGTAAATATGGACTAGAGACATTACTGATAAATGCCTGAACCAAGTTATTAGTTTGATTAATGGCTGAAAAAATTAGACAACTAGTTGATAATTAGTTGACAGTCAAGAGTACCAACAGAAACAAATAGTGTTGTCTGGTTAATTCTTCTCGTGTGTTTTTGAAGATATTCTGTCAAATAATATGTATGCAAGACAAATTCACTTCCAACATAGCATATTGTATATTGTACCGTGTCATGATATCTGACAATAGTATTTATTGGTAATGCTTGCACAGCAAATCAGTGGACACTATTCTTCATTCAACACAAAGCTTGTGGCTAGTTTCTATGAATGTCCAAACCTTTAAAAGTGTCAGCTTGCTCTGTTAACAACTTAACACACATCTGTTGATGGGTAGAATGTTCACAATATGATTAAAAGTAATATGTGCACGTAGTCGAACCTCGTTTATGCGGACCCCTGCAGATATAAGAATTTCCAGATATCCGAATCATTTGCCAGTTGCCTTCAGTGGTTTCTCTTGGGAAAAAAACAGCAGCATCCCTCTATCATTATTATTATTATGCTCAGTCAAATACTACATCATATCCGTTCAGCGAGTTCATAGGAAGGAATTTGGCATAACAAACTCTTTCAATATATATTTGAAATTTTATACAAAACTAAGCAATCAGCTGGATACTTATTTTCTGCCAATCTGGTGATACACTTTTAAAAACCAAATGATATAGCGCAAAGGCGTTTGACACAATGGCCAGAATAAATTGTATGCGTAACGAATTTTGTATCGAACAATATTTTCCAACAATTTGTTGCAATGCTTACTATTTACATATATATTAAATTGAATGAAATAACTGCAGCAAGTTCTTTGATGTTTTGACGTAGTGCACGACTTTATTATTCATCATATCCCACAGTCCTTCTGTTTTTATTGAGAAAATTCAGTGTATAATTGTCATGCTTCAACAGATATGACATTTATGGTAAAATTATCCATTATTAAGTAACATTCGTTTCGAGGCTTTTAAAAAGGTGAAGTGTTATTTGTCTGTGTAAATAATGGTAATCTGGTGAAATAATATTGAAGAAATTTGGAATAATATAGATAAAATAGATTACAAACTTAAGTTCAGCTATACAATGAACATTTCTTATATATCCAATACGTGTAATCACATACATTAAATCATTATAGTTTGTATATATTTCGTTTGACATAAATACCATGTGGTATACATGGTTTCCTGATATATGGGTCTGTATACACAGGGTTCCACTGTATACCATGATAGCAATAGTAAGTCTGGTAAGAGCTATGTGAATTTGGAAAGTTATTGAAGTGGGTGCTTATCAAACCCATGCAAGTTAAATTTGGTGTGAAGGTTGAAGCAGTTGTGAATAAACTTAGTTCTAATGTTGATGAAAGTTTAAAAAATTGTAATTGTGCTATACCTAGTCACAGAAAATATAGTCTTGTCAAATAAATGTTTGGTTATATTTTCGGCACTTGTGAAGATTACTTACATATTGCTCTGGATGTTGGTCAGAGGGCACTTCCTTGAGCTGAACCTCTTTCCATGAAGCAATCATGGTACTATAAGTGTCATGACGCCCATAGTTTAACAGTTGTGATGATCACTTTGAGAAATGGTACACAGGGTCTTGATATGCTAAGTACAGTTTTCACATAGATTTTGTATTTGGCTCTATTGAAGTTTTTAAGTGTTTATGCACAGTCTCAAATGCTAAATGGTCTTATTATTACTATTTCTATAACTATGACACAAACTTTTGTAACCCTGGGCTTCGTTCCTCAAAGCGATCTACGGCTACGACTGTCG